GGTCCCCCACTCCTTATATTTATCAATATCTCAAAAACTATTGGATGGATTTCCATGACATTTGGTGCAGACATTCATTTTCCCCACAGGATGTATAATTATCCAATCCGGTGGCTTATGATTAAATACCTGCAAAACTAATGAGATTCCAATCAGCCTCAGCTGTACTCAGTGTTTGGTGCTAATTAGCTAATCTTATTAATAAGCTAATCGTATGCTTAACTAAGATGGTGACCATGGTAAATGTTGGCATGCTGATGTTGAAAGCATTGCCACAGTACAGCCTGACAATGCCGAACGTTCTGTAGACGCTCAGTCTCGTTAATCTTTTAGAAAAGAAAAAGAAAATAGCCCTTCTTATTTACTGTCTGGCTGTGAAAATCAATGTAATGATCCTTCAAATTCATAAAGCTAAATTCTAACATTCTAAAAAGGCATTCACTTACTGATGTCTGTGCTGCTGACTGAGGACATGACCATAGATTGTAAACTGTGTTCACACATCCATCAACTTCCTCTGCAAGTCACAGGACGTCCATTAATATTCTATGGAACTAAGTGACCTGAAACTCAACTGATGTTACAATACATCCGGCAACTATCTGACCACTTCTCAAAATCTATCAGAGACACTTATGTCACAAGATATAGGTCCCTGATTTTCTGCAACAAATGGGTATATACTTATATTTGGCAGAGTGCTTGGCTCCTAAGGGCTCTCTGGTGAATCTGAGCAGCAGCGTAGAGTTCAGTAGCACAGGGAAGATAAATGAGACAATTAAACAGTGCTTGATGGCACCTCAGTGACTAATGGCTTTCCTTCCTGCTTGTCTGGGTACAGACAAACACAGTAGTAAGCAGCAAGGAGTGTGGGTGTTGCATTAACGGATGTATACTTGTGTGTTTGAGTCAGTGTGACTGTGTGTTTGAGTGTGGCCTTGAGGTTTGTTGCAAGAATTGCCAGATAGGCAAACACTTGTAGATGTCAAAACAATGAGATGGAGGTGATATGAAGGCTGCATAGTTTATGAGTGATCTTGTGAATATCTTCATGAACTGTGTATTGTGTTTGGGGACAAAAGAGAACTATGCATAAGAAGTTTGATATTGACTGTTCACTTAACCCCTTCCCTGTGTTTTTCTGTTCCAATGTAAACCACAAGCTTTACCATGTCACACTAACTAGCTTATGACCTACGATAGTAATTCTAACAGCCAATGAGCATATCATAAATGAACCATATTATTTGTGGGGTTACCGGTTATGTTAGAAAAAGTCCCATTCGGTACCGGACCTTCCACTGTTTAATATTTTTCCACTACGTGGGAGCCACTCCTAGTCTGTATCACTGTCCAATTACTTAAAGCTTGCCTTACTGTATATGTAATCTAAATGATGTGTGTGTTTGTAGTTCTGTAAACTCAATTATCACAATAAGTCGATCGTGTCTGTAAAAATGCATTGAACCAATTTTTTTTACAGTGACTACTATCTGTGTGTGTCCCCACATGAGTGTATGTGGCAGGGGCAGGGGCAGGGGCAGGGGATGGGGTTTTCCTGTCTTTACTTCCTGTTGTATACCCTATTACAGGCCTACAGTCCACTGGGAGTGGACAGATAGGACAGTCATGTGGTAATTAGCTCTGCTCATTAAAACTGACCTCAGGCTTTGTTCTGCCATCTGGATACACTGTCCAACCTCCTGTTAGACAAGTGGGTGTGAGTGACTGACATGATTTCTTTTTTCCTCACAATCCTGGATGGAAAATAACCCATTTTCAAATGCGAAGGAAGTGGATCATAAGGAGGCAAACAAATAGTTAGTTCGGCCTGAAATGCCATAACCTTGTGACATGAAATGCTGATTTGTTCATCTGATGACCTAAATGTCACAGGTTGAATTCCTGCAACATCTCCAAATCCAATCAGTTTCTTATCTGTCAAATGTGCAGTAACAAGACATTAGTAGTTAAAGGACCATATTCTGCATGTTGTAGACTATAATCTGTCCATCATTTCAGAAATTACAAAGAGTGGTAAATCTGCCACCGTTATCATTGTAAACGGCACATGTCCATACATAAACCAAAGTTTCCATACAAAATCCGAAGAATAAAAGCATCATATTCGCGCCTGACCTGGTGAGAAGACAGCTGACGAGACTCCACTCCGGCAAAGCTGCAGGCCCCGACGGTGTATTTCCCAGGGTGCTTAAAGCCTGTGCCCCCCAGCTGTGTGGAGTATTCAGTCAAGTCTTCAGCCAGAGCCTGCACCTCCAGAGGGTCCCTGTGCTGTGGAAGACTTCCTGCCTCATTCCTGTGCCAAAGACGCCACGTCCCAGTGGCCCTCAGGACTCCAGACCGGTGGCTCTGACGTCCCACATCATGAAGACCCTGGAGAGGCTCGTCCTGGAGCAGCTAAGGCCTATGGTCAGGCCCTTCACTGATCCACTACAGTTCGCCTACCAGCCCCGCCTGGGAGTTGAGGACGGCATCACCTACCTGCTGAACAAAGTCTACACTCATCTCGACAAGCCGGCGAGCACTGTGAGAGTCTTGTTCTTTGACCTCTCCAGTGCTTTCAACACCATCCGTCCGGCTCTATTGGGTGAGAAGATGGCTGCGATGCAGGTGGAGGCCCCCATGATGTCCTGGATTGTTGATTACCTGATGGGCAGACCACAGTACGTACGCCTACAGAACTGTGTGTCTGACAGGGTGGTCAGCAACACTGGGGCCCCACAGGGGACTGTCCTCTTTCCCTTCCTCTTCACCCTATTCACCTCAGACTTCAACTAGTGCAACGAGTCCTGCCACCTTCAGACGTTTTCTGATGACTCAACAATAGTTGGCTGCATTGAAAAGGGTGATGACAGTGAATACAGGACTGTGGTGGGCAACTTTGTCACTTGGAGTGAGCTGAATCATCTGCAGCTCAATGTGACAAAGACAAAGGAGCTCATAGTGGATCTGAGGAGAGTGAAAACACCCGTGACCCCTGTTTCCATCCACGGGGTCCCTGTGGACACTGTGGAGGAGTATAAGTACCTGGGGGTGTACTTTAATAATAAGTTGGACTGAAGGCGGTCTACAAAAAGGGCCAAAGCTGACTCTTTTTCCTAAGGAGGCTGAGGTCCTTTAACATCTGCCGGACGATGCTGAGGATGTTTTATGAGTCTGTTATGGCGAGGGCAATCTTCTTCGCTGTCACATGCTGGGGCAGTGGGCTGAAGGTCGCAGATACCAACAGACTTAACAAACTGATCAGGAGGGCCGGTGATGTCGTGGGGGAGGAGCTGGACACCCTGACGACCGTGGCAGAGAGGAGGATGCTGTCCAGGCTTCGGTCTATCTTGGACAATGTCTCACACCCTCTCTACGACACACTGGCTCAGCAGAGGAGCACCTTCAGCAGAAGACTCCTCTCGCCCAGATGCACCACAGGAAATCCTTCCTGCCTGTGGTCATTAAACTTTACAACGCCTCCCTCGGAGAGTCAGACACCCCCTCTCTGTAATCTGACCTCAAACACGGACAACCATTTCTGCACTTTCTTCTCTCTTGCACATTTTCAAAACTGTACATTTTACATTTTACCTTGTGTATATGTATATATATATATATATATATATATATATATATATATATATATATTTATTTATATACATATGTTCTTAATAATATATCTTGTATGTAAATATGTTGTATGTAGATTTGGAGTTGTAACAAAAGAAATTTCCCCCTGGGATTATTAAAGTATTTCTGATTCTGATTCTGATATTAACTGAATTTTGGGAGTGGTATTGATCATGTCTAAGTTTAGGCAATAAAGCAAATAAATGTATTTCTCAAACTGTTGAACTATTCCTTTAAAGTCCCTGCACTCAACAGCTGATATAACATTTGCCTATTCTTCACCAAAACAAAGAACGTTTCTGTTCCCTGCCAGTGTATTTTCCACCAAACAGACATGAATGTAAACTGGCAGCTGCCAGGAAGGATGGACTTATGATGGACTTATGCTTTGGAAAATAACATGCATATATGTGATTTGTAGATAATGAGCTAAAACGGGGTAACCACACGTATGGTACTTCAGCTGTTTACTCTGCTAGTGGCCTATCAGTGTTGATCTCTCAGATCGGAGGGGGGAAGAACAGAATAAAGAGAACAATGAAATGGCTGTAAGAAGTAAATGACATGTAGCTAAAATAAATAAAACAGAGTGTCCTTGTGCATAAAAGGATTCACTGTAAGTGGCTTTTGCTTTTTGTCATAAATTGCTGTGAGTAGGAGCAGAAGCTTATGGACAAGTGCAGGGAGAGCAGTGAGTCATACCACACTGTTCACAAGAACCCCATTTTCTGTGTGATGTATGTCTGCAAGTGTGTGTGTGTGTGTGTGTGAGAGAGAGAGAGAGAGAGAGAGAGAGAGAGAGAGACACACAAAGACAATGACTTAGTGAGACAAGTAAGAAATATGCATGTCTGCAACATAATTCAGTGTGTATTGTTGTGTGAGTGAGTGAGTGAGTGAGTGAGTGAGTGAGTGAGAGAGAGAGAGAGAGAGAGAGACCAGTAAAGAGAACACAGTGGGTTTGTTGAGCAGCTCTCTGCAGGACAAAAGCATCTTTCTGAGACACATGCCTATAGCTGATTACGTGGACTGCAGACAGCATTAACAGCATAGCTCACATTTCATACGTTACAGCCTCCAAGCTTCTTTCACACTGTAGCTCAACATGTTCCAGTTCTTACTGCTGGGATATGTTACAGACTATGTATATATAATGTTGCTTTTCAAATGCTTATTATTGTAATTAAAGTTGAATTTGGCAAATTAAGAAAACTGTAATTGTCCTGTATTTCTTGTCTTGTTTTATGCCATTTTATTATTTAATTTTATTGTACGTTCATAGTTTTTTATTGGAGAACAGTAATTTATATAGTTTTTATAATGTATTCATATCTTAGAATGAACTTTCAATAGAACAATGTGGGTGAACTTACTTACTGCTTTATTTTCACTGGCTTGTGACACCTTAAAATTAATCTCCTCATTACAGGTTATTCACATGAATCGTGAGCAGTTCAACCAGTGAGGGATTTTTCTTTCTTACATATTGTCATTTGAAGGACTTTTGGAAGCCTGAAGAGGTAGAAGTGTCCAGTATTTCAAAAGAAAAAGGCACAAATGAAAGAATTAGAAAATAATTAACTTAAAATGTTTAAAATATTGCACACAGATCACAAAATAACAATGTAGCATGATAGTTGAAATGTCGTACAGTTTTAAAAAAAAATTACATTTGATTGACATTACATGCAGTTAGACACTTCTCAAACCATAAGACAACATAAAAACAGCATTTAACAATTACAGCACTTAAATGACTATTAAAGGCAAACGCAAACATATATAATGTAATATAATGCAAATAAAGTGTATTACTCTCGAATATTAATAAATACGATGTTAATATGTAATTTCTTATTAATGTAGCAGAATAAGTCTAGTTTAGTTTATGACTAATGTGCCAAAAATCATTCAGGTTGTTAAGGTTATTTAAAATTTAGATGTGCACTCTGAAACGCCTTCTGGAATAATTTACATGTGATTCAGACGGGGTGCGTATCACTGCCAACTGCTTTCAAAAATAGCCAGGTTAGTGTGTGTGTGTGTGTGTGTGTGTGTGTGTGTGTGTGCGCGTGTGTGTGTGTGCGTGTGTGAGACTTGCATACTAAAAAGGAAGCAAGTCAGTGTCGGTATGACGAACTGTTGCTAAGCAGCGGTGGTTGCTAGGTGGTGGAGGGGGAAGGGGAGACAGGTTTGCAGTTAGTGATGGAATCTGAGGGCTTACCTCTGTGTGCACACGTGTGTGTGTGTGTGTGTGTTCCCTTGGATTTATATGGTTTAAATATTGATACTGCAGTGTGGGGGGGAAAATGCAGTTTGTACCACAATAAAGCTGCCATTTTAGAGGTCATTTCAATTTATGTTCACAACAAGCGCTATGGAAAAAAGGAAGATGTATCACATTCAACCTCAGAGCAATGTCTGATGTGTAAGGTGGGTTCGGTGAGAGCTCCATGGTGAATTTTGTTTTAAACTGTAATAAATGACTCATTAAAAACAGGCCAAAAAATGCTGTCTAGCAGTGTCAGATTCAACAATGAAAGAATGAGTCATTTATTTTGTCTTCTTGTGTTGCAGATTCATCAGGAAAGCTGCAGAATATCTGGCAGAGGAACACACAGAGTGAAACCAGCACACTCCTCGGCTTTCCCCAGGACAATTACTGTATTATACGCAGCAGGGGAAAGCCTCCGCGTTTGCCGGCTTCCCTCTGTGTGTGTGTGTTTTCACATATATATTAGCTTCTTCTGCACACTCTAGAGTTACAGTTTTTGGTCTCCCCCCCGTCTCTTATCAGCAGGTACATTACTGAACATACTGTGCATCCCTAGCCATTGTCGCTCGTGTCAGATCTGGTCTGTTCCAGTCGGGTGAAGGAGATGGTGGGGGGGTTGGCAGGGCGAGACACAGGCAGCCATTTGTACTCAAGGTCCTGCGATGGAGGGTCCAAACTCCAATTGTAGTGCTTTAACAGGTACATGCACGCTTCCTGGCAGCAAAACACAAGAAAAACTGTTTTCTGAATGTGTTGTAAAATCAGTATCTATGCAGCATCGACATAAACAGAACTCACTTTCTGCCTGACGCATGATATTTAAAGTAAAACTCAGTGGGGGTGTCAGTGAAAATTTTCTTCAGCAGTGCAAAAACAAAATGTTAAACTAGAAGGCATTTGGCAGAGCATAAGCCTCCGCCAACACTTGACTAAGTCTCCAACTTGTAAAGCTACAGCCTCCACAACACTGTATGTCTATTTGTATGTTGATTTCTATATTTGAAAACAGCAACGCAACACGTCTCAGCAGCCAAGTTGAAATGGAACATTAGGTCTTTGGGACGTGGTTGACGGTAGAAATGACTCAAATGATAAACACGAAAGTATATGCGATATATAAATATGTGATTATAGATTTGATTAATACAATAAAAGCCCTCTAACCATGTACGGTTTTCATTTTACCAAAAATGTCATGTTACATTATGCTCCTACCGTCTCCATCGTCTATTTTGTGTAAAAGCTGAACTATGGTACAACAAGACAGAAAAAAATCTGATAATCTGTTCTATTTTATTCTACATACTAAGAGCAGTCTGAGCTCGATAGCTGGTGAAATCATAGCCATCATTCCCCATTGGCTGACACTCAGCCCAAGTGCCTACCAATGGTATCCACCAACGCCAGTTGCCCCACCTCCCTCCATTTTATGAATGAAGATTTTCCTGATAGAGTTTGGGGGGGGGGGAAATGAGGGAATGGAGGATGGATGATGAGGGTAGGGGTGGGAGGAAGAAGTAACGGGGAAGGATGGAGGAGCAAGGAGGCGATGAGTCACATCTCTGACCTAGATCCCTGCGGTCTACTTTTTACTCTGGTCACGCCCTTATGGGTTGGTGTGTGTGTGTGTGTGTGTGTGTGCGCAGTGGTCAATCCGCTGAGAGTCAATCAGCCAAACGGTCTGGTCTTTTTAGTAGTAACAGAGCAGGTAACAGTGAAAAATGAGGAAGAGTGTGTGCCTCATTAGCGCAAAATAAACCTTAAGAAGGTGATGGATAGTGTGCTTCTTGTACACTATAACACAGCAGTGCTGGGTCGGGCTGCTCAATGTTGCAGAGAGTGTTTTTTACTAAGGGAGGCTAAGAGAAGGAGGAGGGTTGACCCCGTTTCTATTGATGACATCATGTCTTGAATGAATCAGTCTACATTGATTGGTTGAGAGCAGGTGACTGGCCTGTGTTAGTGAATGTGAAATAAAATATTCATCAATACATATGAGTGTGAAAAGGAACTAGACTGCATTAGATTAGATAAAACAAAAAAAGGTAGTTTACATTCAAATCATAAATGAAATCAAGCTAAATATTGAATGAACTGAATCAAATTAAATAGAAAAAAAGAATAAATAAAAGACTGTGTGTAGCTATGAAGCTCACAGGTTATGGAACTACAGTTTGTCCTTCAAACAGTGCCTCTCTCCAGGCTTGGTGCCTTTTATGAGTGTATTGGTTGCCTGGGAGGAGCTACTCCCTGAAAGACTTAGGGGAAAAAAAGTCTCTCTTGCGAAGTAAATACCACAAAATTACATGAAAAAGATGTGCACTGACGCGTGTCTCTGGCCATTCTTTATTACATGAGAGTGCTATCCGCCTGCATATACACATCACTACACCTCTGCTGTTTTCCTGTGCAAAGCAGGATTATTAGCAACATTACAGGTGTGCTGATTTTTGATTTAACCTCCAAATAAAGTTGGATAAACTGTTTCCCATCATTTTAGTAATGGTTCCACTAATTATTTTGTAATCAGAACTATGAAAATAAAACAAAAAGATGAAGACAAAAAGACTTAATAAATTAATTAATTATTAACATAATAGTTTTCCTTTATATGTTTATTTACCAATAAACTTGCAGCGTTGGCACAGATTGTTTGGTACTCTTTGGGTCTTGGTGGTGTCATTTTTTCGCATTACCTTGGAAAGCCACATATCACAGAGCTTAGCAGCTGACAAATGTTAGTAAATGGCATTTAACCTTGATAGGAAACACCTTTATAGCAGTATTATTGCGATGAATTGACTTATTATTTGGGTTATTCACATTATTTTACCTACCATCCTCTGGTTGTTATGAGGCAGTATTAATACATATCTAAATGATCTAAACAGTGAAAGTTTGGTGCTGTTGACCTGTGAATCAAATCCATCAGATCTCTTATATCTAAAGTATAACCTGCTGGGTCTTGTCAAAATGATTACTTATTATGCGCTATTGACCAAATTGTGCCCATGAATTGCAATAAAACTGGTACAACATAGATTAATACATTTCAACCTCAATTACAGCTTTCCTATGTATAGATATATACATTTGCAAAGAGAAGATGATTACCCATTGTCCATTTGGAGAGCAAGAGTATGAGAGCAATGCTCTGCCCACATTATCCCATTCATGCCACATGCTTAAGCAATAAAAAAAAAAACAAGCAGCCTCTGGTTATCTAGAATAAGTAATCCAATTCTAAATAATGAGATATGATTGTGCTGCTGAACAATGAGTAGAGCTGAATGAGGCGAGAGCAGATCATTAAACCGCTTTGGACATTTCACCTGAGCTCCATTCAATCAGGCCCAACATTAGCAATGACTCATGAGTGTGTGTGTGTGTGTGTGTGTGTGTGTGTGTGTGTGTGTGTGTGTGTGTGTGTGTGTGTGTGTGTGTGTGTGTGTGTTTCTGACTTAGGCTACCAAAAGCTATGTCCCCAATTTGAAAAAAGCTAATTGTGTGCGTTTGAGGTGTGTGTGTGTGTGTGAGTCATCCCTCAATGTTGCACTGTTGCATTAACACCCCCATCCATAATACGATTGTTTGCTTTTTTTTTGCTATTTAATAGTCTGAGAAGAAGAACATATAGATGCTGTCTTAGTTAGTAATCTACCAGCGGATGTTAAATAATGTACTTTCAGTGTGTTAGTTAACAGCCTGACTCAACGGATGTTAACTGCTGAGATAAGCCTCTCATTGGCTGACTGGTGCAATCTGCTTCCTTCCCTCTGCTCTCTCACCCGGTCTTTCTTGCCATGCTCATTGAGAAACAGCAACGATAAGCAGATGATCAATGAACGAAGTCATGAAAACAAAAGAGTGTGCAGCCCTTTGGATTAAAATAAAACATAGCCATGTTTTCTTTTGCACATTTCAAGCGTTTGGCAGTGGAAAACAGGCTTCATGGTTGAATCAGGCAACCACTGCGACATAAAACACTGCAGAATAAGAACAAGGATGAATCTTTATTGCCGTGTCTTCTACATGGGTTGTCATCATGTGCTAACGCCTCTTCTTTCTTTTAGCATTATACCATTTATGTAGCTCTCAAGAACCTTTTAAACAGTTCTTGTTTCAAAAGGAGTCACCTGAAAACACTGGAAAGTTAGCCAGACAATGTTTTCCACCAACTGATGGGAGTTAGCTTTACTAGCAACAGTTGACAAATGAGAGGTTTGCTTTTGTCTACTGACGTAGTTGGGGCTTTGGAAAGTGTCCATTAAGTCTGACTTTATTGGTTGTAACCAAAACATGATCGATCCTTTTATGAGAAATGTTTAACCTGCACAAGGTTTGGCTGTGATTACTGAAAATCAGAGGGGATCCTTACAGGCTAGTTGTTTTCAAACTGGTGTCGACCCCACTCCCCAGGGTCAAGCCTCACAACACACACACACACACACACACACACACACACACACACACACACACACACACACACACACACACACACACACACACAGCTGTTCCCAGAGGGAAAACCCTCACATGGGAAATAAATCTCTCTCCTTCCTGTTGTCACACCTGTAACACACCTGTCTTGTTCTGGTGCCTTCCATAGGCCTTGTTTGCATGTATGTGTGTGTGTGTGTGTGTATGTGTCTCCAGGGTACATAGGCAAGGGTGGCTATGGTGAGTGCTGCTGTGGGGACTAGCAGGTGGTTTAAACAGGACAGTCTGTACCCGGGGCTGTCTGTCTGATATCTCTAATAAACACTTTCTCACTCCCACACCCACACACCCACACACACACACACACACACACACACACACACACACAGAGAGAGAGAGAGAGAGCCATTCATTTCATCATTCCCATGAGCAGTGCTCTCTTTACAGAATAGTCGGCGGATGATTCATCTCTATCTCTCTGTCACTGTTTCTCGTCCAGTAGCAGGCCCCCCCTACAAAAATGACGAAAAACGGTTTCCCCCAAACCTTTCTGATTTTTCAATTTATCCGTCAAAAGTTTATGCTATAGTTTGGGGCTATAGAATTTATATTTTCAAAAATAATAACTTTTATAAGTTTTTTTTTTTTTTACATCACATGCAGAAAACAGGGTTTTTCTCAAATTGAGTCTGATTGAAAGTGGAGAAAGTGAATTTCTTTAACAAAGAGAGATTTGTTATCTTGGTCTAAGTACTGTGGCCAGATGAGGACAAGCCAACTGGTTGCCTCAATGTCACACCAGTGATAATGTTAGTGCTACAGTAATATTTCAGAGAACAAATTCTAATTTTTTTTCAATATCAGCCTCCTCTCCTCCCTCCCTGAAGAGCATAAACACATTGGTACAAGTACATTTTCCATCAGCCTTTCCCTCAGTCCAGTAGACTTCTGGACTAGAGCTCAAAATGAAAAATATAGAGCTGAAGCGGCTAAACCACGAATGTCTCAACATCTCAGCGATTTGACTTCTTTGTGTCTCATTCATTAAATAAAAGTTAGAAAGGAAGTGAAAAAGCCAACCTTCTGTCAATCTTTTACCTCCCTCGCTCAAAAGGAATAGTTTTAATGAATGAGAAAAGTCAATAATAAGAGTGTACGTATGTATTTATGTGTTTGTGTGTGTTAAAATGGAGTCACCTTGAGGAAGAAATTGGTAAGTTTAATTCCGATGCAGCTTCTGGGCCCGCTGCCGAAGGAACACAGGAAGTGCTCCTGGCCTGCATTCCTGCACATACAAAAACATGGTTACACACAAATGGAAAATGTGTGCAAAGAAATCGGAAATGCTGAAATCAATATTCTAACAAAGCTTCAAGTGTTAGAGGAACACAAAACGTTTTTAAACTAATTTGAAGTCAGAGCACTCAAGCTGGTATTCACATCCCATCCAACAGGATGGGATGTGAATTCCGCTCATAGTCCTTTCTCAGCAGAACAATGACCACTTCATGCCTCTGTTTTGCGTGTCTAACAAATGAATGTACTGTTATCCATAAGATGATGGGACATATGATGATGACATGATAGGCAAACGTCATGTCTCTTAACCAATGATATGACTTGATTGGTGGCCAGTGGTCCCATTGCTGGCCATGGCTCTAGGCAGCATTGGTTTGTCAGATGGATTTTACATTTTGCACAATCATTTGTGTGGTTTCCAGAGGATGAACAATAAATCTACTAAATTTCTTCTTTTAAATATAAACAACTTTTTCAAAATGCTTTTGTGTTTTAAGCAGCAGCAAATGTGAACGTACCTTTCCAATATAACTAAATCAGATTCTAAAGCAGCCAAAGAATTTGTTTGTAAACAAATAAAAGTTATATTCACATTAAGTGTCTCTCACTAAAACAATTGGGGTTGTCAAACATGTTTAATGCAATGCCTTCACCATAAAACATTTCAGTTTTCCCACAAAGGCAGTCCAAGAAAACTGCTATACTTCTTTGTGTATTCCTTCCACAAACAATTTATTAGCAGAATAGCATTAAATGTTGCTGCAGGAATGTGTGCATCATGATACAAACAAAACATGGATCTACATTGATCCATAGTGCTACTCCACAGGGTAACTTTAAGTATCAAAGTTAAAGGACTCAAAATGGTACCGATCTGAACTGGAGATGCATCCTTGAACAACACACCTTAACCTTTGACATCCCTGTGGCATGAGAGCCAATTAAATCATTAACTTCTCTTTGGGGGATCAACAGAAAATCACTTGGATAGAATGAATGAACAAGTCTGTATGTGCACCCCAACACAACATGTTAGACCTGAATCATTGTCACAGCTTGACACGTTTTGTCTGTCTGACTCTTTCTACCATACCTGCTGTAATTCCTCTAAAACATACTTAAAATAAAGAAATGCTGGTTGTTTCCAGCCGACAGGTTTGTCAACAGCCTGCTAATGCAGGACATCTCTCCCCTCTCACCACTAATGCATCCTGTCTTCCTGAAACCTGAGCTCTGATTAAAGGCAAACAGGAAGCATTAGTGGTGTGTATAGTCTGGGTCCAGTGTGTACCAGAGGCTTTGTGTGTGTGTGTGAGAGACAGAGAGGGAAGGGGGAATATTAGTGTTCTCTGCAGCATCTGTCTAATGGTTTAATGTTCTATTAGGCTCATCCTGAAACAGTAAGATGTGTAGCATGCAATGCAGTCCTGTAATACTGAGACACAGAGAGGGGAAGTCTTACCGAGCAGTCCAACAGAAGGCTTTATCAAATATGCTGAATGGATGGAAAGTAAACCAGAGAGTAGTATTATCTCTTTTACAGTATAATTAATTTTTCTACTGTAAAGTGTAATAAGAGAGAAGTCTGAAATGCTGTGACTAAGATCTGATCTGATTGCATTTGCCCCCCCAAGTAGGGAAACAGTTAACCAATCAGAGCTTAGTAGGAGGGATTAAGAATGGGTCACAATCTTCTTACAAAGCTAGAGAAGAAGAAGAACTGCTGAATTAAAATGATGTGAAGCATGGATGAGATCAACATGTAAGTCAACTTACAGACAAAATATTTTTAAACTTTTCCAGGAAAATTTGGACCAGCCGGCACACTTCCTATTAATTACAAATGCTAAGCTAGTGTAGCCTTTACACTTTTATTTAGTGCACAGCAGATCAAATGAAAATGCAAAAGTGTGACTTTGTCCACAGGCAAACAGACAATACAACTGAGCATAGGCTGGGAATAAAGTTTCCAATTATAAATGCAAGAGGACTAAATATTTACATGGCTTTAAAAAGGAGCAGTTCTTCTAAGGAAATTAATCTGGAAATCAAGAACAAACTCAATGAACTAACTAAAACACTATTCTTCCTATAATTAGTTACAAACCAAATGACATACACTGTACATATTTTCAAGAAACCTTCAGATAATTATAGCATATCATGCCTAAACGCTATTATAATAAAAAACATAAAATATATTATTATCAGGATCATAATAAAGTCTATATTTCTGCATTAATACACTATGACAAACAGACCTGGCGTTATCTTTAGGGACTCATGTTGACTGCTAAGATTTCTCAGCATTCATACAAATATAAATGGAAAAAAAGTATAAAAAATACAAATGAGATTTCCACTTCAAATAAAAACAGATGTATGTCAGTATTTTTTTCCAGACAAGAGGAAAACTCCCCGTTCACAGATTGATCTAAAACCAGCAACACAACCCGCTGCAGTAGCTCGGATTTTTATCTGTGTTTGGAAGCGCTTCCGATTCATTTATCTACGGCCAGAGCCTGTGTGGGCGTTTGGCTGATAGGATGTTAACTTGCCAGCTCCACTATTTGCTTCCAACTGGAAAAGCACACAGACACGCACACACACACACACACACACAGGCTGATGATATGTACTGGGACACACACAGCATACAATATATGCAACAATCGCACAGAAACACACAAACACAAACATACGATGTGGTTAAACTGTAGTTATTATAGGTGCGCTTGTTATGTAACAGGACTGCAGTCATTAAATTAAACAGCCAGGTGGCAAGGAAAGGAGCCAGGCAACTATCAAGGCAGACAGGAAAATAATCTCCAGGAAGACTGACAGATGGAGAAGCAGAGACAGAAGCAGGTAGGAGGAAAGAGAAACAGACCGGAAGATAAATGAAGGGTTGAAAGAGCAGCTACAGCAAACACACAGACAGACAGAAAGACAGCTTTAGACAGAAAGGTGGCTAATTTATTCATCCTGTGGGAAATTCACTAGTTTGAGACACATAACTAGAATACACATACATAAATCAAAACATTGAATCTCCTACACCTAAAATTACCTTTCAACCCCAAGCTGATTGACTTCTAGTTAAGACGTGAATACTTAAATACAGGTCACAAGCACTGTGTGATTTCATTTTTTAAAAAAAGGCCTAACAATAAATGGTGCAATTCTTGGGTTTGAATTTCTAGCTGGTGAATTTTGGTGAGCTAGTGAGTATTTAAGGCATCAGGACGGTGCATGTAGGCATAGATGGTAAATGTGAAATGGACTGTACTTGTATAGCACCTTTCTAGTCTTCCGAGCCCTTTAACACAACATGCCACATTCACCCATTCACACACATTCACTTAGTGATGGCAAAGGCTCATCGCAAACAGAAACTCAGTAACCCACATTCACACACCGATGCACAACATCAGGAGCAATTTGTATCAGGATCTTGCTCAAGGACACTTCGACATGCAGCAGGTGGCGTTTGGCAGGAATAAGCTGTATGGCTACATCAGTAGGATCAATTCATTGTTAGTTTTAGTCTTTAAAGGGAGTTGACTGTAAAACAAAATGTATCATCAGATTATCAAACATATCCTTTAAGGCAATGCTCATAGGTTTATGTCTGGATGATTCGGACCTTGGCTGAGCTATGTACAAAACTGTATTTATGATTTTTCTTGGTATATTTTTTACAATAAGTTTGCTAGATTTTACATCATCATCAACATCTGATGGAAAATCTGACTCATTCCTTAACCGTATTGCCTCCTCAGAGCAGGATGCACACACACACACACACACACACACACACACACACACACACACACACACACACACACACACACACACACACACACACACACACACACACACACACACACAGCACGCAGGGAATCCCCATTGGTAAAAATGGGTGTGAGGTGGCCAGTTACCATGGCAGCATCTACCTGGCCATTCATACATAGATTTCTTTCTTCAGCTGAGTCCATTTCAGTCGATTTTAAATGGCACCCATTGTGAAGTTAACATTGTGTTATGTATGAGCAGATCAGCAAAAAGATATTTGATACGAAATTTTACATATATTTATTTTATTAATAATATAACATTTATTAATATATATTTATCTCATATACAATAGAGATTCCTTTAAGATTCCTTATTCATGGTGTGACCATAAAGAAAAAGGGGGGTAATCCTTCCTGTGACTTAGACTGATGCGGTTATATGTGTGTGCATGTGTGTCTGTGTATTTTATTATTTATCAGTTTGTCAGTTCCGCTAAAAAGGGATTTCATAATTGTGGCTATATTTAACTGATAGAGGGAAGCCCCGAACGAAAAGAGGACTCTCTCTGGTTTTTGTCCTGAGAGGCACACACACACACCCACACACACACACACACACACACACACACACACACACACACACACACACACACACACACACACACACACACACACACACACACACAAAGAAAGAGAAGCAGGATAGGATCTTCTCTGACTCATTTCTCTGTATCCCATCCAACTCCACAGGGCATTTTTCTCCCCCATCCTGCACACACACACACACATACACACACACGCACAGGGGGAATCCCTATTGGTAAAGACAGTGTCAGGTGACCCGTTTCCATGGCAGCAGCTACCTACATACATACATTCATAGATTTTTTTCCCCCCGCTGCTCTGTTGCCTGAATGAACAAGCATGAATGAGAATAAACAGGTGAATGGGGGAAAGTGGATGAATAGGAAAACGGTTGACAGAGGAAGTGAATTAGTGAAGGAGCCAGATCAGGTTTCATTCTCCCAGAGCAGGTAGCAGACAGACAGCAAGGGATGTGAGTGAGGGACCCACAGCTTGTCTTCAACTGTCTCTTTGTGTACCTTTGTACAGTACATGTATGTGAAAGTAGTCAATTAAGATTTGTGTGCTCAGGTGTTGTTAATCCATCTGCAGTTTCTATGGTAACAACATAGGCGTATGTATGGGTGGCGCCAACCAGCATGATTTTCCAACACAGTATCACTAAGCAAGCTGCAGTCTAGACACTCAGACTAAGTTGCCACTGACCACAGGCAGAAAGAGAAGCTGGGTTCACCGTCCTGTCAGAAGCAAGCAACAGTGTAAACAGGAAGTCACTGCAGCATCAAGTTTTAACATAACAATAACATGGCGGACTCCATTGAAGGCGACTGTTGATAAAAACGGCTTATTCTAAGGAAACAAAAACGCAATGATTCCTATATTCAGGTGATTATAAATTAATGTAAACATACCGAATACCGTATAGAGAAATACACATTCATCCATTGTCCATTTGATTATCTGTTGTCTCTTCACCACAGCTTAATTCCTTTTCTTTTTAAACTTTATGTGTTTTTTTTGTTTTTTTTTAAGTATATGAATGTTTTTCCTCATTTTTTCCTTATCAAGATGGCTGTTTGTGACTCATTTCCTTGACCCTTAATGTGTCAGGGCACTGAAAGCTTCCTTCCTCTCACTCCTAATGGTCAGTGTGTTTGTGTGTGCATGTGCTTGATACCACAATTAGCCACAGTGAGTGGCAGGTAGGGTGTGTGTGAATAGAGATGCACATGCTGCAGATGTTTGTATGTCAACCTTTAGGGGTGAGACACTTAAAATTGTGGAAAAAGTCACAGGTTCAGTTCCCCGAGACAGTGAATGAGGAGATCCCTTGGATGGAGAACGAGCATTGTGACGAAATAACTCATCACAGTTGGATACTCAATTTAATGATTGATTTGATGAGCATTATTTCCTAAAAAAAAAAGCTATTTCATCAGTCTGGAAAGTTCAATGGCATATTTTGTTTTATTCCACCTTCTTCAGCTCATGAGTACCTATCTTATGAATGCCTTTCAATCAGCTGAAATTAGATGTGTATGTGAAGGCAGCAGCATCAATGGTAAGAAACCAAAGTTGTTTCCAGTTTTGAAGCACTGAATCAAAAATCAGCATTTTTTTCTATCTATTTTCTGCTCCTGCGGGTGCATAGATTGCTCTCTCTGCCTCTAATATGTTTCTTTCTCCTTTTGTGATGGTTGATTATCTATGCAAGATGGCAGCTCTAGACAGAAGCATTTGCTCTTTCAAAAGTACTGAAACCAAAATTTGAAGTCTGGAGTGATGAGTCGAGATTGTGGCAAAGTTTTTGACTTGCTATGACTCCGTGAATGACCAGAAAAATAGAAAAAAAACCTTTAAATACAGTTACTGAATCCATTACTGTGCTGTAATAAATATGACTTGCAGTGTGGTAATTCTAGAGATTGTTGTAGTTTGTGGTGGAGCTTCATTGATTTGTATTAAACAGTGTTTCTACTATTTTTGCACTTCCATAGACATAAAACCGGAAATATAAGATTTATGGTAAATATATAGCTTTTAATTTAGGTGTTAGCATCTTAAGACGCAATGGGTTGATGGAGCAACATAAGCACACATTTACTTATTACTCAAAATTAAATTTCAATGTTTTAAATGCCTTTTTGGTCATGAAGCATGGAACGACTATGGTTAGCTTAACATTCATCATACAGTCATATAGACACATACAAAAATACATTTCAACAATTTCAGACAAGTAAATGATAGCTTGGGGTTCACTGGCTGTAGAAAAACATTACAATGTGCAGGATACAACCTTTGAAATGGTTAACCATTTTATTTCTTCCTTTTCATATGTTTTGCTCTTCTTGTCTTTGGGGCTCTTTGTAGTAAATGTCACTTTTAGATTACAACTTGTTTATGCATTCATTTTCTTCTGAACCCTCTTTACTGTGAAAAGGAAGCACATAGGAAAAGACAAATCTAAGATTCTCACCTTCCGCTCCATCTCTCCGGCAGGAAGCTGTCCGGCTGCTGGAACACCTCTGGGTCACGGTGGACCGAGTGGCTGATATAGATCGCACCATAACCCTTTGGGACATGAAGCCCTGCAAGGGTGGCGTCCTACACACACACAGAAGGAAACATAAGATTATTATATCTTATTTAAATTAATTGACATTCACTTTTCTTTCTCTGTATTTACTCAATACATCTGGATTGAAAAGGAAAAGGAAGTGCTGGTTTGTGATGATTTCATCAACATTCCAGCAACTGCATTTTGTATTTCATCATCATGCTTTTAGGGCTGTGCTAGCAATGTTCGTTGGCACTGAATGATGACTACATATTTGATGCATGCAAACTATTATTATATCTGTAACTCTTTTCTCAAACTGAATCATGCACTTGCTAAATCCTGCTTCCCATCTACAACACCTATGTATTTTTGATAAAGGATTTTAAAGCAAGGTCAAAGCACATATGTATGTAGCAGAGGTGGGAAGTCGCGAAGTACAAATACTGTGTTACTTTACTTAACTTACTAACTAAGTAGTTTTTTAAAATATCTTTACTTCAGTATTTATTTTCTGACAACTTTTTACCTTTTTACTTGTACCCAAAACAGGCTTGTTACATGCAGGTTTAATGCATCTGAGGGGAATTATTGATTGATGGATTAAATACATTTCTTTTGCATCATTGCATGCCCTCCCAACATCAAGACCGGTGCATATCAGGTATGACAGATGTAGCATGATGAAAACAACATTAAAGACACAACACTGTAACAAGAAAAAACAGACAAGAGAAGAAGACTCAACCCGGTTTGAAGTTTCCGTTACCTTTACACAGAAACGGCCAGTAGAAACGTCCTTCAGAGCAGCCAAGAGAGTAGTTTTTACTTTCATACTATGAGTATATTTCAGAGTCTGTACTTTTTCCACTTTTTCTTAAGTAAAGAAGTTGAATCAGTACTTATACTGTTATCGTTTTTTTATTTTACGTTAAGTGTCTTTACTTCTACGGGAGTAAAGACTGTGTGTACTTTTGCCACCTCTGGTAAGTAGTGCCATTGCATCCAACCAGAACAAAAACTGATGTTCTTCAAGACAACTTTAAGGACGTACTATTAATAATACCCCTTCGAAGTTAAATGAATGGGAGTTTTCTTTAACCCTGATAATTGGCTCAAATGATTTTTACATTTATAACGAAAATTTCCCGAGTTGCTTTTTCCACTAAGCTCTGGTAAAAGGAGCCACCTTGGGGCAAAAAGACCACTTACCCAATTGTTGCCCTTTTAATTCATCTTTTCACTACATCCATTAGTAGCTGCACTAATGGACTGCCAGAGAACATGATCACTGTTTCTCTTTCCTCTACCCTCTTTCTCATTTTTCTCTGTGCCTCTCTCTGCTGGAGTGGAAAATCTTTAACAAATCTCTTTCTTTCTCCCAGTTCTCACTGAGAGATGTCTCTGCCCTTGCTGAGTTCATTCTCCCTCCCTCTGGCTCTCTCTCTCTCTCTCACACACACACACACACACACACACACACACACACACACACACACGTACATATACACATACACATACACATACACGTACACGTACACAAACACGAACACACTCAAGTTGCTAAAACTATTGCATATCTTAGTTCCACCTGGATTGAGCTTCTACTTTTTCCACCTGATTGTGAATACTAATAATCTCTCTCTTTCTTACACACTTTCCTGGGCACATAAACATCTCATCAATTCTTGTCATTCCAGATCCAGCACTTCCCTCTTACTGGTTGTGTTCCTCATTAATTATTCAATATCAAAACATCATTGCACATCATAATTTGATATTTCTTTCAACAAAGTACAACAAAGGACTGCACAAAAGACTGTGCCACACTTTTCTATACTGAATTCTTTATAACATTCACCTTACATAGTATATTATTTGAGACTTTAGAATGAAACATTTTCTCTTGATTAAGTTATAGTCAGGCTACCACACTGACAATATGTCACTGATTAACTGTAGGTAGTTTTCAAAGGAGCTACTTTTGTACTTTGACTAAAGTACTTTTCAACACAAATAATCTGGCCTACTTACAAGTATTCCTTCATAACAAATCCATCTTGCATTTTTGTTTTCTTTTGTGCTTTTGTCTCTTTATACCATGACCTTAGTGGACTTGATGGCTTCAACAAACCTTAATAAAACACTAAACTTCTCTAAAACCTCACACATCATGAACCCGCGTCCCACTGAGGCCAACGGGAATCAAAGTGTACTGGTGCATTTCCAAGAGGTGACGAATGACTTTCCACTCGGCTTCACAGTGTCACCAGCACACATCACTCCCGCCGCCAAACCCTGACCCACCGGCCCCCCACAACTCCCTTCCTTCCGGGGAAGCAGAGCCGATCAATCACAGAGACAGATCAATACCTCTGATTGGGCTGTTGCATAAGGCTGTTTTATGAGGTCACAATGCCAGCCGGTGGGCAGGAAGCAGAGACGCTGTAAACACCCCGCCTTCTGAGTAAGTGACCGGCCAATCGAGACATTCGACTGTGAGTAAAGGTTGGATTCTATTGGCTGACAGCAGTGATGTCAAACCAGAGAGCGATCGTTTTAATGGACGAAAATCGATGTAACAAATACAGTAGGACTACAGGATATAAGATACTTGGCATACAGATTTAGAAAACTATTTATATAGTTATAGACTAAAATATTATAAACCTTCACACATAATAAGTCACCAGTAAATGAAGCATGTGGAAATGATGGCATGGAAGACTTGAACAAGCGCTATAGAAAATAACAGAAACACCATAAAACAACATAAAACAGTCCTGCAGTAAATACCAGTTCTATAATTGGTCTAATGACATTTCATGTATCATGTTGCCATTAAAACACATATGTTACTCAAATAATGATAGTTTGATGTCTATTATAGCAGACACACAATGCTCGTATATAATAATAATAATATTGTAGTTTCTGCTTTCCCTGCAACACCTGCAAAATAAAGGTTGTTACAGGACACCCACTAACAAAAGCTGAAGACACTTAATACAAAATGCCTCAAAATGACCATAAAAAAAGCTGAACATTATTTACAACATTGACCGAACTGGTATATAGTGCAGGGCTAATGTAATGTGCTGTAAGGTATTTGTGTTTTTTGTCCAGCACTCGTAAACCAGTACTGTACCTCTCAACACAAGAGAGAGGACCTTGACAGTGGAAGAGACTTTCATATACAGTGATATGTCGCCATCTAGAGGAATGGAGTGTAACACAAGCCAAATAAACATCTTGGCCTGTGTCATTTTTTGAAGACTAACGGAATATAAACACATTAAAGGTTCAACAAAGACCATCATAAATCCTTCAAATTGTAGAGGAATGGGAGCCATTTCATACAACACTGTATATTAGCACAGGGTTTGTTTAAGAATTTACCTTAAAATTAGTTGTAACAGTTTGTCTATTTAACAACTTTGTTAAAACACCCAAATGGAAAGATTTATATAAACTAAAATCTCAGATTTATATTCATTATTCTTTATTGTAAATTGAACTAAAAACAAAATAGTACCGCTAACATACTTTATTAGGTGGGTTGTACTTACTTTAGTTTGCTCTTTATGTTGTTTTTAATGCTCATAACCCAGGGACTGGTAGCTTATTCTACTTTTCCACTGATTGTTAAGATGTATCGGCAACTGTATCTACTATGTGCCAAAAGTGTGAAGCATAAATGGTTGAAATCCCATTTGATTTGGTTCTCTACACAACAACTCAGTATTTTCCATTTGCTGGAAACACTTTAGAAGACAGCAACACACATAGAAAATCTTTCAGTCAGTTCATATTTGTCCAGATTGTAGGAGCAAAAATCTGAAATGCTGGCATTGGTCTGCAGGTCATGGTGCCCATATTTCTCACAGACCAGTGCAGACTCCTCGTGCTCTTGATCAGTCTGTTATAATGGCTTTAGAGAAAGTGACCCTAGATCTCTCAAAATCAGGATGAGAAATACTAAATATCCATTCAATAGTTTATGTAAATCAATAAGATGGAAACCAGTGGTGAACAGTCCTACCTGATCAGCTATTCTGCGTCCACCAATAAAAGGAGGCCAAAGTCTCTGAACCTCCAGCAGTACCCTATGCAGGTAATCAGGGTCTTCCATTGCTCGCCGACGTGTCTTCTCCTGAACATGGAGAATAGGATTTTTGTTAATTTCATTTAAAGGTAAAGAAAAGTTTGTTAAAAAGCAAAAAGAGCTACAAGAGCTGTGTTTGTGTACCTGTTCGTTTCCACTGAGTGCCAGTGTGAAGGAGGTGAGCAGTGACGCCAGAGCTTTGGGGATCAGAGCTGAGATGAACAGCAGGAGATGCTGGGAGGCCGAGTTGGAGTCCGGCAGCGGCAGAGAGCCAAGACGGCCGACAAAACTGGAGAGAGCCAGTGAGAGCAACATTAGGATTAAGGTGCCAAGTTCAACAAATCAGTTCTTATCAACAGAATAGTTACTGAGCAAATAAGCACATAATCAACAGCCTCTGAAAGTGTACGATTTATGGCACAGAGAGTTTTATACATTAGCATGTCCTTGCAAGAGCCAAATACAGCAATCCATTTGCTGTATTTCAGAGGTATTTCAAAACCTCTGACCTGACCCATAGAATTTGAAGCAGTAGCAAAAGAATCAGTCATTTGAGTCCTTTCTGTGTACGTACATTACACACATTACAGTATATTTAGTGGATTTTCAATTTGTGTACAAAAAAAGAGCTGCAAATGAAACAAATTACAGTGCTTGTTTTAGGTGTACAAGTTGGCATGTTGAAAAAGAGAAGGTGTGATAAAAGCCAGTTGAAACAGGTTTTTAGCACATCTTGATGTTGTGCAACCACTAAACTATATATTCACATAAAATGTTTGTCTGCCTGTGTGTCTTTTGTACCACATGGTACGAAAGATAGTTATATCTGTAGTATGAACTGAGTTTCATTATATGGGCAGTCTCACCCCTGCGTGTCATTCTCCAGTTTATCTTTGATGATGTCCATCAGTTTGTCTCTGGCATCCAGAGCGGTGGAGAAACCCGACGACCACAGGGGAACCTTCACATTCACCGGAGCAGAGATCAGACCTGCAGGGGCGGAAGAGGATGTGTTACTAAAAAAGAAATATTTACTGAACTGAAATGAAAGGGGAAGCTGGAGATTTTGCAACACTGTATTGCATAACAACAAAATTGACTATCTAAATAAGTCTGCAAGAGAAAGAAAGATTACAGTACCGGTGCTGCATTTCAGTAAAACACTAATTTACATGAACCCTTTTTTGAGCACTTCATTTGATCTGAACAGAAAGAATAGGGGGCGGCTTATAAGGTCAAGGGCAGCCCTGCACTCACGCCGCATCTATACCTGGCTGTGTATTTTTAAAAAATGGTCATGAGTGTGTGTGTGTGTGTGTGTGTGTGTGTGTGTGTGTGTGTGTGTGTGTGTGTGTAAATCTTACCATGCCAGTGCTGGGTGCAGAGCTGCACGATTTCCTGGTAAAGTTCAGGCTGCTCGTCCGCTTGCACGTTCAGAAACAGGCCCAAAACCAACTCTGTCCCAAGACGCTTAAAGGAAGAGTACACACACGCTGGCTGGCCACTTCACACATACACACACACATTCACACATAGATTAGTTGCATACATTATCTTTACAGTCCCCAAACAATTAGCCTGTAATGTAAACATGAAGTGACTTGAATGAATTCTTTGTGCACACAACCTCTACACCTCCCCAACCATGTTTTTGCCACTGCTGTTATTGTTTATCCAAATTTTTTATTTTAGTTTTACAGCTTGGGAAACAACTTGTACATCCCTAGAATGAATCTAAATGCTTTGAGTGCTGGAGGTTTAGTTCAGTGTTACCTAAGAGAAAGGTCCTTCAGACAGCGCTCACATACACTGTGGAGAGAAAGAGGTAGAAACACACACAGGCACACAAACTTTAGTAAGTTTCTTAAAAAATGATGCTCTAGCAGTGAATTTTGCTACATTATGTACATTGTATTAATAAGATCAGCTACATTCCCTTGTTATTCCAGCATTTCAATCATCATATTACACAGAGTTAATGTAGATTGTCGAGTCTTGCTTAAGAAACCTTTGACATGGTTGGACACAGCAACAACTGTTGCAGCAATACAGGCTTTGCAGTTGTGTAACAAATGTCCTTGCTACCATTTTTAGCGTCATCGTGGACATCCACTGAACAAGAGGCTCTAAATACACAATCAGAGTTGAAAAAAAAAAAAATGTGAATGAGCTCCATGGCTTTTAAAACTCAGGTTTGACTGTGAACCATGTGACTTTCAAGGTCATAAAATACACATCAGGACATGCAACAACATATAATATGAATGAATGCGTAATGCCCCTACCTGGTGATATAATCACTTGATGATTCCAAACAACTTCCTGCAAACAGGCTGGTGAGAGACAGACGGAGAAGACATGCCTCCTCACCTAAAACACACAAATACAAGCTACTCCTGTTTATAAAGGCAGAGCTGAATTTAAGCATATTTTTCCAGTTACACTTATTGTTGTGAGTGGCTAGAGTTATTTTTCTTAGTGCAGAAATCATAAGTGGCTGCTTTTTGGAAAGTATTAGTATCATTTGATTTAGAATATTTTCTCTTGTTTTGATTATACATTCTGTATTTTTTCAAGAAAAAACATTAACGGCAGTGGTTTTTCAGCCTAACAGACACTGGTTTCTTGGTCCAACTTGCTATTTTAAACTAAACTGTGTATAAAATACATTTCTGAAGAACCAGAGAGGGTTTTCATTACATCTGTGTTCGCCTGGCAGCAATGAGAGGCATTTATGTGGCAGTATACCGTTTAGGGCAGCAACAACAATTACTTTCATGATCAGTTCATCTACTTTTAACATTTAATCTTTCCAAGGTGATGCCTTCAAATGTTTTGTTTTGTTCAACCATCAGTTCAAAACCAAAAGATATTCAGTTTACTATCATAAACACTGTTAACCAGTTCTGCTTGAAAAATAACTGTTTCTGATTCATTTTCTGTCAATCAACCTAATTGTTGTATTTCTAATGCTGTAATATTTGAGCGCCTCCTTAGAAGCCCAGTTTTGACCTATCTGTGGGTTTTTTTTGTGTTTACCATTAGCAGTGACAACGGTGTCTCCATACATGTTGGTCATCAAGTCAGTTGGATCCTTCAGAAACAAGCTGGACTTCTCTGAAACGCACAACAAAATGTTTATTACTAACACACACATATGCTGTATACATACTGTTAACACACTCCAACAAGTCCATGTTGGGGTTTGATTCTGCTTGCAGGTATGTGTGGGCTATAAACAAAGCAGGCTAGCAGGAGCAAAAGAACAACACACAGCTTAAAAATGAGATAGGAAATGAAATCAAGGTTGGAAATTATTATACATCTCAGGGGATTGCAGTGTACGTACACACAAAATGTATTTCCCCATCTACTTGGAAAGTAAAATTCACAGTCATTAAAGTCTAGTTAATTGTCTAGACTTTAAAGACTATGAGTAATCGTTAATTGTTTTATAATGTATTCTGTATTTTATTTATCTCAATACAGTGTTCAACTATTTATTTTACTATTTCCTCATATGATATGAAATTATTCCATAAGATTTCATTGACTTCGTGAGGTGGTGCGGATCCAACCATCTGCAGCTGAACACCTCCAAGACCAAGGAGATGGTGGTGGACTTCAGAAGGAAGAAACCACATCTCCAACCCGTGTCCATCGAGGGGGTTGATGTGGAGGTGGTCAGGACATAATATCTGGGGCTGCAGCTGGACAGCAAGCTGGACTGAACAGCAAATATGGACACTTTACACAGGATAGGGCAGAGCCGTCTGTACTTCCTGAGAAGGCTGGGGTCCTTCAACATCTGTAAAAAACTGCTGCAGATGTTTTACCAGTCTGTGGTGGCCAGTGTCCTTTTCTATGCTGTGGTTTGCTGGGGAGGAAGCAGCAAGAAGAGAGACGCCGTTCGACTGGACAGACTGGTGAGGAGAGCTGGCTCAGTAGTGGGCACAGAGCTGGACTCTCTGGTGACAGTGGCAGAGAGAAGGACCCTGGACAAACTGCTGTCCATACTGGACAACACCCACCACCCTCTGCACAACACCTTCACCAGGCAGAGGAGTGTGTTCAGTGGCAGACTGCTGTCCCAGTCCAGCTCCACCAACAGACTCAAAAACTCTTTCGTCCCCCTGGCCATCAGACTGTACAACAGCTTTCAGTAAAGGCAGGGAGGACAATAGATAATAGACAATGGACAAGTTCTACCTCCATTTGCCCTGTTTTACTTCCATTTGCACTGTTTACTGTAGCTACTGTTAATTTAATATATTATATATATATATATATATATATATAAGTATTTATCTATCTATCTTCCTTGTTCACACATTTTTGAAAAAACTGAATATATAATGCACTAAGGAATAAAACATGTTGTATTCCTATATATTACTCTCCCTACCTATGTTACAGGTATTGAAAAACAAATATGGTTGGCGAAAGTCAGATACAGTATTGGCACTGATATCTAAATAGGCAAAGTCCTTCTTTAATGGCTGTCTAATGAATAATAACTCCTATGACTTATAATAAGTTACACTGCACTTTAACGTGAGTTTATGGCAACTTCATTGAGGTTTATTGTATGTATTATTTCTCATTTCCTATTTTCCCTCCTTATACTCCTAGATGATTTTCTTTGGTATTTCTGTATTTTCTATTCTTTAACATATGTTGGTGTTATAGATAGGGTAGCAGACTGTATTAACACTACAATAAGACTTCAAATGAGTAATATCCTCCCCCCCCAACATCACGAGTCTCTCCCATGACAAATCAGACTAATCTTGGGGTGAATTACAGAGGAAATTTGCCTTTTGTTCCTATGCCTGAGAGCAAAATCTGACTCATTACACCCTAAAGCAAAGGAGACAAGGTCCCTATAAGCTCTCTAGAAACTACCGACACACTCAGTCCCCTATAAGAATATAAATGTGTATTGACACAGGTTTGATTAAACCAAACAGGTATCAACTCTAATGAAGTTATCAATAATGATCAGAACTATTGCTCAGACTATAAGACCCAGCCTATGAGTCACCACTAATGATCTTGTGATTTATTTTTTAGTTTTCTTGTCGTTGAGAACAAACATGCTGGTGATGCTGGTGCTCACCTGTGGCGCGCACACACACACACACACACACACACACACACACACACACACACACACACATTATAGTTCATACACAGCCGTACAGACGCAACATACCAGACAGCAGCTCTCTCATCCCCTGCACGGAGCAGATGAAGGCGGTCGGTCTGTTCAGCAGCCGGCACTGAAACACTCTGCTCCGGTGTTTCTCGACCCTCTGCCGGCAGAAGCCCACCGGGTCCCGGTAAAACTCCAACGACTTGTCCCCGAGCACCGAGACACCTGCATTTCCTGGTAGTTTAGCCATTCAGGGCCGACGTATGCGTAGGAAACGGAACTTCACCGAGTTTGTTTTAGGTGAAAGGTGGATTCAATCAGGATGTTAACGGCTGTACGCTTAAACAACAGTGGCTCTAAACTTTATTAAGACCCGGTCCCGGTTCACAGTAAATCCTGCTGTCATCGCCTGCTAATGTTTTTAATACCACTGGCTCCAGGAGCGACCTGTGTGTCAGATTACTGCTATCTCATTGTTGGCACTGTTTTTTCTGACGTAACTGAATGTATCCCGCTGCATCGGAGAGTGACGCGTTCAGGAGCTGTCCGTAATTTAAGGCTGCCAATTCTGGCACGACTACAACAGCTGTATGCTTCATTGACTGTCATGACTACAGGCTGGTTTAAAGGTCCAGTGTGTAACATTTAGGAGGATCTATTAATGGAATATAATTTCCATAGGTATGTTTTCATTAGTTTATAAGCACCTGAAAATAAGAGTCTGTGTGTTTTTGTTACTTTGAATGAGACGTTTCCATTAGAGGAAACGGGTCTCCTTCTACAGAGTCCGCTATGTTGAACTGACATGTTTCTACTGTAGCCCAGAAGGGACAAACCAAACAATGGACCTAGATAAGCCCTTTCACATTTCTTGCATGTTTCATGGCAACCATAGTTTCTCCTACACAAGGCTGAGCTGTATTCAGATGGTTGCAATCTGTAACTTCACAGCTAGACGCCACTAAATTCAATCAATCCACTTCCAGTATAACCATTCAGTTCTATCAGGCACTATAAAGTCATAAAAGCTACCTGGGTTAGTATATTTTTTCAACAAATTCTCAGTAAGTGTACTTGAAAACAAAACTAGTTACAAGTGTAATAGCCGTGTCCCCACAGAAAAACCGACTCCAACACTGATATTGTTATCATTTATGAATAAAGGTTTAGTTGTTTGAATAAATTCTATTTTATGTTTTTGCCACACTATACGCCTCTTATTTATCAGAGTTAAAAGCACTTGTCAACAAACCAACACATCAAAGATTCTGCATATATGTGTGGTGCTTTATATCTGGATGGGTTTAAGTGTTGGTTTTCGTATGTATCTCATGTTGGCTCCAGGCTGTGCGGGTTTGAAGGGGGCCTTGGCTCCATACGGTTTGGGGAGAGGGAGAGGACCGGTCTGGGGGATGTACGCAGTGGGGCGTGCTTTAGCCTGGGTGTAGTCTCCGTTAGGCAAGAGGTTCCATTCCTCTTCTTCAGCCAACCTCTCTCCCTCCTCTTTCTCCCTCTGTCTCCTCATCTTATCTCGGAGCATCCTCCTCCACTCCTCCTCTAGCTCAGGGTATGGTAGCAAGCCCTGAATTGTTGTGCTGTCTGTTTTTGTCATTTCACTGAAAGTCCTGGCAGGCTGCAGGAAGAACCCACTATGAATTCCAGTTGTTGGAGGAGGAACTGGAGCAACAGGTGGTGTTGCTGCAGGGTTGCTTTTAGGTGCCGCACTGAGACAGGGGACTCTTCTCCAGGGTCGTGGAGCTGCTGAAGGAGGACAAGAGGTAAGGGGTGTGTGAAGAGGTGAAACCTTCAATCCCAATCTCTCCAGCACAGCATCAGTGCGTCTCTTCTCGATAGCACACAGCCTCTCTGTCTGACTCAGCAGAGCCGCCATCTCAGCCCTAGACTGACCAAAGACACCAAAACTGTCTTGTCTCTGGTGCTTCTGTGTTTAAAAAAGAAGCAATTTCAAATGTGAAATCAATTGAATTCAAATAACAATACAATTTTACAAGTGGTTTGGCTGTTTTAACAGTTTCAGTATGCTAAACTGAATAAACCTTTAAACAAATATTAAGTACACACAAAGTGTAAAACACTACATTGCATGCTCAGTTCTTGTAATGAGAAAAAAAGTTTCATGTTGTCAGTTGTGAAAACTTTTCAGAATAAATTTATAATACTGCTTATTTGGGCCAGTAATTACACACTTAAACCAGCAGAGCTATAAGATGCTCTGTATACATCTCTGAAAAACATTCAGATGTGAACAGCAGAAAGTTTAGAGAATAAAATAGTTGGTTGTACTTACACTATCATCATCAGACCTCCTTCTCCTCCCGAACTGATGGAAGATATCTGAAGCCATAACTATCACTAAAGTTTTACTTTCACCAATGAGTAAGAAAAACTGAGTATTTTGACTAAACTAGATCAGGTTTTGGTTCTGCAGCTGTACATTCTATGTGATTTCACAGTGAGGCCTGAACACTCTGGAACACTCTAAAAACTCTGGAACATTCTAGTTCTAATGGTGCATAGAAGGAAAATGTCATAAGAAATTACATTTTTATCAAAAACAAGTATTTCTGGTGCTGTGTGGAGCTGGAAACCTGGTTTTATTTCAAAAACTGATTCAGATTCAAAGACAGGAATAATACCTCACACTCTGCTTACAGCAAGGGAACTCAGATTGCTGGCCCAGGACCATTCTCAGCCCTAAATTGCCCTCCCTCTGGCCGTAAAAATATGTCAAAAATATGTTATAATCTGGCCTGCATCGTGTTATTTTTTAAATATATTTTCTAGTTGTCTCAATATGAACTACCTCTTCTTACCCAATTAAAATAAAAACAATTTTGTTTTTGTTTTCCTTATAATTCTTGTATCCATTTTTTATCATCTGATTAGCTCCCTTCGGCTTGTGGTGATACTTGAGTATGTTATTTAAATCACTAGTAAGTTGTAACTAATGGATTCATTATTATTTATATAGTTAATACACCATTTATGAATGATGAAAAAAGGGAAATGGACTGTAAGTTCTTATTGAGGGTATCAGCATACTTTGTATAATTGTCAGAATGGTCCATGCATGAAGATTAATTCATGTGCAGTTGTTGCATAATGAAAAATCTAATTATGGGGGGTATTTCTTAATTTAATTTCCTAAGACAAGCAATACAAGTCAGCATGCCAAAGCATCAGCTTGTTCCATTATTCAACTTGTACAATGAAAATTGAAGGAAGTCAAGAGCTGGAAACAGAGACAGCTCACCTTCAAAGTAAAGGTTTTACATATTGAAACTTGTAATATTGTTAATAACACCATTAACATATCTGGCCCTAGGTGTATCCTCTGTCCAATCCTTATTTAAGTAATGGGCATGTAAAGACTGCTGTTGTACAACAGAAGATATGGTGGGGAGGGAGAATAATCTGCTTTGTTACCTTGTGACCCTGATTTGTGAAAAACTTGTTATACCACAAATATTGTCGTTTTTCTTTTTGGTTTATAATCAGAAACAGCTCATGGATTTCTGCTTTGCTGGATTGGAGGCCTGCAAGTAAAATAACTTATGTTTGTAATATGACTGAGCTCTGTTGAAGGCTCAGAGGCTATCAGTGTAGGGTAGCAAAGGATTAATGCAATGCATAAGTAACTATAATCATTCATTTGAAAATGGTGTAATTAGATTATATAAATACCTTGTTGTCAAGGATTACTTGATTATATTTTTATTACATCTTTAAGCAACACTTTTCAGTCAGAAATCTAAGGGCTGTATCGCAGACTATTGTACCAACTGTACACAAACATGATGACAAATTTGGACACACAGCTGTGATTTTGGACCATCTGACTGAGCAAGACTGATGAACGAAATACTACGTTTATTTTTTTGTTGTAGATAACTTTCCCTCATGTCAAACACTTCATTAACAGAATATTATGGTAGTTACATGAACTGGCCACCAGGCGGTAGCAAACATCCTGCAAGAAAAGTGTTTCCTGCCTTGCAAGGTGCTGCGTAAACTGAAACACCTCTCTCATCATGCTCCTAAAATTAAATTATTTCTATATTTAATTGTAAATTTTCTCATTTGTTAAATTATTACTTAGACACTAGATATAGACAAGAATCGTATGTTTGAGTCAAAGGCAAGATCAGAGCTCTAAAACATTAGCAGTGGGAAGCAAGTCTGAAATGTTTATATTTATTTTTCATGAACTTGAAAAAAGGAAATAGCCAGACAGTTCTGTCCTCCTTTTGGATTTACAATAAACCAATCAGGTCTACTGTATATCTCCTTTTGGAGCCTCAACACTTTCTCTACAACCACAGTTGCTGTGCACAAGCATGTCTGGGCTGTGCTTCCTCAAGAAAAAAGTGAAATTCTATACTTTGTTTCAAACTGATCACATGATCATAATGAGGACTCAGGACCTGAAGAATAAGAATCTTAAAGGAATCTATCACACTGCATCAGTGATATGAACTCATTTGTTTCCATACATCATATCCACCAATTATAACTCGTCGTAAATGCATTATGCAGTGGGTGATGACGTGATCTGCAAAATAAATGCCATTACATGAAAAGAAAAACCTGGAGTAAAAATAGCCATGACTCATCTGTGATTTGTAATTTCTTAATTGAGCCATATCCTACTTATTTATATGTACACATTATGATACGTTTTAAAACACTTGAAAAAAAAAAAAAAAAACACGATACAAAAGACAATAACCAGTTAAGATGCAATTAAACAATATAGACAATATGTTCCAAAATGGTCCGAAATGAAAGAAAAACAATACATTTAACAGCAAACACTCTGACCAAGAGTACTAGTTCCAGATACTTCCTTTCACAAAAATGCTAAAGATTAAGAACTTCTTGGTAGAACTGTTTATAAGAGAGCTTTTCAACTTTTGTTTCAAGTGCTGTAAGGCGTGTTTAAAGAGCCAACATTCCTGCTTGAAGCCAAAAGGGTTTAACTGATTTGTCACTGGAAGTCATAATCGAGCCAGGAGTAGCACTGCTGGTAGTAGTGGTGGTAGAAGTATCAGCACAGAAAGGCAGGTTAGATTATGGAAATGTACAGTGTATGTTTCACAACAGATCCACTGTAGTTTTTATGACCAAGAATGTAAAGTGACAGCTGATCACGTGTGACATCTCCTACAACACTGATTCATCTTGTGATAAAACAAGATGGTGGTTATGGGGATGAGTATGCAAAGTTCTGTCTGGTTGGTTGACATACCTCTCATACTTCCTTCGACTGCTCCTTGTGTGTCAAAGCTCATACCTGACTTGAAAAACAAATTCTACGAGCAACAACAAAAGGATCCCAACTGCTTCAAGAACATGTGACTTGCTGGTTTGAATTTTTACTGTCAACACAATGATGTGCTAGTGTAGCCTACACTTCACACACTTAAAGGGAAAAAAACACACAAAACTAATGGAACTAATGGCAATGCAACCGATGCAACAATAGTCTCTGGGCATAACATCTGCTGTTCTCAGCTTGTTCAGTTCCTTAGAAATGTAATCACTCACATGTATGGGGTTATAATGTTGATGGGTGTGTGAGAGCAGGGCGAGAGTGTGACTTTCACCCTTCTTTCAGGGTCTGTACACAATGATTTCATGAGAGTTGTTCATGTGTGGGGGTTTTGGGCATGTATAAACTTTATCCGCCGAAGAGACTTTATTAGCATTCATCTCTTTTCATGGGGTTATCAGGCGGCCTCATAAGGAGCCGAGGAGGTCAGGAAGAGAGATAAAGCCAGATAATCAAAGAAATAAATAGAAATAGACACACAGATAGAAATACATGAAGGCGAGAGAATGAGAAGGACAAACTCAGTGAGGCAGAAAGTTATTTGAGTTGCCTTAAAAGATTCTTGCAGAACTACATTCTTACCAAAAATACTTCCCACACAGCCATGATGTCTTCATCATAAACTCTGAGTCTGATTGTGTTCTACTAACCTTGATAGGAAATTTAGGTGTGAATTTTGTAATGAAGACCTCCAAAATAAGAAATTGGTTCTATTATGTGTTAGTATATGTTTCCTGAGCCGAGGGCTAAGCAGGAGACTATAAAAAGTTTTAAGAATCACACACAAGCCTTAGTGTTCTTGTTTTGTTGTATTAATTGCACCTAATCTCTAACCATTTTCTTCAATAGGTTTATGTCAGTGGTAGACAAAGTATTCCGTAGGCTATTCACTTCAGTAAAAGTACTAATACCACACTGTGAACATAATCCACTACAAGTAAACATAAAGTGTACATTAAGTATCAAAGTAAAATAACTCATAGTAAAATGGTCCCTGTCAGTGTTTTACTATTATAAATTATGTTTTTGGATTAATATTACAGCATTGATGTGTAAGTTGCATTTTTCTGCCCTAGATGTATATGGTTGAGATCATTTTAGCTTTATATACTGCTGGGTATCTAAAGCAATGCATCATATTCTATAAGATCATTATGTGTTTGTAGTGTTGCTTTTAACCATGTATCTCTAAAAAGTTCACTTTTCATCAGAACAGCCCTGTAGTCAGTCACTGTGTTAACTAACACAGTTAACTAACTTCTGTTTGTTAGTGTGGTACCCTCTATATGCATACATGCTTCATCCTTTTTGAGTTGGTTATTTAAACAAGCATTTGAGGACTATAGTCATTTATTACAGACATCTAAAGTTTATGGGACAATGTCAACAGGTGGGTATAAATATAGAACTTTTTTAAAACTTGAGCCAGCTGAAGATACAGCCAAGACTATCCCCTGACAAAAATGTAGATCTTTTTCTTTATCACTTATCACACACATTTGCATGATTACAGCGCCGTCGAAACTCCCCGTCGTTGCTGCTGCAGGTGAGGATGAAACAGCACTCAGCCCGGCCGCTGCGCACGGCGCGCCACACCTGTCCTATTTGGGGACAGGTGAGATCCCGCCCACTGTCAGGTTTCAGTCGGACTTGTTTAAGACCAGCTGCTGCGGTCTAAATTACTAGTACTAGAGTTTGGTATTAAGAAGACACACGTCAACAACAACAGCAACAACAGCAGCGATCATGCCAAGGCGATCATCGGACGAATGGATCCGGATATCCCAGCGCACCCCGGGCATCCTGATCTTTGGGATGGTCATGGTTCCCTGTGGCTGGATCCTGAACCTGACATCCACCGTGGCCCCAAACTGGAGGACCCTCCACAACCTCCCCAACACCCCGTCCGACACGTTTATCCAGCAAGGCATCTGGGACATCTGCAGGGCCACCTCGACCAACACGAGAGAGCAGTGCAACCTGCAGGATACAACGTATTTCGGGAACCAGATCATCGAGGTCGCCCAGGGTCTGATGGTGGCCTCCTTGATCCTGACACTAATCGGGCTGGCCGTGGCCATCCCAGGGGTCCGCTGCTGGAGAGACAAGCCTAACTGGGTAGTGGCCGGTCTGGGCGGGCTGTTGTTCTTCCTTTCGGGCGTTATGACCATCATACCCATCGCCTGGTACACCCACATCCTTCAGGACGTCGCTTCGGTGACCCCGCAAACAGATGTGCGCGTCGGCTACTGCATCATCCTGGGTTACATCGGCGGCATATTCGAAATCCTGGGCGGTTTCGTCATGTTTATCGGGATCTGCCGGTGCTGCGGAGGCAAGAACCGCGGGGAGAGGCGGGTGGAGGAGATCCCGGGCGCCCGGTTCAGCCACCAGAAGCCTCCGCCGAGACGAATTGAGGTGCCGAGCCTGAACCGGGCCAGGAGCACCGCCAGCAGCGTGGCGTATTCCAAGGACTCCTTGGATGAAGATGTATCCTTCCCCCGGGCCAAGAGCCCCGCTCCCCGGGTACTCAACACCTCCTACGGCGGCAGACCCTACGATGCCGACCTATGAGAGGCAGATGACCCACAAGAAACCCCACAGGAGAGGAGAACGACTCGAAGATGGACATTTTATTATATTATTATAAAAGGGACTGAGAGTGGAAAGTATAGGAATAAGCAACGGTAATTATAACACAATGATAACATCACACACCTAGCCCACTGCAGTAAAACTGTACCTGTCTATAATATTATTTTATATTGTAGTAATGAGATAGAAGGTACTGAAACCATTAAAGTACTCAGTTAAATTTTGTAGAATTAGTTTGAAGCCACAAAGGGATATTGTAGGAATATTTCAGTGGTACTAAGAGATCAAATACCTTAAATATTATGAAATCACTGTAAACTCAATATTAAATGAAGGCCTCTTTGAGTATTACAGTTTCCCCGTTAAGGAAGAGCTACTTGAAGGCAAACATCTATAATAGTGTTAAATGGTGTACAGATAAGACTCATTATGGCCATAGCTGGGTTATGATTAATGCTAACATCAGTATAATACATTATAGGTTTTCCCACTGAAGCAGTGCAGTTATGGGATATGAAGCATTCTGTAACAGTGAAACATGAAGAGAAAACCTACTTTTTTTCTGCAAATGATGCTTAAGTCCACATGTAAATAGTCATCTTTAAGGAAATGTTGCATTTTTCTATGTACAATGGCTAATGCATCAACCTGGTTCTTTTTTTCCTTCTCTTTCTCCATTTGTATGTAAATACTGTATTCTTATGCACTTTACAATAATGGCCAAATTCATAGGACAACAGGCCACCTGTTTAAAAAACACAAAGGAGGTGATCAATATTGTTCTAATTGCTCTGTGGTACATGTGTTGTTAATTAAATGTGCTCTGTGTTTCCTAATAACAGACGTCTAAGTGCGTTTCCTCAACTTAACTCTTTTTGCTTTTGGTGGAGGCGAGTGTAAAAAGTAAACTCCGTATTAAAATAGTCAGAGTTTACTGCACAAGTGCAAAGGCAATGAATCTGGTTTCAAGGGATTTGATAACTGGAAATATGTGTGGTTGCACGTCGATAGAGGCTTCTCTGTGCTGCAGTCAGGACACATTTTGAATGAATCAAGCATCATGTGTGTGGTTCTGCAGTAAGGAAATAGTGTCTCTACAGCAAGAATCTGAAAAGTTACATGAAAATGAAACAGCCATTCAATGTGACTGATTCCATCTGTGCCATAGAAAGAAAGAAAGATAGGGCAGAAGTCATTAGGGACACTAGTCAAACACAGACACATACAGACAGGCTACATTTTACAGTGATATATTTGTCTTTCTTTGCTCAGTCACAGTTTAAGTATACAGACAATGTAGCCTGACCGGTCTGAGAGGTTGGGTTCTTTACGCATCTTGTCTGACAACATTACCTCTTCTGTTTAAACTGGCCTAAGATCTCAAACAAGGGGACACTGTAGTGAACAACTGTCGTTCTATAGCTCCTGGTAAGTCTTTTGTAGTTAAATTGGCCTCCTGGAAATTATGATGCAGTTCTCCCTGTAGGACCTGTTGAATGCCACAAACGACTACTTAGTTAGAGGCACTTTTAAGAGCAAAGGTTAGCAGTTTTTATACTCACGCCTTTAAACTTCAGGTAGGAATGCTGTTACTGTGCTTGTGTTGAAACAACTTAAGAAACTGTACTTTTAACAACTACTCTGAGTAATTGTTTCAGAGTAGTAGATTAATTAAAAATTCTGCTCGGCCATAACATGAGAAATGAAGGCTTTTGAATAATTATTTTTCAAAACCAGTTCACAAAGCAGTACAATCATTGGCATAGGAGAAGACAAAAGTTTTCAAATTAGAATTAAACAATAAAACCACCAATTGCAGTGATAGTAGTAATTTGAAATATTAACTTTTCACTCTGTGTTGAACAAAGGCCAGCGCCATTGGTGCAAAAAAATTAGACTTCATCAAATTCTGGTAATACAAATACTGAACCAGAGTTCTTATCTGAATGAGTTTGTATTTCTTCCTGCAGTCTCATTTCCTCTGAAATGGTTATATAATAAATGTATAATGATTCGCTTTATTTGTAAGCACCTTTAAGAAATCCAATTCAAAGTACTTTAAAGCAGAGGAAATACATGCATAAGAGTGCTTCACATTAAACAATACATAGAATGAACATGAAAACAGGGATATAATGCCACAATTAATGGAAAATAAGATGGGAAATACAATAACAGAATACATACAATGCATAGAATCAAGTAAAATACAATGTTTTAAAGAAAGTATGCTAACAGACCATGTACCTTCAGGTGAGTGACAGCCGTGTGTTACACTACTGAGTGTGGTTGAGAAGCTCCAGAACCATTACATTTATTATAACATCTAGTTGAAACAGATCCTGTCTCGCGGATGAGTTTGTAGCAAATTTATTCACATTTACCATAAGTGCAGGAGAGATGTCAGAAAGAGAAGTATTGCTCACATTAGTCTTAATCAGTTCTTCCCTCTCATGGTAACAATGACACACCCAAAAAGACAAAAAGGTCTATTCACTGGCTTCTGCATTTGAGCTGATTTCTAGAGGATTTTGAGATGTGCTTTGTTTCACACTACTGTCCCAAAAATTGCCACACAGGATGACTCATACGATGACGGTCCAAGATAGGTGGGGTGAGGATGGATGCTGCGTTTAGGGGGTGACAAAAGACGTCAGTATTTATTTATAGTTTCATCCTCTTGGGTTGCTGGAAAGCTTTGTGCTGTTTGATCATCCCCAAAGAGCTACTCTTTTCCAAGTCCATTCTCAAACCTTAAAATTACCTCCTCCTTTAATCTGTGTAGTGCTTTGGATCAAACATTAACAAGATGCTGCTGAGGATGATCTTGGGCTTAGAGAATGAGTTTGAAATCATCAATGTAACCAGCACAGAGCATAGCACACAATAAATGTTAAAGGGGCACTCCAGTGATTTTGCATTGGACTTAAAGTTAGAAGACTCACAAGAGATGGATATTAAAAAAATAGTTATTTTATTAGACTTTAAAAAAGCTCCTCCACAGCCTAATGTAAACATTATGTAAGCCTTAATCAGGGGATTCTTCCTTTAATAATTAAATATATATATAAATACATATATAACATAGGACACACTTTTAAAGCAGGGCGCCTCCTTCTGTAAATCAAACATGCAAAGTCTGCTCATTAAAGCAGGACGTTGACACAGTGTCACCCTCATGGCAGATCCTTCCTGTTCCTTGTAACAGATTTTTTCTCCCATAACAAAGAATGTTGAAGCCTGTCAGCCTGTGTGACTGCACATTAGTCATTCTGAGTCTTGTTTCCTGTTGAGTTCAGTAAACACTGGAGATGATACTATCATGTCACAGGATCCCAGAAAGAGGTCAAACAAGCAGCAGTGGAGGTTTTGGTGTACAACACACACAGACTGACAGCGGTCTGTTGTCAGTGTTAATACTCATTGATAGCTTAAAGCAGTGTGTAAGAACAACTTAGTAATGATTTTAAAGTGACAAAGCCGTTATTTCAATTATTTTATTATTGGGGTAGCTTAAAAAAATACTTATTATCAACTTAATAGTTAGTTAATGTAACTAATATTATCAGACTAATAAATAGCTTTTACTTGTAGGACCATATTTATGACAAGCTAACGGCTAGCATAGCTACAAACAATAGCTAACTGACGGACAAATTGATAGTAAATTGATAATAAGCATTGAAATAAAGTGTGATAGTTGTTATTCCTCTGTCTCTAATGTTAAATCCTATACAGCAGTAAATAATTCATAATGGAAAGTCTTCTCTAGCAATAACCTGTAAAATCTCACCCGAGATGTTGACCAAAACAAACAAACAAACTTTGTCATGTCAACAAATAACTATTATACGAATGGCATTTATACAGTGGTTATATATAAAGCATTGATCTGTGTGAGTTTATGTACATTCTATTTGAAAGATAATGAAAACATAATACAGTACATACAGTATGAAAAGCATACTTGCAGCAAAGGTATTTAAATTGCATATTATAAAAAAAATATTCAAAAATGAATACAATTGCTCATATTAAACAGTAACAAACAAGTTAACCTACATTTACCAACTGATTTCACTTGTCCTGAAAGAAAATGTTGCTTTGTAAGTGTAATGACACAGAGGAAACAAAGTACCCCCCCCCACCAGAATGAATGATGTCAACTACCCGAAACTAAAATGTGTTTGCACGCCTTCCCAGATCCTGTTTTGCTTCATTTTAAAATATTTTCCGACTGATGTCTTTGGGTTGATTATTCTTTTTAAATAGCTTGTAGTGTTTATTTTTATACTACTGCTGGTTGGTGCTGAATATTTACTTGCAACTACTGCTATTTACTTAGTTAAATGTTGTGTGTGGTAGAGTTGAAAATCAACAGTAAAGTCATTGCTTTGGTGCTTTACATTACATTACATTATATCAATATTATCTATCTATCTATATATTACTGAGGACTTTATTTCAAAAATAAAGAGGGAGATGAATATTGCCAAAAGGTGTATATATTATATAATTCTGTCACCCTGACCCATCACTTCCTATAGAGAAGAACGACAAACAAACTGCTCAGCCACTTAGAATCTGTTTATATACAAAAATGCACATGCTCAACAATGATTTATACAAGTGATACATGTCCGACTACATGAACTATTGTGTAATCCAGCAACACAAAACAGAGAGGAAGACAAGGTTATATAAAAAAAAGTTATGCATCTTGCACATAAAAAAAGTTGTAGTTAGTTACAAAAAAAAGGCATATAAAACATAGATATTCAGTCAATAATGTACAAAAGAAAGAGGCAATACAGCACAAAGAAGCTCTGGCTACGTTCCTGAGAGTTACTGGATACTCAGTAAGGACTAACTCACCGTCTAGCTTTGATTTAGACAGTACAAAGGTTTATTTCTGACAAAATATCAATCTGCAAACTGAGATTCAGAGAGCACAGGAACTCAAAAGCTCACAGACACAGTAAGCAGGAAACAAAGTGCATAATGTGGTAAACTGAGACAAGCTCTAGAGACGCAAATGCTTTCCGGGACTTCTGTAAAATCATATTGGGTTAATAGCCCTGGCTTACCTTGAATGAAATGGTTTTGGAAACATCTTCCACTTTTGGTTTTCAACACCTCTATCGAACTTGCTTCTACAGCGTTAAGTACAAAAACATGGCAGTATGAATTGTTCACTACCACTGCAGCTCTCCCCTCTGCTTTCTCTGTATTTAAAGGAAGCCGCTACAGACAGTAACTGATAGGCAAACATTTGCATTATTTTACTGAATAAAGTCAGTGTTAGAGTAGCGCATATGGAAACAAGCTTTTGCATACAGGAAATAAGTTCTAGATATTAATTAGAATATGAATATTTCCCACTGTGCATTATTCAAACTGTAAACCATGCAGTGGATGGTTTAGTCCATAAAAGATTTCTGCATCAAAGATGATGCCCACAACAACAAAATGGTTGCACCTACTGTTGGGATTGATCTAATTGTTACAGTTTTAATTAGCACTAGACACAATAATGTGTCAGAATACTATAAATAACACATGAATATTTAAAAAAACAAGCAAATAAAAACAAAATTAGTGAATTGCATTTGGATTGGAGTTCAGGACTTGTTGCTGGTTAGGGGAACAATGCACTATACAAGAAACCTAAAACATATTATTATGCTCCTTAAGCAAATAAAAGTAGTGACACAACCTCATTCCCAAACTGATGTTATTCACAAATCAATGATTTATGAAGCAGTATAATTTTTTTACTTTTATCCGTAAATATATGCTGTTGTAGAGTTGGCAAACAGCACAGTACTGTATTATGTCAGTCTATTAATCCATTACCTGTCTGAATGAACAGAGTGAGAGCTCTGTGACACATGCATGACATTTGCCCTCAATGAGTCGTGTGTGGGGGTGTACTTTAAAGTTTTATTTTTCCATCTTCAATTGATATATGAAAAACATCATTACTGCAATGAAGTTGTGTCACTGTTAACCCCTGTTAAAGCTCAGTTCATGAGTTCAGTGTCTGAGTTTCTGTCGTAGAGAAGTAGCCACAGGTTAGCCATCCAGAACAATAGATCTGATTCCTCAGAAAACACTCAATAAACTGAGCTGTAAGATTGCTGCAGAAGGATGCTCGTGGAAGCTCAATGGTGTCACTGGCCACAATACCATGGCTGACCTGGATGAGAATGAGAGAATAATTATTTTTTTATTTATTTGTTAATTTTATGCCTTATATATGGTGGCAGAAAAGCTTCTGGTCTCTACCTTTAAACACAGATTTAAGGCATCAGAAATCTTTGAGTTAAAGGTACCCTGTGGAGTTTTTGACCACTAGTAGTGCTATGGATCAATGTTTTGGAAGAGTGTGTGAAGTATATGTGGGTGGCACAGTTCACATCCTGCCATTACACAGACAGTTGGTAGTTATACATGATGGTACCTCTGAGTATGCTAGTTCCAGGAGTTAGTTTGTTGGGAGGTGTTGTAATTTATTTTTGGTGTAGTAATGTTTACATCAAAATGTTTTAATTATGAAACTTTTGCACAATTCGTTTATACTTAAATCTATACCCAAATTTAATTCACAGGTAATAAAACTTTTGGAAATGATTATGTTGAATAGCCAAATTCCTACCTCAAATGTAATGATTAATCCACATTACACAGCGATGTTGTAGCCATGTTTTTCTGCCAGATGTCTCCTGTTGACAATGGACAAAATCACACAATTAATTAGCAAATATTTAGGTGATTGGTGTTTTCCAACCAGGTAAATGCACAACAGGCAAACATACTTCCAGTATGCAGTAAGAAGAGACACTCTCCAACAGATATTAAAAACATCAGGCAGTTTCAAACCTGCCTTTGTTGCTGGTCTATCATTTTTTTGAGAGTGACATGAGAGTATCAATCTCATGTCTGACGTATGATGCTGTAGTCAGGAAGTAGTTAGCTTAGCTTAGCATAAAGATTAGATTGTTTGAAAATTAGCTTGGCTCTGTCCAATGTTAATGATTATACCAATCAAAAAGTGTAAAGCACACTAATCAGTATATTATATATTATTTTATAAAGTAGTAAAAAAAAATTAAATTAAATTAAAATAACAATTTATGACTTTAGAGGAAGTTATGAGCTGGAACTTCTCGACAATCAACTGTTTATCCGTCGGCTCAGGACTTCTGTACAGTGCAGGGTTGCCCATAGGGGGGCCAATGGAGGCCAGCAATAATCATGTTACATTGGCAGATAACACAACACACCTGAATTGATGAGTAAAACAGTTTTGGGAAGGGTGCATTCATTGTTTTTTATTGTGTGTGTGGGCCTGGTGCAGCGTCTCCAGCTATCAGATTGGTCGGTGAGCACAGACTCAAATCTCACAGAAACAAGGCAAACAATGTAGGTCTCAGTTGGTTATTGAAATTAAAGTTATAATAATAAACTATTTCTGCTGCATGCCCACACAGATATTGCCCTATTGAAATTACTCAGTACTGAAGTTTGTCAGTTGAAACCCCAACAGCAGGAGAACACTAATGTAGGTGAGCGCTGTCCCTGCAGAAAAACAAATACATTTCTTCTTGTCTGTAATTTTGACCAAATAAGTATGTTAAAATACCAGGGATATACTGATTTTTTTTAGGAAAATTAAAGGACAAGATATGTTGCTGCCCTTATTTTGCCCATATATGTTTTCACAGCTGTTTCCCTCTGTTTCCAGTCTTTATGCTAAGCTAGGCTAACCACGTCCTGACAGCTTTCAACAGAAAGACACCACTGAGTTATTGCAGTACCTTTGCCTCTTCTTTTGCCTCTGCCTCAACTTGGCGAAGATGAAAGCAATAATCAGCAGCCCAATGATGACTGCCAGCACACTGAGGGTCAGTGGTACATTTAACGCCCCGTTGACTGTGTCCTCGCAGTGTTCTCCCTGGTAGCCAAGCTTGCAGTCGCACACGAAAGCGGTGCCACCACCAAGAGGACGTGCACAGGTACCTCGGCTATTGCACAGAGTGTCTCCGCAGGTGGGCAGGTTGTAGTCGATGCCTCTCGGTTGAAGATGAGGAACAGGGGTGGACATCCTAGAGGAGGGAGTGGAAGAAAACACTGGGAGGGAGTGAGAAGTGGAAGGAGAACAGAAGAAGGGAGAGATGAATGGATGGAAGCCACACCCTAAAACACAATATGGCAATAACAAAGTCAAACACAGAGCTTTTTCTGTAGAATAGCTCAAATGAATGTGGTCAGGTCTGTTAAAGATGCCAATAAGTACAGTATGTTTTAGCAAGTGGTAACCAACTGAATTTCTGTCACAAACTATCAAACTAACAAAAATCCGATGCACTGATGGCGAATTCAAAAAGGTGAATTTGTCATAACTCATGCACTGAAACATTCAGTTTATTACTTTTATTAATACTATAGCAACCATTGTTCTCTTCCAACGTAGAGGAAAAATAAGCGTTGCAAACATTCTGTGAAAGCCTCTTTTCTGGCACGTTACCAAACATTCAACTTTGTTTGCGGAAACTGATTCAAAGAAGCATTTTCGGCTGCAGGGTAAAAATACACTAAAAAGACAACAATTCAAAGACACTTAAAAATAAAGCTGATGAAATGTTTTACTTCTCAACCACACTCAGTAGTGTAACCAGTTTTCTTACTATGACTATCTCTCTCAAAGGAGGAAAGCATCCACGCACTAAAATAAAAAGGATTTTTGCACAGGTTTTTGAGTGTGTGGATTCTTTTCTCCAATGAGTTAGTCTACAGCTCCAGCAACTACATTAAGTCTGACACCGAATGGGCAGTCTCTCTCACCATGGCATTTCTAATTGGGTACTTTCCACCTTTCATACAGTTTGTTGGCTGTAGTGATTGTGTTGTGCTCAAACTAAGACTTTAAGACTGCGCTGCCTTCAGGTCCCTGTCAGAAATGCTAGACCTGCACCATAAAGAATGTGTTAAACATATTTGACAGGTGAACTTTCTACAATCTCAAGTTGAGGAAATGTTTGTGATAAAACACCCATAACATACATATTTAATACCACACAGCATCTTTATACCTACCTGGGAACCGAGCTCATGATGTTCCATTTGATCTGCCATTTGTGAATCATATATTTATTTTGTGTGCAAGTAAGACAGCTTCTTAGTTGATTGATGATGTGTTTTTGTGACGCAACTTTCACTGCCTACATGCAGTATGGAACTGTGAGCTCCTTGTTGTGAGCCATTCCGCCCTCAAACATATTTTACTTTTAAATCATAGTATACAAATGGCGAAAATGCACGCAATGGCCCAACTGCAGGAAGTAAGGTAAGAGACAAATTGAAGGATTGCCTTAAAACAAAATGTGACTTTACAGTTATTCTTTTCACATGAAAAACCCACCAATGAAGTACTATTCCTATCTAGTTGTTTCTTTATCAACAACATTAGGTATACAGAAACTGACTCGGGATATATTAACAGCATAATTGCATGTTAAAGGACACAGTGACACTGAACATAAAGCACTGAACAAACAAAGTGAATATTGAACACACTCACTAACATACAGGATGAATAAGAAGAGTATAGGTTCAAGTGGTGTTAACATGCTTGTAGTATCTACGACACAAAAGCCTTACTCGACACATGAATGAAACCAAGAGTACACTGCAAATCAACTCTCACAAGCCTCACAAGATAGACTGAGATGACTGCTAAACAAATCTCTATATCACAGCTTCCTATACAATAAATACAGTGGTGTGAAAATGTGGTGAGATGTAATGAACCATTATCGGAGTTCTACAGCGTGGGTAAATTATCTCATAAATAAATGGTAGGTGGTAAAAGGTGATCTTACTTCTCAAGCATCTCCTCCCTCAGGTTTCCCACCGACACAGCAAGGTTGTGTTTAACACAGTACAGCAAAATAGTAGTAAGTACGACAAAATAAAAAACATCTACTTACAGAGGCAAATAATGCAGACCTGGCGTCTTAAAATGCCGGCTGTGGAGTTGAAATCTTTGTTGAAGGGTCTTCCAGGTGTCTGTGTGTGTGTGTGTGTGTGCTAGAGGTCCTGGGTGTTTGAAAAAGGATCTGAAGTTCCTCTTTCAGTGAGGGAATCTGTAACAATGGGAAGGAGGGAAGAGGAAGAAATGCGAGACCTGTGAGTACCTGCCTGGGTTATTTCCCCTGTAAAACACACACAAACTCTCCTCCTCCTCCTCCCTCTTATCTTCTATTGGGCTGAGTCACATGCACACTCTTTCTCAGCAAATAGCCCTGACATTGATGGAGCAACATAACATTTCATAAGAAGAGTGCAAACTAATCTTATGCTTCAGTTAATTGTTGACTCACGCTGGCGCATGAAACTCAGTGCAATGGCATCTCTGGGAAAAATGTGTTCTGTGGCACCTTTCAGACAATGTCTCATAAAATAAACATGCAGGATGCCAAATAAGGAAAAAAAGAGAAAAATAAAACGGGACAAAAGATTTCTATGTAAGATATGCAAAAATCACCCTAACTATTTCTTAGAGTTAGCCAAATAACACAAACACGTGTTCTCACACACTCCACCTTACCCTAAGGCAGTGGTTCTCAAACTTTTTTGGTCATTTCCCCACTTCGGACAAGGGGGAATTTTCAAGCCCCATCTGCCCCCATCGCCCCAACACAATACTAATAAAATATGCAACAAGCATAACATTAAAATGTTCCAATTTATTGAAGTAACAAGTAGAATCAGTATAGTAACAAGTTGTATCTAAATACAAACTATCTACATCCTGTTACACTTGCTGTGGCCCCCCGAGGGTGATCGGTCTAATAAGTGGTAACACACTGCTAGGGCTGGGCGATAAATCGATTTTATCGATAAATTCGAATTAAACACGATTTATTTTTAGTTAAAATCGGTTTTCTCTTGAACTGCCACAACACCCGCGCTCCCTTTGGGCTCCCGTAAGTCAGAGTGCGCTGATCCCTCCCCCCGCCTCTCCACAGACAAACATGGCAGCAAGCCAAGATGAGCTCGTCCCCAAAAAAGGCACAGTGTCGTCGGTTGTTTGGAACTGGTTTGGTTTTGTGGCGTCCGACAGCGAACAAACCACGACCCACTGCAAAGTTTATTTGAAAGCTGTTGCAACCAAAGGTAGCAGTACCAATTTATTGCAGCACCTCAAGCAGAGGCATGCAGCCGAGTGGGAGAAATGTTGCTCTCTGAGAGATATACAGGACCGCAGCCCACAAACACCCGCTGGAAAACAGTCTACACAAAAATCGATTAAAATCGTAAATCGGGTTTGGTGTGAAAAAATTGGAGATTTTATTTTTAAGCCATATTGCCCAGCCCTACACACAGCTACAAGGACACTGCTCTCACACGCGCTGCATTTATAGTCACACACACGCACGCGCGCAGTCACTCTCTAGTCTAGCGCGCGCTCTTGCTCCAGATTCCGGGAGATTGGATCTCATTTGCGGGCGTCAAGGAGCCGCTATCAATATGCGGGAGACTCCAGGTACTTCCGAGACAGTTGGGATGTCTGGATAAAGATATAAAGGCATAAAAAGGAACATTTCCTCCCGTTTGGCGCGCCCCACCTGTCACGTCTCTGTTCCCCACCCACCAGTGGGGCGCGCCCCACGCTTTGAAAACCGCGGCCCTAAGGACTGTCATCGTGAAATACAGTAGGTGTGTTTGCCAGACGAGTTGGGGATGGGAGGAGGAGTTTGGCAAGTTAGAACAAGACGCAGCTGACAAGACCTGACAAGAAAACATTTCTGTATAACATGCAGCAGTTCAAACATCTGTTGTGTAATTGTCATTTCTTAGACCGCATAAGGAGAGTAATACATTTTTTGTTATATATATTTTTTTGGGGCTTTTTGCTTTTATTGGATAGGATATTGTTGATTTAAAGTTCTTCTCTGGCACCATCAGCCGGTCACAATTTGGTACAGACATTCATGGTTCCCAGATGATGAATCCCAATCCCCAGATTCCCTGATTTTGCCTTGAATGCCATCATCAGGTTAAAGTTTTTGCCCAGTACAAATTACAATACCTGCAACACTAATGATATTCCCATATTTGTTATTCCATGCAGTCTTCTTCCTTGTCAAAACCTGGCATCTTATCCACAATGAAACTCACCCACTGACAGTTAGGTCTCAGATTTGGGTGTGTTGGACTAGTAACAGGGACAGGGAAAATCATAGTAGCAGAGCTGTAGCCTTGATGCCACTATAGCCTCAAGCAGAGACTGGATCTGGTTACCTCATGTCTTTCTAATGCTACATCCCCAGATGTTTTTCATTTTCAAACTTGTAGTTTTTCTTGTCGCATTCCTGTGGCTACGGCCTTACAGAGCCAGTGGGCTGTAGACTCTTGTGTTAGCCTATTTAAAGCCTGTTTGGCTTCTTATTTTCTAGTGATTGTACACTAATGAGAACATATATATATATATATATTAATGTTGTATTCCATTTTGTGCCAATAGATCTTCCTAAATGTTACACACTGGACCCCTATCATTGACGAGATCGTTCAACATAGCCTTTTATTTTATGTTTACATGCATTGTAGTGTGTTACTGTAACTGCTAAATCACTGACTCAGCACAAACCAGTCATTATCTTGTGGTTATTGCAAAACGGCCTATGTGCACGGTGCTCAGTCAGCAGCCCACTGTTGTCAAGCTCCTTTGAGCTATAGCATTATCAACTGTTATTACAGGAAACCACATGCGCTTAACCAATCACACGTCATTTTGTATTGTATTCCACATTATTGTACTCAGATATTTAACCTGAGTGTTTCAACAGGGGAGTTCACTCCAGGCAGACATTGCGTAATGTAAAGATATCCAACAATGAATGTTTGCTTTCTCTCGCTGCAGTGCACACATGCATCTGCCTCACACACGTTTGTAGGTACATGGGAGTAAATTTGATATTTATCTAATCTCTTATATTTTTTTCAAACGACATAATTCCAGTTTTTTTTTTAAAAATGGATGCACGTCCAACTAAACAAGACACCATTGATTTCTGTATCAAGAATACTTTTGACAGGACATAATAATGTATAATAACAGTCATTTTTCATTCAGTTTCACTTTTACTTTGTAGGGCAGAATTTGATGCTATCAAACTAAGCAGTAAAAATATGCACACACATTTTCTAACTACGAATCTCTGAATCGAGTTTGTCTGACAGACAGGTGGAAGTACATAAACAAAGAGATCTTTCACACCAAATATGTTTCTGTGGTAACAAAATGTCATACGGAAGTATTTGTCCGAAACTGGTGTCAGATTACAAAACAGCTACAGACTAACACAAAGCTGTGACAACATTTTGGCAGCACAAAGACACTGAAAGGACGGCTCTGAGGAGGTCAGGATGAGTTTGTATGCACTTGGTGAAAAAATGCTGATGCAAGGCTAACAAGCAGAGTATTAAACCATCAGCTTTGGGTGGTATACAGCATTTTCCCCTGCTTTTCAGAGAAACTGCTGTGTGATCAGACAATATAGTGTAATGTGATACAAATAACCATTAACCTGCACATAGAGACAACAACCAACCACAGTAGCGTATGTAGGATATACAAGACACACACAGACAGACAGGGTTTGAAGAGACAAAGTAACATCAGAAGCTCCAGCAATGACAGATACAGACTGACAGGCATGAAGGGATTAACATGGTGACATAGCTGTCTGCCTTTGAGTCAAGGGTGGTTTAGGAGAAATATAATTTGTTTGTTGTTTAATTTTCATAAAGTTAAAAGTACACAATAATGCCACTCAGTCCATGTTCCCAGAGTCTACACTACAAAAAATATCCTGCTGTGTATTCACTGGTGAGTGCAAAACAAAAACAAGGATGTATTTAAGATAAATATTCTTTCCCACTGGTAAACATGCATACTTCCTCAACAATGTGAACTGTATATCAATAAAGCAGCATATATTACTATTTAAATATACCTTTTTGCTGTTTGTAAGTAAAATGTCAAGTGCAACTCAACATCTCTGTAAAAGCTTTAGTCCCATTCCGAAAGTTGTCCCTGTTAGAAATTAAAACAAAAAAAGAGTCTGGTTTTTGGTTTCTTATCACTTTTATTGCACCAAAAGACCGTCTCCATCAGTATGTTTGAAGTGAAATGCATCCTCAGACATTACTTGTAATGTCAGCAGCCTTCAGAGTTGTCATGAAACCAACCCAGCAAATATAATCCTCAGCATCAGCCACTAGGTGTTTACTGGATGCCATATTTCAGAATGCAGAACTTCTATTTAAGTTGTAGTGACTTTAACTCGAGTGGGGGGTTCTTCACGTCTACTGGGGACTCGAGTTCCTGGAGAGAAGAGAAGATCATACATATTTAACCTTAATTTATAAACAGAGCAGAGATATTAATCTGAAAAGTTGCCAACTAATGAAGACATAACATAAAGACAAAAGGTGTAGAAATCCCTTGATTAAGCACAAAAACAGGCTGGAATGTTTATGCATGTAAGGTTGTATTTATAGGAATGTAATTGTTGTCAATATAAATTACACTGTATCCTGACAATCCTTTACAGTTAATTAAGAACAGGAAAATAATCTATAATGCCATAGTAAATAGTAGTCGTGCAAATATTTCTGTAAGTTTGAGACCCAACTGATGAATTAATTATAACCTTGCTAAAAGAAGAATTGATTTAAGATTTTGAACTTCCATGGTCAATAATGAACGCTCACACTCAACTCAAATAAAGAGCTGCATGTCTATCAAAACCATAAAAATGTAAGCATGTGATTTCTCTCCATATTTGTTTTGTGTATGTTTTATTGAGGGAGGATTACAAGATGTAGGACATGAGAATGCAGTGTACATTTCCACTGAAGGAAAACAGCTATTACAACAGATAGTATCAACATAACTGAACAAAATATACTCCTGACACACCCACCAGCCCTCCCTCCCTCCCTCCTGCTCAGGAAGTACTCATTTCTAACCGGATGTCATATTGGTGACCAATATTTCAGTAAACGGATTACTTTCTTTGTCAAATTAACCAGCTGGTTTAGTATATAAATAATTTCAATTATTTATATTGTTTTATCCAAATGAATGTGTGTGCATGCGGTTTTACCTCAGAGTCTGAATCGTAGTTTTCACACGGTAGGCCCATGTTAGCCATCAGAGTTTCTTTCTCGATGGATCTGCTTCTGATGGATGCCCAGGCTCTCCTGTTGAAACCGGATTTAAAAAAAAGCTACATTTTAATTTTCTACATAGATCAGTTACAAAAAATGGGTGTCTCTTTACAGTTTAATTCTAATCAGTCAATACAGCAGAAATGAACAACAATCTGGCTAGATGCATTTGTTGCCAGCAGTTATTTCCAAAGTGAAGCCCTCTGGCCAGGGTGCAAAAGAAAACTCTCAAAAACTCCCTCATTGTACCTTTTAGCAAAAATAAAAGCAGCAGCCACCAATAAAGCACTGAGGCACAAGACGCCCAGGATCACAGCCACGTGTTTTTGTCCAGTTTCGGTCTCTTGACAGAACTCTCCCTTGTAGCCAGCCACACACTGGCAGCGAGGGACTTTGCTGTCTGCAATGCATTTGCCGTGTCCGTGGCAGTGCTGGAGGTCGCAGGATGTAGAGTCTTTTTTGAATGAAAGAACAGAGTTCTTTTGGGAGTTGGGGTGAGGCGAGGCAGAGTTTTTGTTTGAACCTGAAGAGAAAGTCAACGCAAGTGATTATACACAAAAATGTACATTACTTGTCAAAATACTATACCAACTATAATAAGTAATCTTGCAGATAGCACAATATAAAGCCACAAATTGTTTTCAACAAAAACCACAGGTGCTAGTAGATTTGAGTCAGGATAGTCATTTCCCCAGCTTCCAGCCTTTACGCTGAGCTAAGCTAGCAGACCGCCGCTTAATATTTGCCATACAAACATGAGTGGTATTAATCTCATCTTACTCTAGGCAAGAAAGTGAATAAGTATACTTGTCACAATGGTGAACTATTCCATTAACTTTATCTTATAGGCAAGAAAGTTCACAACAAGACAACAGCAAAAATATTTTAAGCTTCCACATCTTTTAAATAGAGCTTCTGGCCGTTCGGAATATTTAAGTAATCAGATGATCTTCATTATTTTCTCTTTAAGTACAGTTCTAAGTTAAATCTTTTTTACTTTTTTTTTTAATGCACCATCTAAACCATAGGCCTACCTGAGAGTCATTGTCAATTCGTGCACAATTTTGGATGGGACTGTAATTGCTGTATTTAGAATAAACAACAGCCACCCAGATACATAAGTTTAACAAAACAAAGTTGGAAAGAAAATGAACATGACTGCCTCCAATGGGATTGTGATGATTACCACACCTACTCTGCCTACAGCTCCTGAAATGTATGAGTCTTGTATTTGGGTCACAACAAAACTGAGATTACTTAAAACCCCCTTTTCAATTGCTTCTCCAAACTCACAGTCCCGTTCATCTGACCGGTCTGGACAGTCCACGTGTCCGTCACAGAACTCGCTGCTGCTGATGCACTTGCTGTCGTCAAAGCAGTATTCTTCCCCAGTGGGGCAGTCGGGGAGTGGGACACAGGAAGTGGCATTGAAAGCGGAGAAGCGCTGCCCGCATTTACATGTCCGACCTCCGGGATAGGCCAGACACAGATGGTCGCATCCGCCATTCTTGAGGGAGCAGCTATTAGTTCCTGAAGGAAATGAGTAAGAGAGGATGAGCCAATTAAGCAACACAAACCTTGTCATTTTCCTCCGCTCTAATAATGCTGCAGCTGTCAAAGCACGAGCAAATGAACTAAATGAGAATCAAAATGATTTAAGGTAGAATTTAAAGTGGATGGGGAAAGACTCAAAAGCATTTATCATTTTATGATAATAGGATCTGTTCAGACTATAGATGAACAGAAATGTGTCTTAAACATAGTTTTACCCAATAATGCTGTTCTATGGTGGGTAAATAGGTTCCCTTGTGTCTACATACGGTTGCTCACATCATACAGCAATGTAAACAGTGGTGGACACGAGAGCGCCTCCTGGCTGTATTTAATCGCGATTAATCGCATTAATGTCATAGTTAACTCACAATTAATTGCACATTTTTATCTATTCTAAAATGTCCCTTGATTTGTTTTTGTCCCATTATTTTTTCTCATTTTAATGCTCTTATCAACATGGAAAAGTGGATCGGATTGCTTTGTGCAATTGTTTTTATTGAAAACAACATTGGCATATACTGTAGTGTTCAATTTCACACTAACACTCAAAATGTAACGTCTACTACTCCTAAACAAGTGTGTGCGGCGTGCCTGTTTTGTTTCCGGTCTAGCTAGATCCGGTGTGGTGGTGAAAAAAACTACAAAGTGTGCTAGGCGAAAAAGAACGTTAATCCCTCGATAAAAAAAATTAACACCGTTAAAATTGGTTTGCATTAACGCTGTTAATAACACGTTTAACTGACAGCACTATTTATTGTACAATAAAAATTCATATCCACAGTTCTGCTTTGTGCACAGATGTATTTATCTGGCTTCTCTCGCTGTATTTCTGACAAAAATAATATTTTTAGTCAAATTATGGACATTTAAGTTTTATTATTTATATTTATTTCAAAGCTTAGTTTTAGATTAAAATATTAGTATTTGTAATTGTAGCTCCTGCTGTAGACATGACATTAGAGGGAACGCATCTTTGGTTACAAAACCCTCAGTGATTATGTGTGCCGACATATGTTTGTACACATGTTATGTATCCATGTCTGTTGTAATAATAAACATAGCATCATTGCACATGTATGCTCAGATTGCCAGAGTGTTTCACAGATCAGGAGTGTGTGTGTGTGTGTGTGTGTGTGTGTGTGTGTGTGTGTGTGTGTGTGTGTGTGTGTGTGTAGCTCAATTCATCATCGCACTTTCCCAATGCAGCACACACAGTAACAGACTGGACTCTCCCACAGCTTGCCAAGCCCCATCTCTGTGCAGGTATCACATCACCCTTCAATCTATTCAACTATTCAGCTCAAACTGAGCCCAAGTCTTTTCATTCTGCCTGGAGTGTCCGATAACATTTTTTTCTGCTTCCTGCATTCAGAAACTGAAGGCAAAGTGGAGGTGAAAATATAAGTGCGCAAATGGTGTAATTCCTGATTTGTGACTAGCAAACTGGTTTGACATCCTATTTTAAGTTGACAGTGGTGCGGCAAGCCTGTTGGTTAGCGTTACAAAACTGGGCAGGTTTAAAGCATTATGTGAGGATTTCAGCGTTGACGAGGCACTTTCACAATTTCATCCATCAGAGTCTCCACGTCCAAGTGGTTGTGAAATTGGCACTAACCAGCTGCCGGTGAATCAGTACTATGGTTGATAGGTGGCTTATAACATAGCATGTACAACAAGATGCACGTAGCATCTTTTCTCCTGTCTTAAATACTGGGACACAACCTCTGGAGAAGATTTAAACTACTTGTTTCTCATTTCCTACTTCCTTTGTTTTTTTTAAACCTCTTTAAACCTTGCATGAATTATAAATAGCTGTTATAATTGATAATAATGATTAATTATCAATAATTGACACACATTTCTAAAGCCAGCCATGTTTTTCCTACTTAAGTGTCATGCTGTCATTATTTATATATTTGAGGTATAAAGCATTTGATTTTGCTTCATGTAATTTTATTCTACTGTATATATTTCTCTTGTGGCCTCACTGCGTTACTCTTTACATTCAGTCTGCTCTGGAATTTTCTTCTACATCCTGTCATGCCTCACCTGCCATCTAGTGGCTGTCACAGAGTTTTCCTCACTGATATCACTTCTGTTGACATCACCTGCCTGCAAATCTGCTCTACATCTTAACAAATCAACCTCAGTATACAGTAGGGCTGGGCGATAAATCGATTTGATCGATTAATTTGAATTTGTAGTTAAACACGATTTATTTTTAGTTAAAATCGGTTTTCTCCTGAACTTCCACAACACCGGCGCTTCCTTTGGGCTCCCGTAGGTCAGAGTGCGCTGATCCCTCCCCCCGCCTCTCCACAGACAAACATGGCAGCAAGCCAGGATGACCTCGTCCCCAAAAAAGGCACAGTGTCGTCGGTTGTTTGGAACTGGTTTGGTTTTGTGGCGTCCGACAGCGAACAAACCACGACCCACTGCAAAGTTTGTTTGAAAGCTGTTGCAACCAAAGGTAGCAGTACGACAAATTTATTGCAGCACCTCAAGCAGAGGCATGCAGCCGAGTGGGATAAATGTTGCTCTCTGCGAGATATACAGGACCGCAGCCCACAAACACCCGCTAAAAAACAGTCTACAAAAATAATCGATTAAAATCGTAAATCGGGTTTGGTGTGAAAAAATTGGAGATTTTATTTTTAAGCCATATTGCCCAGCCCTAGTATACAGTCTATAAAAGGACAGCTTTCAGCACCTGTTTGCCAATTACCTGCCTCATTTTTCTGTAGGCTTATTACTGACCAAGTCAGACCACTTTTTACTCCTGCAGTGTGTCAAATCTAGAGATACTTACCAGACTGACTGTCGGTGCTATAGGCTCTGACTCCTACCAGGCTGGTCTTTGTCTCAAACCACAGTTGGTTAGGTTGGAGGCCGTCACTGAACCACAGTTTAGTTACATCTATAGAGTTTGAAAACACACACACAAAGAGAGGCAAATATTCTATCAAGCATATAAAAACCCAACAACTAAAGTTTCTACAGTACAGAAATCAGAGACTGTAGGATAGGGTGGTTGGTGAGGAAACATTTGATGCATTGGCTCATTAGTCAGATCAAGATTTTAATAAAATAACAGGCCTAATGGATGTAGTGGGGGGGAAATGCCAGAGATTTCAAGTGGATGTTTAAAGATGTCCAACAGTGTAGATTGCTGCAAAGAGATGACTGAATAATTCATTGGTACATTAGTCTGTGATGCCATCTGCTGCCTGAAGGTGATAAAGACGGATGACAGCCAAGATGTATGGGAGATTAAATCCCATAAGCAGGACTGAACAGGTTATTGTAGTGGAATACCAAGAATACACCAAGACTTGCCCCAAAAGACACTGTGGGTATTTGAGTGTTCAAAGTAGGGTATTATCAAAGACCATCCACACTTACCTTTGTTCAAGGTGACCCAGAGGAGGATGTTCTCTGTATGTGTGAAGGAGATGAGCAGACCTGGCCCCGCTTTGTACTGTTTATATCCTGTTCCATTCACTCCAATAGAGCTGATTATACCTTCACCTTGAAATAAAAAGAATAACTACACAGGTACTCAAACAGGCAGAAGCCAGCCAGCAAAAATATCAAGTATGTCATAATTGTAAATGCTGACCTGTGTCAGCCCAGTAGATCATGCTTCCTTGATGGCAAAAGACCAGCGAGGTGGGGACACTCGACTTCCTCCACAACACTGCTTTGTTCCGCCCATCCATCCAGGCACAGTCCACCTCTGACTGGATCTTATCACCCACCCCAACTATTGCTGTGTAGCAAAGTCGTCCCGAGGGGGGATGCAGTGCAATGGATGTGGTGCCCTGAAAGGACAACCAAGACCTAGGTTAAATTTAGCACGGAAAGCAAATAATTGAAAATAAAGTGTCTTGGGGCAAGCAAGGAAAGAAACAAAGAAAAAAATGTCAGGGGTAAAAGAGGAAATAAAATACAAAATACAATATACAATGAATACAACACTAAAGAGGTGAAGACTGTTTGTTTTAATGTTACACTAGTCTTAAGCCTATGTTAGTTTACCATTTACACAGTATAGAGGCTTTTGACAAACTCCAACCATGGCTGTCAAATTTCCAATAGGGGAGTACAATATCAGACTGTCCAAAACAGAAGCAAGAAACGGTAACAAAGTCAAGAGAAGCTGTCGATAGAGTTCAAGAGACAGTACATTTTGAAGGATAAAGATGATGCTGGATGAGCAGAAAAGAACAAATGTGAGCAGTAAAACAGAGGCCTCCATCACCTTCAGTGATCCCTGCAGCAGTGAGGTGGTGTAGCCGGAATGGCGAGAGGTCACATGGAGATCTGGCCTCTCTGCGCTGCTCCAGTAGAGGTTGGAGGTCACCCAGTCAATTGCCAGAGCTGTTACAGAATCATCCTTGTGGGACAGATACGTTTATTTTCCAGAATCAATATTTCATCAGGGAAGCTGAATACGAGTAACAAATTGTTCTGAACCACATGAAAATGTATAAAGTCCAAGATGCTATGTTTTTAACAGTAAAGTAGTGGATTGTCAAAGTCTCTTTCAACATTATTACAAATATTTCATAAAGCATTTAAACTTTCAAAAATAGCCCATTTTTGATTGAACAGAGCAAATCAAACTAAGATGGTAACTATTAAAAGAAACCAGGAAACACAACATGTAAGGCTCACAAAACTATTCCTGGCCTTGAATGACATATTTGCCAGGATTTAAAAAATTGCCATTTTCCTTGAAATGCTGATCATGCCTACCTTCAGCTTTAGGATTTGTCCAGAGGGTGTCAGTCCCTGTCTCGACTTGGAGCCACTGAGTTTTAGCACATCCACAGATCCTTGTCCTTCATCAGCCACATACAGAGAAAGCTCCTGGATGGAGACGTCCAGTGCTGAGGCCTTCATTACCCCGGGAAGGGGCAAAACTCGGCTGTTTGGCATTTTCTTCAGAGCGACACCATCACGACGCATGGAGTGCAAGTAAATCTACAAGTAGTAGGACAAAATAAAAAAGGGGAAATTAACACAAGTGAGAAGAAGAAAGGCAAGAACAAGTTTTCATTTAAAAAAGCCTCCAAGCAGGAAACTCTCAAACTTTCCTGCTTGGAGGAAGGAAGGCCTGCAGATTCTCTATCTGGACGCCACAATGAGACCATTCACCTGATAGACCGTTGTCTGAGACAAAAGCAGGATGAAACTTGACTCCATAGGCAGAGAGCAGGTAATCTTGTCCTTGGAAAGTAGCATCCCCTTTGGGCATCGACAAACCGCTGTAGGAGCCCTTACTGCTGGAGCTCCCGGTGTGCCCGGTGCTCCAGACCTGCCCCTCACTGCTGGGGCCAGGAGGCAGAGGTGGGAACAGTGTAGCTGGTCACAGGGGCTGGATATGGTGGGCTGGGAAAGGGCATGCATCACCTGGGGAGTAAAGGAACGTGATGCTGACAGACAAGACTTAACACTGTAGTCTTTCTGCCCAAACACTCCTTATTTAGCTAAGATTTGGTCACAGTCAACATTAACGGTGTTTCCATCCAAAAGTACATTGGTTTCCATCCACTACGGTTACGTGATTATTAGGAGTTGATTTATTGAGATGAAAAGTAGGTGGTGCCAGTTCTTCAGTCGGGAAACCACTACCTCAGAACTCATTTGAAAAAAAGTGTTTCCATTTCCCATTAACTGTCCACCATAAAATTCATAAAATATAAATGTTGAAATAATTAAGCTCTTCAGGAGTTGTAGTCACACTACTAAAAGTTGAAGGCTCACTTTCAGTCCAAATGGCTGTCCTGGTCTCTTCAGAAGAACCTTCTGATTTTTGCCGGTGTTCTTGTCAGCTGAGCGGATGGTTCTTTTTTTCGTGTCGGACCAGAAGACTCTGTCATTGAAGACAGCCACAGAGAAAGGGCTCGGTGTCTCGGCTAACTGGAGGATCTAGTGAGAGAAAAGGGACAGTCTATGTGACAGAATCAGAAGTTTTCCCTCAAATGATGCAAAACCTTTGAGGGTTATTTAAGTATTTTTTCGTCAGCTGACTGTGTTTACACCTTGACGTTGTCTCCGTCCAGAGAGGCAGAGCCGATACAGCGCAGCTTCTCATCAGCCCAGTACACCCGGTTGCCCATCTGGTCATAGACCAGACTCACTGGCCAGCTCAAGTCTCGGCTCACCACCACTTTCCTCTTTGAACCGTCCATCCCAGATCGCTCGATCTGAGGGGTACTGCCGATCTCAGACCAAAGCATCAACCTGAAATGTTGATCATTCAATACATGAAACAGTGAAAGATTTGTTGAAATTGGGAGTAAACATGATTTTTCACATTGAGCCCCTTACCCTTTATGTGGCAGCAAGACCAATGAGCTTGGCTGTTCCAGATCTTCACCCAGGACCACAGTGTAGTCCTGAGATCTCACTGTGATATCACTGAGCTTTACAGCCAGAATCTGGCCCACCAGTCCGTCCACCCAGTACAGGTTCTTACCAACCCAGTCCACCGCGATGGAATCCGACTTCACTCCTGCAACATGTTTAATTTGAATACTGAAAATCAGTTACAGTCTAAACTCTACAAATATCTTGAAAATGTTAATTTAGTAAATCCATTTAACAAATATTCCTGAGACAGCCATACCTTTGATAAGTGTCCCTTTGCTGTTTGAGTTTTTCACGTCAGCCCAGCGGATGCTCTGGTAGTCAGGGCTCAGCCAGTAAACTCTCTGCTGAGCCCAGTGATAATCCAGTGAGAAGACTGGCCGACTGGCAGAAGACAGAAGGCGCAAGGTGCTACTATGGACTCCCAGTAGTAACAGCTCAGACTGCACAGACGCCAGAAGCAAAGGCTCGTCTAGAGATAGAAATATAACCAGAGTTTTTCTTGGTCTTCCCCAGAGCAAGTAATGTTGACCAATATAATGGCACAAAATTGTGTCCAGTTTCCCATATCTGAAGTATACAAAACAGTATAGTTTAAAAACTATAAAGTTGTAGATCATTGGTTTGCAGGGACAAATGACTGATGAGTTGTTGAGCAGGAATGAGACTTTTGGGTCACAACTAAAGTCATCATGCAAGTTTATTACCTAAGGCACTCCATCATATACTGTAAATTGCTAGATACATTGATTAATAGATTTACTACTATGTAGGCACACATTGGATTCAGTAAACTTTAATATGCTATTTTTGAAAACTTAAACTTGCTTAACATAGGCAATCCATCATGCGGAGCATTTTGATAGCTGAAATTATTTGGTAAAGTTATACTGGCAATAAAGTAACTGACTGACAATCTAAGAGACTTTTTAGCAGCTGACTGGATTTTGGTTTAGTTCACATAATATATAGAATGCAACTTGATTTTTTTTTCAACAAGCAGAGACTGTGTTTAGACCTACAGTACCTTTGGTCTTGCAACTTTTGTTGTCAGGCTCCAGGAAGAACCCAGGGTAGCAATGACAGGTGTAAGACCCACGGGTGTTCAGGCAGGTGTGTTTGCATACGTCATGTGGCATTGCATTGCACTCGTCAATGTCCACACAGGACACAGCACTGGAGTATAGTCTGAAACCTGCAGCACAGTAACACCTCTGCAACAATGACGGAAGGAGGAATGAGCTTGGTGCACGTTCATATAATAGAGCCAAAATGTTGTGTACGTGTTTTTAGATACAGTTGTCTGCATACGACAGGCTGATGAAATATGAGCTAATGATAAATATATAAGAGGGAAAAAGGAAAAACAGGAAGGAATAGCTTGCTTTAATTAAAGCACACTGGGACTAAGCAGGAAAACAACCACATACACATCTGTTCTATACTGACCGGGCCATTTGGTGTGCTAACACAGTGGTGGTCACACTGAGGAGCTGATTGGCTGGAGCAGTTCTGCTGAACACATCCCACGCCCTCATCTGAGCTGTCGGCACAGTTGGTGAAGCGGTTACACACCAGGAGGGGGTCCACGCACTCACCACTGCCACACTGGTAAAGGTGAGAGGGGCATTTTCTCTGGTTGCCTGTGAAAGCAGATACACAGATTAAATGTGACATTTCACTGTACTGGCTGGCATTTCCGCTCATATGTTCCCTGAAAAGGGCGAACAAATAACAAAAAATGTGGTATGCTACATGAAGCCCTAATCAAACATAATGAAATGATAGCTCTCCAACAGTACTGAAAATTACATTAGAAGGACCATTTCCTCCATATATTACTATGATAAAGCATTGTGTGACACATCCATCTGAGGACAGACAGAGACTTTATTAATTGGGTCGTCATAGCAGCCAGGTACATTAAAATACAATAGAATAAAATACTTATATCCAATCCTTGCTGTTATAAAGTGAGCTGTATCTACTCTCAATTAATAGTTCTCCATCTTAAAAGGCTTTCCACATTTGGTTTTAGTCATTTATAGTAATTTTATATTATTGGCATTTGTGTTTTTGTTTTAGGTCCTACCTTATTTTAAAATTTTTTTTTTTTAATGGTGGGTTATTTATTTTAGAATAAATAACTTCCTAACTGTTGGAATTAACTAAAATTACAGTAATTTTGAAAATGGTTGAATTATTTTATAACTAATCCCATCCAAAGAGGCCTGAAAACGGCAAAAGATGCCTGGCAACAAATTCATCCGAAGCAGAGGATAAACCTGACCATTTGAGAATAAACATGCTCACATTTGTCCTCGTCCATGCCGTTGTGACAGTCCTCCTTCCTGTCACACCTCCAGGACAGAGGGATGCACTGACTGCTGTCCCCACACTGCCACTGGTACTCCCTGCACTTTGCTGGTGGAGACATGCAGTTCTGGATAGAAATGAGACCAAGTTTCAACCACTGCTTCCCAACTATCCTCAAATCATCCCCATGCATATATAAATGTTTAGGAAGCAAGGAAATGTCCCCAATTTCTTGCCTCTACTCAATACTACAGATTTACTTCACCTAGTGCTCAAAACTGCAGTTCTTTACCTTCTCGTCTGACCCGTCTTTGCAGTCGTCCTCACCATCGCAGAGCCACTCTTTCTGCAGGCATTCGTGGCTGTGCGGGCATCGGAGCTGCGCTGGACAGCGAGGGGGTCTTGTGCAGTCCACCTCATCGGAGCGGTCACTGCAGTCAGCATATCCATCACATCTCAGAGCCTCAGACACACACTGGCCGCTGGCACAGCGGTACTGGTTAATCGCACAGGCCACCAAACCTCGAAAGATAGAAACAAGTGTGTTCATCTTCATTTTACAACCGTTTGAAATAGGATTGTTGGTTTTAAGTAAATATTGGACAGCACCTACCACACTTTTCCTCATCTGACCCATCAGCGCAGTCTCTCTCGCCGTCACACAGGAAGGTCTCTGGTATACAGCGAGTGTTGTTATCACAGTGCTGATGGCAGCCCTCAGCCAGGCTTGAACAGTCCATTTCATCGGATCGGTCTTGACAGTCGTACTGTCCGTCACACACCTGCTTCTGTGGGATGCATCTATTCCCGTGGGCACACTGGAACTCAGCTGGGGAAGAGAAAAAAATAATCCATTGCAAGAGCATCTTTTTTTCAAATGCATCAATAACTGATCTAACACTAAAACTATCCATTTCATAAATTATTTTACATTTACTGTTTTAAAACACTGGTGGTTTCTGGAAAGTGATTCAATTTAGCTCAGGACTAAAAAGAAATTTAATTCAGAAATCCGTTTCTTGATCAACACTAAACCCATATAAAACGCTGGTAGTACTGTCCACTGACAAACACGTGATTCCAAACACCACACAATGAAAATTAAATATGAAGTTGATGGTGTTACTTCAACAATACTGGAAACAGACTTCTGCACCAAAGGCCCTTAACATTATGAATGACTCCGTAGACATTTTCCATGTATATAAAACAGGGGATTGGGTCATTGCTTTAAAGGACAATTCCGGTGCAAAAATGAACCTGGGGTTAATAACACATGTGTACCGAGTTGGTCCGTTCTCTGGGATATGTGGAAGCACTAGTAGACTAGTAGTCTCTGTTGCGCTCAGTGCTTTCTTCCAGCAACAACGTGAGTTCACGTGAGATGGTGCGTTCAGGTCACATCTCAGAGAGTTGGACTGGTCACGACTGTTTTCCCAAGATGGCGCCCGCCTGCATGAACGCTACTGTTCTAAACAAACTGTCTGTACACTTACAAAGTTCTCAATGCTTCGGTTTACAGGTAGGGGCCCCTCATTATGCTACCGTGTAAGTGTGGTGCTATTTTGATCCTTGTTAGTGGTATAGAAATAGCTTTCTTTTCACTTTACTCTGTGCCCCGTTGACTAGTTATATGGTCATTAGCGGTTTGTGCTAAAACTGGTCACGTGCGATTAGAATGAAAACATATCCCAGAGAACGGACCAACTCGGTACACATGTGTTATTAACCCCAGGTTCATTTTGCGCTGGAATTGTCCTTTAAGGTGCTTTTTTCTAGCTCCCTGCACAAAAACAAACCTGCTTTGCAATGAGTGGCACATCCCTCTTCATCTGATCCGTCCTGGCAGTCCCTCTCTCCGTCACACACATGGCTGTACATAACACATTCCAGGCCATCTTTACATGGCTTGAAACCTTTGCGGCACCTCAGTGGGGCTGATCTGGCAGCGAGTCCATTGATGGATGCTTGGCAGAGAGAAAAATATGCATTCAGTTAGTCGTGAAGCCACTGAGCCAAAAAAAACAATCAGAAACTGAGTGGGCAGGTTGGAGTTATTTTTTGCTAGAAGTGCAGCAAAATGGTTGGTCGTGTTGATAGTCTACCTGTGCATAGCTGGTGGCTATGGTACTCTGAGTAGCTGCTAGGTTATTGGGTTGCTATGGTGTATTAGGTGCTTACTAGGGTATATATGTTAGTTGTCACAGGGACTGGTAATTGTTAGGTAGAAGTATGTAGTTTCTAGTTTGTGAAAGAAGAAGAATTTTGTGTATATTGCCTTGCAACAACTGCTGTAAAAATGTGCTTGAAACTTATTTTCTGCTTTAACACATTACGAGGGGGCTTACGGGGAGCACTAGGATCTGCAGATTGACACTGCTTCTCATCTGAGCCGTCGGGACAGTGGGCACGACCGTCACACACTTCCATCCTGGGGACACAAGCCCTCCGGTCGCTGCACAAGAAGTCATCTGAATGTGCAGGAAGAAAAGGTGTCAATTTGAGGAGCAGGGAGGAGTTAATATACCAAGGTTTTTCCAAAATCGCTACTGAATACTTTACAGAGGATGTCAAAGCTGGCCACACACACCAAGTACATCCATCATTAGTTTGACAGATGCGTAAATACTATTGCCAACTACCTTTGATGTGATTTACCTGGGTTATTACACTGGACCACACAGTTGTTTTCATCAAATCCATCAGGGCAGTCTCTTTGACCATCACACAGCTGATTTTGAGAGATGCACTGTGATGAACCTGGACAAAGAACTGACGGAGGGATGCAAGCTGATGCAGAAGTGAGAACAGGGGACTCTGGTGTTGTAGCAGTAACTGGATCTGAAGAAGGTAAAACTAAGTGTTAAACTCAAAAGCTGTAGCACTCACTGTCAGGATTGATGGCTAGCTAACCTTAAAGTAAACAGATATCATCAAGGGTCATTTGCATGGAAAAGTAGAAAATTCATTCCATGAGGTTTCCATTGCTACGTTTTAACATCTACACATAAATCACAGCTCTCAGACTTACCACAGCCCACCTCATCCGTGCCATCCAGGCAGTCCCTCTCTCCATCGCACAGGAATTTCTTCGGGATGCAGCGCTTGCCATCGGTGCAGTGATGCTCACAGCTTTTAGTTCGTTCCCTGCAGTCCAGTTCATCAGACTGGTCCTGACACTGTGGCTTCCCATCACACACCTGAGCCTCAGGGATGCACATGTTCCCATGGGAGCACTGAAATTCACCTGTAGTGGAGTTCATATGAAAGATAAGACTGTTTAAATCAAACAGCATTACAGCTCATCATCAAAGTACTCATTTACAGTGCTCCACTGTCATTTCTTCTTTTTTGTTCTTATAATTTTATTGACTAGTTTAGTCTAGTGATTGAACTTTGAAAAAAAAAAATATATTAATTAAAACCTATTATAAATAATAGGTTAAAACAAAACTTTTTAAATGCCTATTATAAATAATAGGTTAAAATAATATTGCTTTTATACCACCCTTAAAACAACTATAGTTGAATGTAGCCAGTAAGATTGAATTAAAAGTTTAAAGTGATATAACCTTGTTTGCAGTTTTTTGGGCATCCCTGCTCATCAGATCCATCCGTACAGTCATTCTCTCCGTCACATACATGGCTGTATAAAACACACTCTTTGCCGTCATTACATGGCTTTGAGCCTATGCGACACTTCAAGACGTTTGTCTGTGGTGCAGGAGGAGTTACATTCGGACAGTCAATCTCATCTGAACCATCAGGGCAATGAGAGTAGCCGTCACAAACCAGACTCTTGGAGATACAGCTCTGACGGTCTTTGCAGCGGAAGGTGTCTAGATGGAAATTACAGAAAATAAATCAAGATTTTCAAGTTTCAAAACACTTCCGTATGATTAATTTTTGATTTGGAGATTTGGATTTAGAAGAACACACAAACTCTATTCAAGGCTTACTTTCTGAGAGACATCTTTTCACACAATTCTCATCAGATCCATCAGGGCAGTCTTTTTTTCCATCACAAAATTGTGTTGGATTGATGCATAAAGATGAATCTGGACACACAACTGAAGGGCTGGTGCAGGAGGGCTTGGTTGCAGGCTCAATAAAGGGTTTGACACGTAAAGGGGATTCATTTAGGTTTTCTATAGGAGTGGTAAGGTCAATCTGGGCAGCATCTGACAATTGAGAACAACAGTAAGATTAGGTTTAAAGTTCCATTTTAAAAAACATCAAATTATCTTTGCCATACGATTACATTAGTCAGTCCCTCCAGAAAAACGCAATTATGCGTTTGCATAATTCAATGCATAATCAGCCAAAGTCCGCATATTTATGCGGGGGGCGCATTTTTTCAAATACGCAGCACTTTCGCCGCATTAATTGCAGATTTCCGCGCAAAATATGCAGGGCTTGCATGATTTCATAATCCCCCGCATTTACGTTGCAAAAAAGTCACATCTTAGCAGAAAGTTGAAAAATTTTGCGTTTACTTCACACAAGAGCAGCCATTTTCCCCTGTTGCCAATGGGAACGTTATGAAGTGACGTAATTACGCGAGGTGAACGTCATCGAAAAGCTGCAGACCCCGCGATGAAGCCGCAATTTTCCGCAATTTCATCACATAAAACTGCATAAATTGCCGCATATTCCATCGCGTTTAAGAAAACGTGCCGCATAAGCAAGGATTTTGGTCCGCAACAATCACAAAAAAACTGACTACTGATTAGTAATAATTACCATAAATATATCCCTTTATAAATAAATACATTTTTAGTAGTCTGCATCATAGGCCACTGGTATCATTGACATATCTGAACTTTGATTCTTAGTGATGCTCTTCCTTACTTATACTAACTACTAAGTTTCTATGTAAAAATGATACATGTAAAAAGATATCAGTATCTCCATTCATATATTTTTTTCATTCAAATGAACAAAGCTCAATTGGTAGGCAATTTTAGGTATGAAAAAAAACGACTTGTTAAGCTACAAGGAAATGTCTTTGAAAACTCGCCTGCTTCATAGCCAACTGTGCTCGTCTACAAAAACATTTATTTCACCTTGCAAAATCCACATATCCACAGAAACTCACCACATCCTTCTTCATCTGATCCGTCCTGGCAGTCTCTCTCTCCATCACAAACGTGAATGTAGAGGACACATTCTGTCCCGTCTCGACACAGTCTGAAGCCCATGCGACACTTCAGGATGTCTGTACGAGCTGTAGGAAGAGCTATGCTTGGACAGTTGACCTCATCTGATGCATCCTGGCAATGAGAGCGACCGTCACAGACCAGATTCTTTGATACACAGCTCCTGAGGTCCTTGCAGGGGAAGTCAGCTACAGGGGGCAAAAGAATATTCAAAGACATGAATGGAATTGTATCAAATTTGCTCCGTATACTTCAAACTAACAAAAGATTTTTAAGGGTGGCAAGTTGGTTCACAGCACTACTTGTCCACAGTGACACGTGTTGGAAACGTAATTTCATGAACTAAGTGTAATAACTTAATGACTTACACTTGTATGGGCATCTATTCACACAGTTCTCATCAGAGCCATCAGGGCAGTCGTTCTTTCCATCACAAAATTGTGTTGGCTTGATGCATAAAGATGAACCTGGGCACAGAACTGAAGGACTGGTGCAGAGTGGCTTGGTGGGAGCTTCAGTAAATGGCTTGACGGGTGCAGGAGATTCATTTAAGTCTTGATTCTCTGCAAGAATTGTAGTGGCAGTGTCTGCAGCATCAAGAGATATTACACCAAGTGTAAGATGTAGAGTTTCATTTAAAAAAATTAAGATATTGTGAAATTGTTACCTTATTAATAACAGCAACACATGATATTCTACAAAAGCACTTTTACATTTATTACCTTTGCAAAAGACAACCTCTGAATGAGCACTCACCACATTCTTCTTCATCTGATCCGTCCCGGCAGTCTCTTTCTCCATCACAAACGTGACTGTAGAGGACACATTCTGCCCCATCTCGACACAGTCTGGAGCCCATGCGACACTTCAGAACATTTGCCTGAACTGCAGGTGGAGTTACGCTCGGACAGTTAACCTCATCTGAGCCATCATGGCAGTGCGAGCGGCCGTCACAAACCAGACTCTTGGCGATGCAGCTCCGATGGTCTTTGCAGAGAAAATCAGCTGAGGAATTTGATCAGTCAATAAATCATTTAATAAATCAAACAACACAACGAAAATAGTAACTTTGCACTTCTCCAGTGTGGTTGAGATCAAAAAAGTCTCAGCCCGTAATCTGACTACTTACTCTTCACAGGGCATCTTTTCACACAGTTCTCATCAGATCCATCTGGGCAGTCTTTATTTCCGTCACAAAATTGTGCTGGATTGATGCAGAAAGATGAACCTGGACACAGAACTGAAGGGCTGGTGCAGGGTAGTTTGGTGGCAGGCTCAGTAAAGGGTTTGACACGTAAAGGGGATTCATTTAGGTTTTCTATAGGAGTGGTAATCTGTGCAGCATCTGACAATTGATAAACAGTAAGATTAGGTTTAAAGTTCCATTTTAAAAAACATCAAATTATCTTTGCCATACAATTACATTAGTCAGATGATTGATGATCAGTGATAAATACCATAAATGTATATATACGCCTAAGATCCAAAATTTCTACTAGTCTCAATCACAAGCCACTGGTATCATTGACATATAAGAACTACTGAATAATAATTTTTTTTTTAAAAAGACACCAGTATCACCATCAATTTATCTTATATTGAAATGAATATACCCAATTTGCCAGGCAATTTTAGGTAAGAAACAAGACAACTTAGGATACAAGTAAAAGTTTTTAAATATTACAGTAAACTCACATTCTTTACTAGCAGATTGTGCTAATCTGCAAAGCATTTATTACACTTGCTGTGTAAAAGCACAGAAACTCACCACATCCTTCTTCATCTGATCTGTCCCGGCAGTCTCTCTCTCCATCACAAACGTGACTGAAGAGGACACATTCTGTCCCGTCTCGACACAGTCTGGAGCCCATGCGACACTTCAGGATGTCTGTTCGAGCTGCAGGAAGAGCTATGCTCTGACAGTTGACCTCATCTGAGCCATCGTGGCAATGAGAGCGACCGTCACAGACCAGTGTCTTGGAGACGCAGTTTCGGCGGTCTTTGCAGCGGAAGTCGTCTGGTTGGAAATTATGGAAAACAATGACAATCTGTTAAGCTTGACTCCCCAGGCAAATGCATCATATATACAAACTCTACATTCAAGGCTTACCGCTTGAGGGACATCTTTTCACACAGTTTTGTTCATCAAAGCCATCAGGACAGTCTTTACGCCCATTGCAAAACTGGCTTGGAGAAATGCAGAGGTGAGTGGAGGAATGGGGACAGAGCACAGATGGGCTGCTGCAGGCTGGCACAGTCAGAGCAGGAGCTTTGGTAGCAGGTGGCATTTCATTTGATGGATCACTATTTGGTTTTGTTGGAGTTGTGGTCTGTTCTGTGGCATCTTGAAGATACAGTAATAACACAGTTCAAGTTCAACCACATAGGAGCGTTAAATCAGTATTTCTCCAATTAACATGTTTCTTTTGTCATTACAATTTTTTCAAATAATTGAGTTTTGGAAACTCACCACATCCCAGTTCATCTGATCCATCCCGGCAGTCTTTTTCCCCATCACACACGTGGCTGTATAAAACACACTCTGTGCCGTCTTTACATGGCATTGAGCCTGTGCGACACTTCAGGACATTTGCCCGAGCTGCAGAGGCAGCTACAGTCGGACAGTCAACTTCATCTGAGCCGTCACGGCAATGAGAACGACCGTCACAAACAAGATTCCTGGAAATACAACTCCTGCGATCCTTGCACTTGAAATCCTCTAAGATTGGAAATTAAAACAGAAAAGAAAAGCTCAAGTCAGTGGTGAGTATGTTAACTACTCACAGTATTTCAGAGCTGTGTGGCCCATTCCAACAAATTTGTGAATTTGTCATATTGATACTTCACCTTTAGATGGACATGTGGTTACACAAAAATCCTCATCATCTCCATCAGGACAGTCTTTTTTCCCGTCACACAGCTGGGCTTGTGAGAGGCAGACTGATGTGTGTCGGCACAGCACAGAGGGTTCATTGCAGACTAGAGTATTGGGCACTATGGAAAAAGTAAAAATCTGTGGCTTCCATATAAATGCCCTCTAACACAAATTGCTATAAGCCAGTTATGATCCACCTTTTACTTAATCGGATATACAGTAAACAGCATGCATCTGTATAAACGTGGTCTGACCTGTACGGATGTCCTTGAGTGCAACGATTACACTCAACACATGACCTTTCACGGACATCTCTTGGATGGCGCTTCCATCACGCCGGTCCCACAAAGTCATGACATCATCAGAAAGGGACAACAGGAAAGGCTCAAATGCCGCTACGATTGAGCCTGAAATGTTCCATCTTCTACCTGCTCGGTGTCTTTTTCCTGCAGCAAACTCATTGTTGTCAAACCTGTATACAAAAAAAAATAAAAAAAAAAAAAAAAAAAAAAGAGTACAAGATCCAAAACTCATTCAACAGGTCTGTACTGTGGAAATACGGGCTCCAGATTTCATCATCCCCAGATTCAAAATTCTGGACTGTTAGAGCCCTAGACGTGACTCAATTATTTATTACAATCCTCAAACTGATCAATACAACCAAAGATTCTGAACACCCTGTCAGCTCTTACTGCTACACCATTAACAAAAATTAAATTTGATCATTTTTGTTGATGAAATTTAAACTGTAAAAAAAAAGAACTTGATTAAAGCCTACAAGCACTCTTTCTAAAAGGTTCCCAAGGTACCCAATTATATGTAGCAGGTACATGCACTACAGTAATACAAAAACACATATTGAAATTAACACTGTATAGTTCTTGAAGGTAAAACTTCTCTCTAGACAGATGTACCAATATCTTGTTTCATATGTACACTTCATCTTCTAAAACACTACTTCATAGAGCGACTCTCATTGCTTCAGCTGGAGAGATATTTGAACATGAGAAGCAAAACTGTATTACTCTGATCTACAAAGTGACAGACCTGCCCTTTCTGAGTTCCAGAGCAGACTATTGGCCCTGAGGTCGAAGGCGATGTTCCCCCTCACTCCTCCTTCTGCTAAGTGCAGCAGCTCTTTGGCTTTGCCTCCCATCATGCTCATGGTGAGGATTCGCTCTTCCTCCAGCCACACGATGCCTCCCCTCAACCAGTCCAGATACAGGTCTCGAATCTCCTTTGTTGTATGGTACAGCTGCTGTGGATATCGATTGTCGGCTGCAGCAGTGCCAATGCTGTGTTGGTCACATGACACCCAAAATAGGTTCCCTCTCCTCTGGTCTACTTTTATCAGACAAACTACAAAGAAATAAAGATATAGGAAGTGTGAAGACAGCTGTAATGTGACTAAGTAAGTTGGTTCATGGCTTATACTAAACTGACTGACTAGAAAGTAATTATTTTCATTAACAAGTAATCTCTTATTTTATGGAGAAAAATGCTCATCACAAGAACCCACAGTTGTGTCCTTAAATTCATACCCAAACTATTCAATTTCAGGAATAAACCAGAAACTGTAAGAAGAAAATGTGTAGTATTTTAGCTTGATAAATAAATTGTTAGCTCATTTTAGTGATAATACAGTGAATATTGCTTTCTCATTTCCACTACAACAGCAACGTGTTACCCAAGTCTGTAAAAGACAAGGAAAATCTAAAGCACTAACCTGGCAAAGGGGTTGGGACCACCTCAGTCTTCACCTGGGTTACACTGGTGCGTTGGATGTGGCCAGTTTGGTTAGCCCAGTACAGCCAGTCTCTATACCAGTCCAGATCAAATGACAGGATGCCATCATCAGTGTCAAACAGACGGATTTTAGTGGACTCTCTGGCTCTAAACTCAAGCATGTTGATGTTGGTAATGGTAGCGTATATAAACCTTGGATCTGTGGGAGAAAACAAATGAAATAAAAAAAAAAAAAAAAACAATGGATTTATGATGCCCTTGTGCTTAACAAGTTATAAAAAGGACCAGAGAAAATGATCTTTATTCCCATTACAGCAAGAGATAATCTGTGACATGGGAAAAAACTAAAAATAAAGACCAATGGTATAGTTTTAAGTGCAATGCATTTAAAATAACACTTTTTTAAAAAATCTTCTAGACCATAAAAAAGGGAAGTTGATTTAATCAGCTGTCTCTTGTAAACAGATCAGTTTGAGCCCTTGTTTAAGAAACTAACAATTTCAGTAGGATCATTTACAAATATGTTACATGACCTTAAAATGGGGGGGGGGGAAATCACTTGTAACACAAGCAAAGTAAAGTTATGGTAAACCTACATTCACATGTCCCATCAAGCAACAGTACTTTGGAGTTTGGACAAGCACAGGTAAATCCAACAGGGTTGCCTTTAGTTAGTTGGCAGAGGTGACATTGAGTCTTTCCACATGCAGAAGAACCTGATAACAAGACAAAAATATAACAAAAAATAACCCATGACCTCAAACATCAGTGGAAATTCAGAGAAAGAAATACTGTTATGAACAAGCATGTTGCATTAAGATTAAAACTACTGTTCCAATAAGTACCTTTAGGCTGCTGTAGCTCATGGTAGACTGCTAAAACTGGCAGTGCCGCTTTCCAGATAAATGTCTTCTGGTCCGGTTGGTTCTGTGGAACCTGCCACAGTCCTTTGTCATCCACCCAGTAGAACGAACTTGCAAATACAGCCAGACTGAGAGCTGGCCTCCTGTTGAACAGTCCTGTGAAGGAGTAACGGCCCGTCCCGTCCACCTTCACCGTCTCTATAGACTGAATGAAATAAGTTCATGTTCAATGTATGATCGATAAACCCCAACTAATGGTTAATCCAGACTGACAGTGTCAAACTGTGTTTAGGTTATGGTTTTATATTCTCTTCTCATCGTGCCAATTAAGTTAAGTGATTTCTCAACAACACTGTGGTCATGATTCCGTGACCATAATGGTCAGCTGTGAAAAAGGACTATTACGAACTATAAATCTATATATGGCAGATTTATAATGAATTTAACTCATAATCTAATGTGTTTGATGCACTGTCAAATACAAATTCAAAATTTCTTTGCTTAACTCACCTTCTTGAAGACGCTGATCCAGTACAGCCTCCTGGCAGCCACGTCAGCAGTGAGGCTGTGAGCAGACTGAGCAGTGAGTGCAGTCAGAGAGCTTCTTTCCGACCCATCCATCCATGACTTCTCTATTGTCACTCTGTCCCCATGGCCGGTGTTGATCCAGAACATCAAGCTGGGAGGCAGAGAGTGGAGAATTTGAATAAGCATTACAGTAGTTTATCATAGTCTCTGGATTTTTGTGTGTGCCAAGTATATTAAATTTAACAGCTCATTTCAGCATAATGACTTCATTTTGCAGATTCCATACACTGTATAAATACAACATTTTGAATACAAATATTTTACATTTTATGGAGCAGATAGAATAATCAAACATACCTCTCAACAGATATAAGCACCAACTCTGATGGGCTGATGTCTTTGCTCAACAGAGTAGTGTAACTTTTCCCATCAGCTGCCTGCATGTAGATTGACGCCATCTTCTCATTGGTCCAGTATAGGTTTCCATTTAGCCAATCACAGGCTAGACCCTTGATTCCAGGCTCCCCTGTAAAAAGATTTAAAAAAAACAAAAAAAACATTCAAAGTGTGAAATAGCTTTTACAGAAATGTTGGGTTTTGAATCTGAATTCTACGTTTCACGCTTAAGTTTAGATCAGTCACTGCAGAGAAGTGATCATTTACAGAATCTCTTATAGCTCCACTTTGGGATTTTTATGTCATAAAAATATAGTGTTTATTAGTTTAAATGACAAAGTGCAGCTTTAAAATCAAAATGTTGCTAAACTGGACATTTTTAAGAGAGAAGAAGTCATTTGTCATTGGGTCATACAACATGTAAACCTTGTCACAATTACAAACAACAAGCTGTATGACCAATACTTTTATTAAAAAAAAACTAACCAGTATAGATTGTCGAGCTGTGCTCTCCATCACTTCTGTAAATGCTGCCATGGTTGTCAGCCCAGTAGAACCAGCCACGGGTGAGATCAAAAGTCAAAGCCACTGGGTCAGACACTAGAGTCTGGATAACTTCGAACTGTTGAGACTTCACATTCAACAGACTGATAGATCTCTTCTGCACCGTTAGCAATCTGATAGCATTACCTGGACACATTTATGAATTCAGAAAGAAGGGTGTAGTTAGTCCGAATATTTGGATTGGAGTAAGATTGACTTACTGTTAGTTCAACATTCCTCAATCACTGACAGGAGTAATAACCTAACATTTCACTCCAAGTGTGGAAAGTTACAAAGTTCCCAAAAAACAAAAATAATCACCAACTATATGTGGACAGACAAAAGAAAAACTCTGCATCTCATTTAATATTTAATATCATCCCTGTATAACCAACATTTCAAGTAACAATTAACCTGCTTGATTTAAAGTTCTGTCTTTGATCTTTCTGAACTTTCTGTTATTGCTTTTGAGCTTGGCCACATGAAAGAAGACCATTACCATGTCACTGATCTTTTCCCAAGGGCACTTCATGATGTTTGTTGTTGGGTTTGATCTTTTTTAGAGGATGAAACTAAATCCAGAGATTACCTGTAGCTAGACATGTGGAGCTTCCATTGAGTTTGAATCCGTCTCTGCAGTGGCAATAGTATGATCCGATGGTGTTAGTGCAGTGATGTGGGCAGGGAGCAAAGGGTGGGGCACATTCATCCAAATCTGAAGAAAGAGTGAGAAAGAGTGAGAGAGTGGGTTTTAGCATAATAAGCAAGAGCTGTGCATCAAAAACAGATCTTAAAACATAATTTTATAACTGGGGGTTAGGGGTCCAGGCTGGTACAAAAGGAACTTACCCACCAAAATAAAATGGAAAGTGAATAGTGTGTTATTTTTTCCATGCCCCACGCACCTTCGCAGAGCGCTCCATTGGGAGAGAGCTTATATCCGACAGGACAGGCACACAGAACTCCCCAGGCTTCATCGACACACACATGGCTACAGCCACCATTGTTCATAGAGCAAATACGACCTGCAGGAGGTGCAATATGGCTCAGCACAATGTACAGTAATAGCATTTATTATCACATTATTCAATCAATAAGGAAGTCCCATTGAGATAAAAAAAAAAAAATCTCTCAAAAATAACAAGAGAGACCTGGCCAGGGCAGCAGCCATACAAAATCACAGCATATTAAAATAAAACAAATACAACTTCTACAAGTTTTTATTTTGGCATGAAAAGTAAAGCTAATTTTCCATTTGAGCTTCCTAACTAGATTAGTAATATGTACATGCATGTATATGCACAACTTACCACATGTTATGGGCTCATCACTGCCATCTGAGCAGTCAATCTGCCCGTCACACCTCTGTTCAGCAGACAGACATGTCCCTTCAGGACACCGTATGCCATCATTGCCACACAGACCTGTAAAACAGACAAATCAGGACTTAACCATTTAACTGTTTCTCATACCTTCCCTGAGTTACCAGCTGTATGGATCCAACATCTTTTCACACCGACTCATATTTTCAACACATGCCTCTCACACACATACAGTCCGTTCACGCAGTCTCTGTGATCATGTTGGGGTGATTATTAATCGAATGATAATGGTCAAAACATTGATAAATACAAAATATTAATAAAATTCAAAATGTAATTTCTAAGAATATCAATGTCACCATTCATTTGATTTGTGGATATATACTGTGATTTCAAGTTGACAATCAAACTTATTTGTTGTTTCATTTCTTCAGGACTAGATTGTAAAACGCAACCAAACACAAGAAAAGACTAGAGCGCAGGACCCTGAGCAGATCTGCCAGGCTGAGCAGATCCAGTATACTGGCTTCTGTACAGTCAAGATTGCAGCAAGGATAACAGAAACTGGGATTTATTCATCTCATATCATGCCCAACTTTAGTGGATCATAACATCGGGTATGGGATTCATCTGCAGATGCTCTGGTTCAAGATGAGACCACACTTTCCTATGGATGACCAAAATGTGGCATGCAACAGACTAGGAACGCCATGTTTTTAGGTAAGCTGATTTGCAGAAATTTACCCAATTACTTAAAAATATTTGAATGGAAAGATATATTCTATTTGAAGAAGTCTTAAGATGTGAGTCCCAATATTATCTTAATTTTGTTTTCCTCAGACATGTTTGGCAAAGCAAATTGGTATGCAGTTTAAACGCATATTGTTGTAAGACATTTCAAAGATTGTTTATTTCAATACCTGGATAAATAAAGCCAAAACTATCAGCATTGCTACAGTAGATGCCAGCACAGTTACATTTTCCTGTGGCTCAGCATTTAACACCCCCATCTTTCTCACCACAGTCCTCTTCATCAGAGTTGTCCAGGCAGTCATTCAGTCCGTTGCAGCGCAGCTCTGTGGGGATACAGATGTGGTTTCGACAGGTCCAGTCAGACTCCAAACAGTCCTGGGTAGCTGTACAGTTCTCCTCATCAGAGCCGGTGGGACACTGGATTTGTCCGTCACAGCGGGCCGAAGAATCCACACAGCCGACAGAGTCCACACAAGGAAACTGACCCGGCGGACACTCAGGAGAGCCTGGGAGTGCTGGAAGGAAGAAAACAAAACACGGTGCATATGGAAGACACATGAAGTGTTTATGTTTCATTTTACAAACAAAAGTGTTCTGTTAAAATATCTATCAGAAGTAGTTTTCTCTTATAAAAAGACTGACCTTTGAATCAACACAACCAAACAGTGGTAATATGACAATGCTTAACATTTTGTGGCTTCACAATACAATCAACTCAATAGTTAACTCAGTGTTCTTGCTTTTGTTGTGTTAATTTTGCACCTTTTGTCATTACTGTGAAGCAGTTTATTAAACTATAAAAACAAATTAATCCGCTTTAATTGCTGCCAATTCTAATAAAAGGTAACAATGGTGTTAACAATTTTAGACTCACAAGAAAACAAACAACTACTGTGAATGAAAATAAAGCAGTTTATTAGTGCAAAGTGTCAATAACTGGCACAGAGACAGGAAATATACCCACCAGTGCAATCCATTTCATCAGATCCATCCAGACAGTCTCCATCACCATCACATCTCCAGACATCAGGGATGCAGTTTCCATCATCGCACTGCCACTGGCCTTGACGGCATCCTACAAATGTAAAAAGAGAGTAGGGCAAAGTACAAAGACGAAGGCTTAGAAAATACAATTTGCCCGTCACTGGGTTAGACACAGTGGATGAATTTGTCTAAAATTAAACACCCCCTTTTTAGATCAAATAAGTTGATTTCAGCATATGAGCTGAACAGTCAATAAATGTGTACCTGCTGTAAGCTTCAATGGTATGGGCAGCCATGTGGCACTTTTCAAAAACGAACTGACCAAATGCAACCGAACAGAAAAAAGGCTGCAAAGACATCAAATATTCTGCATTCTTTCACCATCTTGCCTTGGGTTTCTTTGCATGGTGAGCTGGAGCCACACAGTAAGAGAGAACCAAGCGATAGTGTAAAACTACGGACATAAAAATGTAGTAGAATAAAGTTCCCAAGAAAACGTTTAATTTGCTCAAAATACAGGGAACTATGACAAATCCTATTGATGTTTCTTGATCATGGCTCAGATCACAATGCCTCAAAATGATGATATGCAATTGCACATGGTCAAATGTCAAAGAAAAGTACGCTAAAATAGACAAATAAAAACTGGGTCTATTTTGATCCAGCCTGGCTAAGGTCAATAAATGCAACTGCATCCTTTCACCCACTTTTAAATGAATTTGACCCAAATATGTTTTAATGATAAACAGGTACACAAACAGGCAAAAAAAAAATCAAGTTTGCAGGTACTTATTGTTCTCATGAAGTTAAAACTGACTGAACTGCATTAAAATTAAAATAAAGCTCGTGGCCCTGAACTCGTGGAATGGACGCCATATTGTCTCGTTCATGTTTAAATCTAAAGCAAATGACAAAACTGCCCTGTATGTTTGTTTGTTTGTTTGTTTTATAAGTTACACACTGACTCGAATTAAACTACACAGATGCCTTAAGCGCCATATAGAAGAACGTTTACCTCGGGAAATGGTCAGACTGGCCAGAAGGATGAAACAAAAGAACTGGTGTAAGTCCATATCGGCCCGCTCAGCTCATCGGGACAAACAGCGTCACCTGAGAGGAAATGCTTTTATTAGCTTCCACTGATGCAGGTGCGCGTGCGACCATACACTGACCACTCAGCTTCCGTCACCACACAAACAATAAAAATCTATTGTATGGAAAACGTATAAGCAATTGGATACATTATTTCTTTGTTTAATCGGGTGTGTGTTTTAAATGTTATTGTTTGTTTATTTATTTATTTATGTAGGGAATCTGTCTTTCCAGCTTTCCTTACCGTGTATATTTAAAAGTCTGGCTAAAAAAACAGGGTCACTTTTTATTTGACATGTCATTAATGTTTCTGACAGTTGAGTGGGCGCGAGCGCGGACTGCAGTGTGATTGATTTGACTGAGAGCAAGCTGTGCACGTGCTGTTTCTTGTCCAGTGGCAGAGCGGCAGCGGCGCGTGACGCTGCTGCGAGACTGAGATAAGGCCACGCGCATTTTGGATAGATTTTGCGCTTTTACGCACGGGACGGATTACGGCTATTGTTCTTGTATTATTGCCTTGGCTTTATAAACAGTAAAAGTAAAAGTAACAACAGCACATTGTACAATAATCCGTTACAAGTACAAGTGCGGCATTAAAGTAGACTTACATAAGTACTATAAGCATCAAAATATATTTACAGTAAAAGTAGGCTACTAAATATATAGGCCCAATTCATAGTAATATGATTCGTGATGCATAAATATTTAAACATCACGAATGTTGCAGCTGATAAAGTTTAATATACAGTACCGGATAATACATCACGATTTATCAGTTGATTTATATTTTGTATTGAACATTAATAATCTGAATCAGTAGCTAATGTTGTCAAATACATACATTTAGTCACTAAATACATTTAGTGACTAAATGTGAAACACACACAGAGCATGCGCCAGGCCACTGTGCGCATTGTGCACGATTGTGCCACGCATATTGTTGTTACAGTACATAGTGGGGCACTGACCTCAGTACAATTCGCTTATAAATTTAAAACATACTTTTAAGTAACTTTACTTAAAATATATTTATTAATTATTTGAAATGTACAGCACAAACATGGCGTCACAAAGTTTGAAAATGCTGCTTCATTTCATTCATTCACAATAGTGATTAAATTAAGGTTGAATATTTTGTACTTCCGTTGCAATCACCAAATTATAGTTTAAACAAAAGTCACAATAAAGACTTTAAACAGAACAGGACAAAGAAGTGGACTTTAATACTAATGGCACTGTTTCTTGTGTTTGATTCTTTTCACACATCATACTCTTCAAGAAGAATCAAAGCTTTGTAGCTGGCCATCATCTCTTTCTTCTTTCTTTTGAGGTCAAGTGTGCAGTTTGACTTATGAATGGGCCACGATCATCACCGTCATTAATGTCAACTATCAGAGACTCTGGTCATGTTGCATCTTTTCATTGAAGCTGTCCAAATGTTTTGATTCTTACAACTCACCTAAGCATTGATTTGCAGATTAGTAAATAGCAATTAAATCGGTGCGATTGGCTCCATGAATACATTACTGAGTTTAATGTTTAAATAATTCATTTACCAAAGATGGACGATAGACAGAAATATTGTTATTTAAGAAATATCCTAACATTTAGCTTATTTTTATAATATTATATTATTATATTTGTTTATCTTTGTTTATTAATGATAATGTCTTATTTATCCACGTATGTTTAAATGTTCCCCTGTTCAGTTCATTTTAAAAACTGGATTTCATTATTGTTGTTATATATCATCTGACACAGGCAAACCTTTACCACCTTTTTTTTAAGACAAATAAATTGTCTCCAAATCTTTGTTCAATAGTTATTCATGTATCTATATTGATATATATTCTCAATCTAAAACATTAAACTGACTGAAAAGGTAATTCTGACATGGTAGATCAATTGCACATGTCCATACGTTCAGTTTAACATTTTAGATTGAGAATATATTTCTTATTTATCTATATTGATATATATTCTCAATGTAAAATATTAAACTGAACGTATGAACATGCGCAATCGATCCATCATGTCGGTATTACCTCTTCAGTCAGTTACTAATACTAATAGCTACTAGTACTAAAAATTAAAATGCAACATGGAAAATAGGAAGTTTTTTTTCGGCATTAGAGTTGTGTCAAATATTGACCTTAACCTGCCCCCAGCTGTTATATTGTCTCCTAACGCGCTACACAAAGTGCATTTTCTGATTAACTCCCGTGTTGCTTCCCCATTAATCACAGCGCAGTTGTGCAGCTCCTAATCTCCTTAACTAATATTATTGTCATGGCTTCTTATCAAAGGGATCTCTAATATACAAAACAACAACAATCAGAGTGGTGGGCTTTTACAGTTTTCACACCTCTGCCGCTACAAAGGCCAATTGGTTTCGATACACAACGACCCTGTCACATCTGAGTCTTTGAGCGCTCCCGTGGATCACACACCCCCTTCAACCATCCGCGACTTGACAGATCTCTTCAAAGGCCGTCAGGATGGAGGTGTGTGGGTATATAACCGAGTCCCAGCTTCTCACCGGCAGTCAGTTGGAATCTACCTGTGGAAGAGACAACACCACGCTTTGGAATTATGAAGGGACTAGCAGTGGATTTCTCTTTTGCGCTTATTCTTCTGGTGGATTTGATTCTGGCTCTCGCCGCACAGCCCTTTTTAGGGATGCACCCTGACATACTGCTCCGTGGGACGAGTGGCGGACCCAGACGCACCGTGGAGGGGCAGCAGACGGGCAGGCTGCCCCTCTACATGATGCAGCTCTACCGGACCATGCTGACCGAGGACCGGGCTAAGACCCCGGCCGCCAGCATGAGCCACACCAAGACGGAGGACAACCCCGCTCTGCACGACTCCGACTCTGTTATCAGCCTTGTTGCTAAGAGTGAGTATTCAACAATAGAAACAAAATTATAGCTTTTTTTAATGGAGTTCGGCATTGTGGCGCATTGTGTTGTAGTGCACATGGGTTATATGTTATTCTATTTAAAACAGTCTATGTGGATTTCAGTTACCTTAATATAATCATTTGTCTAATCAAATCTTGCTTGATTAATGTATTTTATCACTATTGCAAAGTCTGTCAGAGCTGCAATAGTCTTTCTGGAAAAGTTAAATGACAAGTGTGTTAGCCAATGAAATGCCTTATCTTATACAAGTCATAAGTAAGACTAACCAATTTTCTTTACTGTTATCTCTTTCAGGCTGCCAGCAGATTGGCAAAAGGTGGTCCGTCACCTTTGACATGTCCTCCATGTCTGCTAGCGACAACATCCAACTGGCTGAACTTCGCATCCGCCTGCCTGCCTTCACAGAGTCCTCCCGAGCCTCAGTGGACATCTACCATTCCCACAGGGACCAGTGCTCAGGCATGCACTGCCCAGAGAACAGGATGTTCCTGGGCCGCCTGAGAGCTCATCCCAGTTCGATGGTCTCCCCCTCCTCCTGGAAAGTGTTCAACATGACCGAGATGCTCCTCCGCTGGCTGCAGCGGGAGCACTCCACGCTCAGGACGGAGGAGGATGAGGTGAAGGAGGAGGAAGAGCAGGAGCAGGAGGGAGTCCAACACCCTGCAGCCGACCGGGTCATGATGGTGGTCTTTTCGAGGCAGAACCCAAACGGCCAGCGAATGCCAACCCTCATCCGCACAGCAGAGCACTCCAAGTACGTCAGCCTGGACAGGGAGCGGGTGACGGACGGCTCTGGTTCCAGGACCAGGAGCCGCAGGTCCAAGAGGCACCACCACACCCAGCAGCAGAGAGTGAGTGGAGCGGCTCCTGCCGGCAAGCCCACAGAGGAGGAGAAGGGTCCTCTCTGCAGGAAGGTGGACATGTGGGTAGACTTTGACAAGCTGGGCTGGAGTGAGTGGATTGTCTATCCAAAACGGTACAACGCCTATCGCTGTGAGGGGAGCTGTCCTACACCAGTAGATGAGACCTTCACACCAACCAACCATGCATACATGCAGGTAAGACTGAATTGAAGACCTTACTTTTATTGTTAAGTATTTTCTGCAATAGGTGTACTGTATTCATAATACCCTATATGAAGAGATGAGTTCTAATCAATCCTTTTTTTTCTTTTTCTCTCCAGAGCCTGCTGAAACTTCACCACCCAGACAAGGTGCCGTGCCTGTCCTGCGTGCCAACCCGCCTGGCACCACTCTCCATGCTCTACTACGAGAACGGGAAGATGGTCATGAGGCATCACGAGAACATGCTGGTGGAGGAGTGCGGCTGCCACTGAGCAAAAGACCCGAAAATCTTTAGTTTTTTTTTTACAGTCTACAGCCACAGAGGCACAAAGTGGATGGATGTCCACAGGCACTTTACAGAGATGTAAAAGAAGGGAACTACTCTATATCCCAGACTCAACTCTCTAAATTATGGATTTAAAAAGTATGTTTTGTATAAGAATAGGTGACCTAAATTGTGCATTGGATTGCAAGGGGATGGGCTATAATTCAAGTTTATAAGGGAATTGATCCAGTTAAGAAGAAATCAAGACAAAAGCACAATATGGTCACTGACTGAAGCACTATAGGAGAAAAAGCAGTTGTACACAAGAGGTCTTATGTACAAACTGTTTCTTTTTTGATGCCACTAAAATGAAATGTAGAATGGTGTAAGCGCTTTTTATTGAGATGTTTGGGTCACATTGACCAATGTGTATGTTTACTATGTACAGTAATACAATAAATTATTTTTTATCTTGAACAAAGTGTCTGATGGTTTTTATTACAGCGCCTAAATTAAATTACCTGGGTGATGGTAATTCATAAGGCATAATAAGCCTTTTCCCCATTTTAAGTTGTTTAAGCATGAAAAGCACAGGTGTAATTGTTAAAATCCATAAGGACTGCATTCTATTTAGGTGTGTAAGTTCAGGGTGCTGGTGTTGTGCCAGAGCTCTAATACGCTCCAGTTCCCTGGGTGTATTATCATCTTTCAGCTCGTTGTTTCGGTTTTATGAGCCCCGACTTTACTGTCATATATTCACTCAGTTTGGTTTCTAGCAAAAAAGCTAAAAAAAAAAACCCCACTACCCGTCCACCACCAAACAGCAGAGCTAAAAAGTTAGCTAGCTGTCGAACACAAGTGAACATAGTTTGAATTTAGCGTCTAAAGCTACCCAGTTATTTTTCTCAGGACTTTGCGAAAACCAAAGCAGAGCAAAAAAAAAAACTGAGTATTGGATTTACATTCATCAGGTAAACAAAAACACGACTCCAAATGACAGCAGATTTTGCTCCGTATCTGCTGGATGTGTAAATAACTGCAACTGTCCGCTGTCATATTCACTATATCAATTTAAAAGAAGTTAACGTGTCAGTGTTGTTTTGTTTGTTTCTGCTGCCCCCAAGTGGCAAATTATGGTATCACTGCAAATTTCCCATAATACTCAACTATATCTGGCTGTTCTAACAGTTTCTTTTCATAACACAGCTAAATAAATTAAGTAGTTTATTTGTACAATATTAAATATAATAAGTCATTGAATGAGTCACATCATGTAAAATATTAATGGTGTATTTTTCACAAGACTTTGATTTACATGTCAAATATGTGGCAGGTCATACAAAGTCCAGCGTACGCAAAAGTAAAGAAACAATTTTATGCATCAGTTTTATAAGAGTACAACATTTTAACACATATTAAGCATTATAAAAAAATGCCATCTGTTTTTCAGAACGAATCTGAAAGTGGATTACACAGTTTAGTAAGACTAGGCTTCTCATTCCCATTTACACATTTTAATCCCAGTAAACAAAAAAAGCAATGACAATGTTGGGAATCATTTTCGTAGCTGAGTCTCTTCAGATGTCCATTTCAAACTGGGCATCTTCTAGAAAAAGAAAGAAGACATTGCAGTTGAGTAGGAGGAAACAGACAATTACAGAAACACATTGATGCTCATCGCTCTCATTCACATTTTAAATCTACAGACACGTTTACCTGCGCTCTCCTGTTTATGCAGGATGTGGTCGGTGTTATTAATGGGTGTCTGTTCAGGCTGGTTTGTGTTGCTGGATGAGTCAGGTTTGAGTGGCAGGGTGACTCCTGGGATGTCGGGCATTTTGGGAGGCGTACGGGTCAGAGGAGACGTCCGGCACTGCAAGAGGAACTTCCTGTCATAGATGATTCTGGTACCTGCAGGCGACAGCAGCAAAAGACACAATAAAGTCAGCTACTGTCAGTATTTTGTTATTCTTAACAGTAGTATATGTATATATATATACATATACACACATATATATTATTAACCACCTCCACAGTGTATTCTGGAGTTCTACTTCTTCTCTGTTAGATGACTGTAACAGTGTGCTTTTACTATATATATGTCCTTACAGGCCCATGACCAATTTATTTGACCTTCCATATCAGTGACACGGACACGCCTTCAATGACCCAATTCGGTTTTATCTTTTATCAGTTATAATGGACATGTGGACTCTGTGTCAGCTTTCTCACAACCACAGAGGGAAAACATTCTCTGCTTTACTTTTATCACCACATTGGAGATTTTCCAAGGTCTCAAACTTATAAATGTTTGAGTAAAATAATGAATCAACGGGCCAAACCACCGAAGTGTGCTGATGAGAGTGAGTTGTTGTCGGCCGTTCTGTGTGCTGAATGCTGCTATCATCTGTTCTGTTTCCATGTTGACTGAATTAAAGTAGTTAAAAAAGTAAAACTTTTAAATTCCCATTAATAATTCATATCAAAAGTTATATTAATCCAGATTTTATGTAATTTTCTTTTTTTGCATAAAGCTAAAATAGTGTTTTTTCCTTTCCTTTTAAATATAACCAGTGTAACCTAGTGGGGCCCAGATCTAGTAAACATGTTGCTGCAGCTCAACAACTGCCTGCTGTAATAACAAGACTATAAATAGGTTATGAGTGACTAGGGGCCTATATTTGACCGTATGGTTGTTGATTGTGTAAGTAATCTACACTACAGGCTACTGACACTGAACACAGAAGCATGCCATTCATAATTGAATGAATATATATTCATGTAAGACTTTCTGAAACAAGTACAGTGTGTCTGGTTCTGTAATCAACAGATTCATCATCTGCAGGAGCCACGTGGAATTATATAGAAATTAAAAATGATAATCATGTCTATATATTGACTTTCTCCTCTGGCATAAATAAAGAAATACATTTGCACAAAGCCACTGTGGAAAAGATAAAACTAATGCATGAAAAACAGTGTAGCACCAGTGTAGCACTACAAGGATTCCACTGGTCTATTACTCAGGCAAAAGAAAACAAAAAGGCCAAAAAGACTGTGCACTTTGCAGACTGCAGAGGACTGCTCTAATAAGTTTCCTATAACTCTATCAACTGGTGGTCTTTAGCCTTCACCCACAGTCAAACATTAACAGGACAAAATAACAGGACAAGACCTATAGCCTGGCTCTCCACTGTTTTTTTCCTTTACCAGGAACTGTTTTCATACCAAAATAAATAAATAAATAAAATAAATAGGTATAATTAAACTAAAAGATGTCCCAGTACTGTCAAAAAACAAACAAAATAAAAGGTGTAATCTTTAAATTTACAACCCATCCAGTTCAATGTTTAACATAATGGAACAGTGTGATGGGGTGGAATATAAGTGAAATATTAGGATACTCTCTAGGTCATAATAACTATCTCCACCACACTGCCTCTCTCCATATCCGCATGGTATTCTTCTTTAATCCCTTGCAGGTGGCCCATCTTCTAATCTCCCTTTAACTTTAATTTATTATTGACCGTTTGTCTTCTAATCCCTGATCTGACCCAGTACCTCCTGGCGTGGTGCTGAACAGAGTCCCTCCGGGAGTGGTGGAGTAGTCCTGGGGCATGTGAGCAGAATCGTGGATGGTGACCCGTCTGACGGCCGGGATATCCCGGCCCCCGGTGGTCTGACCTGCCGCTGACATCTCGCACTGCACCGGGTCGACTACCGAGAACACCACAACGGGGGAAAGTTGCTGAAGTGTTCGGGGACAGTGTGGAGGACGATGTGAAGCGAGTCTGACCACAGGAAAGTTACCTCGTGCCTCCCCTCCACGTGGTGTGAGCACATCCAAAACAACTCACCGACTTCCTACAAAACAACACGTAGAGCGGAGAGCTGTGATTGGCTGAAAGCAGGGGGCGTCACAACGTATGGATGTTGTAGTTTTTCCTGTTCCTGAGGCAGCTCTCAAAAACCGCAGTACTTCAATCGTCTGCGTTCAGCTTTAAACTGTGATAGTAACAATACATGGACTTGTATACTATGTATATGTACTATATGAGATTTTTCACGTGATACCACAAAGGAAATGTGTAGTCATGGCAAACCTATCAACCTTTGTAGGCAGTACAAGTAAATAGTTCATACAAATCAGCAAAATTAGGAAGCACCAAATAAAAGTTTAATTTACAAGCCTCCACATGACTCGACATGTGGAATAAATGTACACTTATATTAAGTTTCCTGGAAAATACCACTTATTGTACTAATTTCAAGGAGAATACAGTGCTCAGGTGGTACACTTCCCATGAATGTTAGTGTAAACTGGAGAGTTTAATCAGCACAGAGCAGGTCAGCTCAACATCCCTTAGGAGCTCACCGGGTAGAGCTCGGGCCCATGTATTAAGGTCCTTACCACAACAGACCAGGCTCAATTCCAGCCTGTGGCCCCTTGCTGTCCTGTCTACTTTCTTCTGTCTCTATCCCTTAAAGGCATTAAAAGCAAGAATATATATATATATATATTATATATATACAAAAGAAGAAAAAAAACATTTACATGGTAAGTATACTGTCAACATATATGGAAAATAAAGTTTCCAATTATAAGGAATGAATATTTACTTGGGTTGGAATAGAGCAGTTCCTTGAAGGAATTCAACAACAGCTTATAAACATATAAATGATGCTGTTATTTCCCGGATCATATTAGGTTATTTTAGAGATATCATGTGAAGGACATACACCACTTCAAACTAACACTGAATACAACCGTCCATGTACGATTATTACGGCAGAAACATGCAAAAAGGCTGCATTCATTTATCACTTTATACAAAAGCTCGACACAACATTTATGTCACATCTTTGTTTATTAACTCTTGTAAATGGTTTGAGCTGGTGTACAGGGTAAGATGATCTATACATATCTTCATGTCAGAATGATTCTGATTGAAAGGCTTGTATACATATTCACGTTTGTTTATCCTCTCTCAAGGACAATACAAAAGAAAAGAAAACAAGTGGTCATAGCTACAAAGCCTCTACATTCCCCATGATGTGGGCGTTGGCCTAGTCTAGATAATGCTTAAAGAACATCCATAACAACTCTATGAGGGTGCATAGCATTCTAATTAAATATATTTTGTCATATATTTATACATATATTTTCATAAAAACATCTTTTTTTGTGCATGTGCGCAGTTGCATTCCTTAGGATAGAGTAATATGATATTGCGTTTACATTGTCATGTATCCATTCTAAAGGAGTATAGGTGATCTCTATTCTTTGCAACAGTTAAAATTTTACAATACTCTTTTTTTTTTAAATACATCGTCGTTGGTTACACGTCCTCTCAAGTCACAAGCCCAATAAAAACGTTTTCTCTTCCCCCGATCCAACAAGCACTATCTCTCTCTCTCTCTACACACACACACACACACACACACACACACACACACACACACACACACACAACAAACACATGGTGGAGTTGAATTCATCATAGTGCAGAGGCTCACTGACAAATTCCAGTTAAATAAATACTTTCACTAAGTGACTAAATGTACATTTCCTCTGGATTTAAAACGGATCACGTGGTCTGGTCTTTGAACTGTAAGCTAAACAAAGGGATAATAACTCAAAGTAAATGTTATAATCCTTAAGATTTTAGTTTTGGTTGATGTGGTGACACCTGTTCCTGGTGCTAAACACACTCTAAGAGGCTCCCAGGGGCCATAGTCAGGGTTTTATAAATACAGAGGTCACTATCTTCCCCAATGAAACCCTACCATATAATACATTTTTGATTATCCAGCAAAGAAATGATTTTTCTCACATTTAATTAAAAAGCTTTCTCTACACACACACTTAATGGTAGCAACTGCCTTGGTGGCTGCTTTGTCAGAAATGACAAAGAGCAACTCGTGTGGCTATTTACAGTGCAACCAAATGAACCGTATGCTGAGATTAATAAAAAAGATTAACTGCGAAGACCACAGAAAGCAGTCATCAGTGTCGGTGCTTGCCAACACTGATTGAACGTTGTCTTGCAAATTACTCGAGATATGTCCATGCACTGGTTTTTGTCTTCTGCATCATGTCCAGCAGATGGAAGCATCGTCTCCTGTGAATACTTTTTGCATGGCTATGTAATTTTAATACCATGCGGGAAAAACGGACTCCACCGCTAACAATGAAAACTAAAACTGTATATACAGCAGAGGGGCAATTCCCCTTGCAAATACACTGAATGTCGCTGAGAAAATACCATAAAAAATGTCAAAAATAGGGTTTGATGTGTTGAAATCTTAAGGATTATGACTTTAACACATGATGAAGTCATATATTTTCTTTACAAGGCCTAAATCCAACTTCTTTCTTGTGCTGATACAGTACAAGATGGCATATAGAGACTAATAGAATCTGAAAGAGCGAGTCACTTTAGAGACTGAGGGAGTCACAGGCATCCATCATTCAAAAGCTGTCAGCTGCATCAGTCATGCCAGTCAAGAGTTTAGACACTGTAAATATAAAGAGAGGGTGTCTTTGTCCTCTGGTAGTTGAATTCAAGGCTCAGCATTAAAGCCTTGACTTTATAAGAACAGGTTAAAAAATGGAACGCAAATAAAACACTGTAAGGACTATGTTTGGTCTAGCAGCCCGCAGGAAACTGCAAACAATTCACGTTTTACATGAATTTAATTGTCTTGATTAACTTGGTGTACTTATTTGTAAAGGGAGTAACACTTCACCCAAACCTGTCTGGCTAAGTTTTGTTAACAACTGCTGAAAATGAATTGGGATAAACACAACCAACAGAGACGTCAGCTGTCACTTTGCCTCCCCAGGAGCTGAGCAGCAGAGGGAAGCAAAGAGCTGAGTGGTTACTGACCACATACTCAATACTCTGTGTCCTTTTTGGTCTTATCTGAATCAAAGAGCTCCCCACCACACACACACACACACACACACACACACACACACACACACACACACACACACACACACACACATACACACACACACACTTACCATCCTGCTTCATACGTCCCACCAAAACCCCCCCTCCTGCGCATCCCCAATCCCTCCCTAAATGGCCCCAACACCAAAGTCTCCTTCTGAAGCACTCACTTTGTGTCCCGCACTCGTCTTTTGAGAGGAGGACTCAGAACTTAAAAACGAAAACATTTTTTTTGATTCTGACAGAGCAGAACTGAAAACCTGAGTGGAGTAACAGTGGAAAACATGTGATATGTAATTAAAAATGTGTGCTATATCGGATGAGGCTCTCATGTGCGCGGACTGGGCATGGAAAATATGTGCATTTGTGTGATGTGTAACTAATGTGTTCATTCATTCAGTGTCTCACCCATTCAGGCTACAGTAGCATTTACAGTACTTAAATATTATGTTTTGATTCCCAGGAAATGTGTGCTACTATGATATATGACCCTTTCATAGTGCTGCCGTCAGGTTTCTGCATAAAGTAAGTGTTTCAGAGATGAAGGGAACAAAAGGTGGTTTACAGTGATGTGTTTTGTTTTTTTTTTAAATTGGGAAACACTTACAACTACAACTTAAATTACTCAGAAAAAGACCAGAAAAAGAAAGTGGAGTTCGGTGGTTTCTACCTTACGGCAGCAGCAAACTCCTCAATAGGTATCAGTGTATTAAGTTTACATATCCTGGTTTATATTTTGCTACGTTAAGTGCTGAAAACAAATAATCCCTCTCAGGCCTCCGCAGCCCCGCACTGCTACAGCTGAGTCATCTGATCTTGCATCAGTGCATCCTCTCTGACTCATTTCCCATCAAAGTCGACGGAACCGGTCAGAAACGGCACAGCTTCCCAACGTCAAACACGACTGCTGTTCGTCCACATGGAGTTTCTGTCTTCACTGAGGAGTTCAGTCAGTCACACCTTTCAGTTTCAGATCCTTCATGTAGATATACAGAACCCTGGCTCCCATCTTCTGTGCTCTTGTTGTGTTATTGCTGTAGCAAACTCCCAAAAAACTATCCAACACTCTGACCAGGCAATATTTAATGATGTAATGTGTTTCTGAATATGTGTGTGAGTATGTATGTGTGTGTGGGTGTGCTTTTGTTTGTATATATGAATGTTTGTGTGTCTTCACAGTTCACGAGTCTGGGGTCAGTGTTAATAAGACAATCACAGTGCTACCTGTCTGTCCTTGCTGCACAGTTCCTATCACGTGTTATAGGAGCATCACGCTATTTTACGCTTGCTAGAAATCCTCCAAATCATTACATCCTTACAAGAATCAGATCCTCCATGATTTCTCTCCTTCATTCACTGTTTCAAATGAATGAACCAAAATTCAACAGCGAGGCCCTACAGCCTTTGCAAATAGGTAAAGAGGGAGCACACGCAAAGATGGAGGAGCTATAGATGCTGATGGAGAGGCCTGTGATTTTACTGCATATTGACTGAGGCTACTGATAAAGGTTGAGAATCAAGATGACCTGCGCTACTGGGAGAAATGACAGAAGAAGGTAGAAAAGGTAACGAGAGAGGAAAACGGCGATCTTTGTGTTGTAGAGCTGCTGCACAATGCAATAAAGCAACCAACCCCTTTCCAAAGAAAACATTCACCGTTGTCTGGAAAACACGTTTCACCTGAAAACACGAGGGGTGAAAGAGCCTCAGCTCCCTACCGAAGTTAGACAATGCTTAAAAACCAAGGTGGACAGGTTTCAAAAGGAACGGAGAACAACAAGAGCTTCATCCACAAAGGAAAAGACGCCAGCACACGCAGACGGGAACACTCACGAGCAAGGGGAGCACAGCGGCTTTCTCATTCCAGCACTGAGTGCGCCATGACATCACAGGGGCAGCGAGCCAATCATGAGGCGGGGCTCAGCACCAAGCCAGAAGCAAGAAAACACATGCGGTAGAGAAGAATACACGCACACATACGCACACATACACACACTGACACATGTCCACTTAGCATAGAGTGCATATATCACATTGAGAATAATAGGGGAAAGGGTCTAGTGAAAGAAGCATTGGTAGGCTCAGCAGAGGCTTAGCTGTATACAGATCCATCCTTTGAGGGACTTTTTTTTTTTTTTGGCTGTAGTGTTATTGGACTCAACTTGCTTGTCACTCGAGTTGGGGGGGGGGGTAAGGTCCTTAAAATGGCCTGCGGCCCAAGCGTGGGCCAGCCCCGGACCTTGTACCCCTTCAGTTTGTAGATAATGACAGTTCAAAAGGTCAAAGGGCATGCACCAGCAGTCATCATGCGATTACAGTTCACAGGAAGCACTTTTTGTTGCTTTTTTTTTTCTTGGTTGTTTTACTGACATTTATGTAAAAAAAAAGGGAAAAAAAAGAATCATCATGCCTTAGTCTAGTTGATATTTTTCTTTACAAATGTTATAAAACTACAAGTTGAACTCCTCTTTTTTTCCTCCTCTGTCTCTTTTTTCTTTTGTGGTGCTCCATGGTCACACGTTGAGGATGATTCTGTGTTTGTCATTTTGTAGTTTGTACTTCTTAGTCTTTGTCTTACTCTTACTCTCCTCCCTTGCTCATTTTCCTCTGCGGTCTGGTTGTGTTTTTGTGGAGGATGATTTGGCAGTGGCTTTCCGGTCCTGGAAAACAGAGGGACACACAAAACACAAACTAAATTACATTGGCCTTCCAAAACAAAAACAAAAAAATGATCAAAGTGTACTGAATGCCAAATCTAGGGGTTCTAATTTTGAACATAAATGGAACAGAACAGCATGTGAGAGACTATTGAGGTCTAACAGAGTCCAATATGTTGCCATACAGGCTGCTATCCAAGCACTGGGATGCACAAGTGCTTAGATGTGTGTCCCGTACCTGGAGGACTGGGCAGTATGTGTATTTCAGTGTTTAACTCTCCGCAGACTGGTGCGCTGCACTGACTGAGCTCCCTTTCTCACATCCACCCCCACCTGGAGCAAGGAGGGAGGGAGGAGGGGAGGAAACAACACTCGGACCAGTTAGCTGCTGAAGACTCTACATATAACCAGAGCAGGAAACTAACTTGTCTGTCCACCGGCCAGCTGACTGTGGCTCGCTTCAATATCCCAAAATTCACCAGCTGTCACTACTTTACATTTAGAAATTCATCAGCCAATCAGTTTGGAAGAGATCATTTCCGAAACACGTCAATGCCCGAAGCACAGTTTAATATGAAATCAGTTTACAAATGTACTTTTTCCCCAAGGATGACAATGATGATAAAAGGTGGTAATGTGTCACTTTGCTACTAACTCTCATTTTGTACAACTAGTTATTGCAGTTTGTTAATATATAGATCTTTCATTTCTTCACTTTTTGAATCACAGTTGGTTTGTTGTTAAATGTGCTGATAGGGACAAAATCCTTCTAACCAACATTTGGCTGGTGGCTACTGTTAATTTCCCACCCATTGTGCCAGGCCATGTGACTGATTCACAGGAAAATGCTGTGTGCTCGGGTTTCACAGTGTTTGCTTGTGAATATGACTCACGGTTGATGATGAAAACGCGACTGACTCACCTTTCGAGCAAGCACGTTTGCGTGTTCAGAAACATACTGCGCCTCAGCAGCATAGTCCTCTTTCTCCTCTCTCTGTATAAAAATAACATAATTTACATATAATTAGCAGTTCATAGCAGTCATACTCTCACAACAACAACAAATAGTTTGCAATCAGGAATGTAAAACAAAAACAAAACGTATCGGACATGGCAGATATTTCCCATGTGTTGCACCACACAACACATCACTCAGGTCAGGTTCTGTGACTTCATCAAAATAATCCATTTTGATGATTGTTGAGTTGTTAAGTGAGACAAAAAAATTTGAATGGCCGTGGGCAAAAAACAAAACAAATTAAATGATCGTCTTTCCATCTGATAATTCCCCAAAAATAAAGGGATGGACAAAGATGTTTCCCCCTCCAGGCGCAGGATGCGGCGGGCGGTCGGCGTTGCAACCTGACCTGTCCCCGCATCGGCTCCTGCTCCCAAGCACGTTGGCTCGCCTCCTGGTGAGAGAAGCCCAGCCCCCTGTCAAAGGGCTGCGTGCCCTGCAGGAAGCGCCCACGCAGCACATGAGAGTAACCCGTGTCACACACCGGTGTCAGCAGAGCCTCCTGGGCCACGCGCAAGCCTGGCACGTCACGTCCTGATGACACCGAGCCCACCCAGCCCTGCAGGGAGTCCTTGTCTGGTAAGTAGGGTTGAAATGCTCCGCCTCCCACCACTCTGTAGAGCAAAATGTGAATAAAGCAAAGGCAGAAAGGAAGAAATAAAAGAAAAACAAAGTGATGTAGGGGATATGCTACCATCTTGAGTACAGAGAGTGGAAAACAACGTAGTCAGTTTGACTTGAGTTGGAGGCGACGTACCGGTTATCTCCATTGTGCTCCGAAGCCCGACTCAGTCCCGACATCTCACACCGCTGGGCATACACCTGCTGGCCTGCAACAACAGAAATCCCTTCCACTGAACCCAGCCCTACACCTCCACCTCCCCCTTTTGCCCCTCCTCCTGCTGCGAGGGCCTCCCCTCTCCTCCCATCCGACCTCTGACCTCCCATCTGGCCGTTTAGGTTGACCTTGGGGACGGCACCACTGGCCCTCACCCTGTCCCTGTCTGCCAGTGCAGCTGCTGGCTCCTGTGGTGCCTCCTCCTCCTCAACCTCCCCTTCCTCCTCCTCCTCCTCTTCCTCTTCCTCCAGCTCCATGATGGAGCCGCTGGCCCCGCTGGCCCCACTGCTTGGGCGACCCAAGCTGCAGGGAAGGGAGAGCGTGGCGCCCTCTGAGTCGTCAGCCCGACTGCTGCCATCGAGTGACGAGTCCTCCACTGTAACCAGCGAGGGACTGACCCCTGCTGGCCACACCTGAACGTCCGACATCTCCATTAATGTATCTTCCTCGGTGGTGGCGATGGGGGCGCACTCGAGGCTGGAAACTTCCTGCCAGTAGGGCTCCGCACCAAGCGGAGAGGGCAAGCTGTACTGCATTGAGGCCGGGGACAGCAGCTCCTCCTGCACCAGCCCATAACCTGGAGGGAAGACAGGGGCGAGACAAGAGAAAGACTAACACCACGCAGGCACAGCCAGTGGGAGGATGGGGAGGTGGTGAATCGACTGTTTCTCCAACCTATGAGGAAACAGTGGGGCTCAGCCCTGTCCCAATATACCAGGAAAGGGACTAGAGTCCATCATTGTAGAGCCACAGATTTAGGATGATCATATCCTTCAATCTCTTTCATTAGAGGTGAAAAGGAAGATATATTGATCCTGAATCCTGAACATACTGTAATAAATCCCAGCCAGTATGTTTTATACTACTTTCAGTACTCATTCTCAAATCAGCTTCCTTTATCTTTCTAATGTTGTCTAATTGATGTATGAATATTTGGAATGATGTACTTCTGGTTTTGGGTTTGATCCAAGGCGCTTTAGGTTTTTCTCATTGGGACACGGCAATAAACGTGAAGTGGGGGTCAAAGGGATTTGGTGTTTCATCCATTATCTGTGAGGTGAATGGTGCAGGGTTCTAGTTTGCTACCATGTAAGAAAGTGAATCTGCAGAACATACACTGTGTTCCTTGATAAGTGGAAAAAAGGTGAGTCTAGAGTTATACAGTATGCTGATTATGGGGTTGGCACGATATATACAGTATTTGTAACATTAGTAACATCTGAGAAAAGCATTCCAATTGGATTTTAGTATCCTGATTGCAACTCAAAGTCATTAAGAGGCAAAAATGTCCATAAAATATGTTGTATCTACAGCCAATAATGAAATTATAATATTTTAAGAAAGTACTGTACATTTGAAAGCTGGCAATCTCAGATAAGTGTTATTGTGTAATTTCTTTTTAAATTTGTTCTTTAGATGTGGGTTGACCAACTTGTGTGGAGGCTACTTTTCCACAAGTGTTCTAGTGTTTTTTTCTGCAATATCCCAGCAGCTGTGACACAAAAACAAAAGCTTTAATAACATTTTTTTTATTATCGTTCCAACCCTCGTTACACGTTCCTGAGTGGGAGTCAGCAGCATCTTGCAGATTCTGCAGAGGAAATTGCAAGTTACTGTTGCTCTTGCATTCTCCTGTAGTTACACATCAGAGTCATGCATTTGCCTGCACCCCAAGTATCCAAATAAAGGTCATTCTAGAGACACACACTCACACATACATAAACACATATTAATGCAAACACACATTAGACAAACCTTTTATGTTAAAGACTTTATCTGTAATTGACTGAGCCTGCCGATTTACAGTACTGATCTATATTTTACTCTAAACTGATACTGATGGTAATCTTTTGAATGTATAATTAATTGCTTGGTTAAAGTTGCATGTGTTATTTTGCTATGTCTCTTAATATTCCGGCAGACTTAATTGTTGTACTGATTGTAAATTAATTAATTACATTGTGGGTACATCAAACATCACTGAAGACTTTTTTCATTCATCATTAAATCATTAAATCCAGAATGACACTTATAAGTGTAATGTAATAACGTTTTACACACTGGTGGGTACTGAAACAATACCTTTTTATTCTACTTTGGTTCTACTACCAAGACGTCATTCACTGCAACAACACTAGCAAAATACACAAGGACACACACAAACACACCGTCAAATACACAAACACACATTATATTCAGTAATATTTTATTATTCTTTATAATATACTAATGTCAGGGCTAAACAAATATGTGGTATATTTATAACGGGACTTTGATTTATAGTACATACAGTATAATGAAAGTTTGTTATCTTTGAGTTTTGTCATTTAGGCTTTTTGATATGTTTTCTACTTTTTTTCACTTCTAATTATTTGACTGATTTAACTTATTTTAATTCATTATCTATTGAAGCATATTCAGTATTTAAACTAATACACTTTGGAGATATGAGTTATGTGAACAAAGCTTAAAATCTAAGTGTTATATCTCTGTTGAAATTAGAAGAGAATAGTGCTCTCACATTTTGGTACAGGTGACAGGTTTGGGGACTGTAAGGTACATGTTTTGATGAAATTGTTGCATCAGTGAATTTGGATGAATGAAATAAACTGAAAATTTAAACAGTAAAAGAGTACTTCACCCAAAATCAAAGCTGACACTGTTCTGCTTCAGAGCCCAACTCCACCAAGGTCCAGGTGTGCTGTCACCTTGTAATAGAGGCTTTTTAATAGCTGAGATGGGGCTTTCAAATAAGAACAAGGTATCGTGTGAGTAGTGTGTTTTTACAAATTGACTTTGTTACAATATTGCCTATAATATTGAAAAAAATAATCCCTTTGCAATAATATATATATTTAGTATTTCCTCTCCTGATCCTAAACAGGCAAAGAGAGAGACAAGAGGCACATTGGATTTGTTTCTTAGGAAGGAATTACACCTCATCTATATATATGTATCTGATGAATTGCCTGCCTTTTCCTATGTTGTGAATGAATATGATTACGCTTAAGAATATATCAGAACATTTACTGTAGGTCACTGCAACAAAGGTTGTAATGTGGAAACAAAAAGTAAGAGGCATAGCTACCAAGATACTGTACATCATTAACCTCATAGATAAGCTTAAAAAACTAAAGGCTCAGAGAGGCCATTTCTTCATCTTTTCTTTCTTGCTCAAATTCTTAGCATGGCTGATATGTTTGCAGAAACATTTAATTTTATGGCTCAAGTCTAATTCTAAGTCTCAGATCTTAAATGCTTACAGGTCAAGTTAATCTATGCAAAAATTAATTTGACCAATTTTACAATAAATAAAATTAAGTCAAATTGATTCAAACATAAATAGTAACTAAAAACTATTGATCCATAACAACTCTGACCTTAAAAAAAGTTATGTATTAATGGGTGAAATACCTCTTTACTGTGTATATAATAGTCTCTCAGAGTTTTTGGAGTAAATGTAACTGAGCCTGTGTGTGTGTGTGTTTCTGGGATGGTACAGGGCCAGGATGATGAGCAGTGGCGTCAGAATGAGGTGAACAGGGAGGAATGAGTCAGAATTAGAATGAGAGTTAGAATGAGTTAGATGAATCTGGGTTAGCCTTTCCCTTCACTCCTGCTATTTAAACACAAACACACACACGAGGTGTCAAAGGCACAGGATGTAAGTGAAGCACAAATAAACTCCACAGAGAACAAAAGACAGAAAGAAACACAGCACGCTACTCACTTTACCACTGAACACACACACACACACACACACACACACACACACACACACACACACACACACACACACACACACACACACACACACACACACACACACACACACACACACACAAACACAAACACACACACACACACACAGACAACACTGCACTCATGTTGAAATACAGATGAGGACACACACTTTTGGCTCACAGGTACAGAAATATAACACACACACCCAAACCGATACACAAACACACCTCACAGCAATATCCCTGCTGGCAGATAACGTTAAGACAGTGTTAACAGTGACTCTGCCATCAGACTTGGGCAAAACGTTTTTGAAAATCGAATAAGATTTGGGATGTGGATTTATTTTAACGTCATCATTTCATTAAAAGACTTTCTTTTACTTTTACGAGTTCATTAAAAAAAAATCCTAATATTCTTTATTAAAATACAGAAAAAAGGTGTAAAAACTAGATAGATTAACACGGCGGTATTTTGCCCATGAATGACAGACATCAAGTCACAGCAACACTGTACGTTAAACATTATGTGCTACACAGCTGACCATGTGTTACAGCACAGCATTAAACAACACGCCATTTATTTTACAGTAAAAGAAAAAAAAACAAAAAACATTTGTTTGTTAATATAGCATTAAAAACAAGACTGAAATCATCCATTGAACAGAGAAAACATTTTACACTGTGAAGAAAACTTCATACATTGAAAGCATGCCATGCACATAAAGATGTCAGAATCAAAAACAGCAAATTTATTATGTTCAGGAAACTGCTCACTCACAAGTCTCAGTCACTGTACAGACAACAATCTTCCTGACTTGACCTGGGTAAAATAGAAGATATTTTGTCATATCTAAAGTATTAAAATGAGCCTAGTTTATCTTGCAAGGCACTTCAAACACTTCTAGTGTAAAAACAAAACATTCACACACATAAATTCCTTGCAAGCAGAAGTAAATAAAGTGATTTTCTTTCTTTGAATACTAACAAATTCAGCTAATATTACCTAAAGCCCAGGTCTGAAACACACTTATGCTCCCACACACACATACAAACACACACACACACACACAAACAGATACTGTAACAGCAAAGCATGCGGCATGCACATGCACAAACTGTAGTACACACACAGAGCTGGATTGAGAGAGGAGGAGGAGGAGGAGGAGGAGAGGGTCCCCGCTCGACTGAACGAGGGAGGAGCGCAGGAAAATAAGATGACAAGAGAGGAGGAGGAGGCCCAGAGGTCAACATGAGGTCATATGAGGTCAGAGGTCGGACAGGAAGAGCTGTGAGGAAGAAGAGCAGGAGAGGGGAGGAGGAGGAGGAAGAGGAGGAGGAGCAGGGCGGCTGCGCAGCAGATATGACATGACATAGGTTTATAGAGACAGACAGAAAGTAGGAAAGAGAGAGATATTGTCCTGAGCCAAAGACAAAAGTTCAAGACCGCAAGGACATTGTTACAATGTCTGCTGTCAATCAAACTTAGTGATAGGAGAGATTCTGTCTTTTTCTCAGGGAAAGAAAGAGAAAGACAGACAGACAGAAAGAAAGAAGGAGAGATAGAAACAAGGTATGAAGGCCCAGAACACACTATCATTTGTGTGCTAGCGCCACTTTTGACTAGTGTAGCCATCCCAGACATACACACACGTTTGCACACACACATACTGTATGTATGTATGCACACACTCACACAGACACACATGTATTCTAAACAATCTCAAAAATCCTTAACTTAGAATCAGGAATTAAAATGTTAATAAGTGTCAGCCTGTTTGGCCTTAAAAAAAAACTTCTTAAAATCCGGGGGGGTAACAGCAAGAGGGAGTTATCCTCGTTTCTCATATTAAGTAAGAAGAATAAGAACCATCATGTTCCGGGCTCAAGTATGAGGTGTGAAAAATTGTAACTGAAAAAGAAAATGACTTGTGCCCCGGTGAGGAATGCACACAGGCGGTGTTAGTGCATGCTGCAAAAGGCCGGGGTTCATGGTGGGAAAATGACACCATTCCTCAGACCTCAAAAACATCATCTGAGATTCATTATCATCATCATCATCATCATCATCATGTCATGAGCAGCAAACCACCATGCAGCCCGAGTTCAACTTCAACTTACCCCTTCTGAAAAACGGGGGTCTAATAACTCGTGGCTTGTGCACTAGGCGTGGTGGCCTTGTGTCCGTGGCCTCTTGTGGAGCAACAGAGACAAGGTAAGTTGGCCGTTACCCAGACTCAAAGGGCAACAGGAAGCTTTTCAGAGGTGGAAAGTAAATGAGAACAACAGCTCACCTTATTGTGCTGAAATATTTGTCTCAGATTATTTATTAGTGCTGGCTATACCAGCTGTTGTGACCAATACATCAGGTTACGGAAAAAAGAAGCACTTCAATTATGGAGTAATAATTGCAAAAAAAGCGTATAATCATTATTTCTAATCAATATACAGAAGTTATTTGTTTTTTCAGTGAATATTCTGTATCTTATAGAAGAATTGTATCCACTGAATTCATATTCCTTATGAATATATGTCTCTGCAAAATGGTATATAGTAACTGAGCCCCTGATTAACTTTCCTTCCAAATTCAGCTTGAGCAGGAAATTCCTGTAAACTTTCCATTTCTGATCATTACAGATCATTATGGGACAATCAAACAACCTTTACAATCGGCCTCGCCATGAATATGAAGTATTCATCTTATATTCACCCTCAAAACTTTATTAACAATCAAAACTTCTGACATTTTTATAGGATATCTTGAATGGAAGAGTCTCAAATCAACAAATGGATCCACAACTTGCTATAGAAAAAAAGTGAAATGATCTAACCTTGATGATATGTTGCTTTAAGGTAACTACGGTAAGGTTAAATCACTTCCATGCATTCTAGATGTAGTGGAGTAATTCGCTGTTCGTTGATAAAAGATACTGATTTGAATGTCGGATGTCTTGTGTGGTGTTGGATGTGTTTGTGTATGCTTACCATTGAGGACACTGGGGGACAGCAGGGAGGAGTCGCGGTCGCTAAGACGACAGGCGCCCTCCTCTAAAGACCCAGGTGCCAGCTGTGGAGCCTGACCCTCCAGAGAGGTCACAATGTCTGCACGATCAATGTTTTTCAGAGCGGTGTACAGGCTCTCCACTGGGAGGGAAACACATGGGAGGTAGGAGACGGAAGAAAGGACGGGGAAGTCAAGAAAGACAAGAAGTTAGAGAGTATTCTACAACCAGAGTCAAAAAGTAGGGTTTACCTGACAATTAGATAGCCAAAAAAGAGATGGATAATTTTATTATGTGATGCCAGATTCGCCTGTGATCCAAATGATATGACCTTGTCTTGACTTACTCTTGGCTCTTCTGCCTTCTCTGCTGGCCCACAGGCTGAGCAGAGCAGAGCTTTGGTCCAGCAGAGAGTTGGGATTCTCCACACGGATCCTATTGATGTCGTCCACGCCGAACTGAAGCTCACGTGCCAGCTCTGACAAGTAGACAAGTCGAGTAGATAAACAGGGTAATAGACACAGAAACACACAGATGCAGTGGATGGATGGCTATTCTGATCGTTTAAATGACTAACCTGCCCAGCTCAAACCCAGCTGTTCAGATATGATGTTGATCTTGATCTCAGTCCTCTCCATGGCATTCACTGTGGCTAAAGAGAAAAGAAAAATGCCAGTGTCACCAGGACAAATAAGGGTACATTTACAGGAAATTATAATGTGACTCTGGCTCTAATGATAAAAAATATAGATTATGTATAAGTCACAAACTATATCAGGGGTTAATGCTGGGACTTAGTGGACAGATAACCTCAACTTGAACTATCCAAATGTGTTTTATAGTGAAATCCTGAGACATTGGGAAATTAATTTTGGTTTAAATACGCTTTCTGTGTCTTAAAAGACTTGTTGACTCGAGCTGCTATTATGATTATTAATAGCAATACTTACCTTGATAAAAGCATTGCTCTGTTGAAGGAAATAAGCAATACCCACAACATTGTTTTTGTCCAAATCATCTTCAGGGTAAGCACACCATACGGATAAAGGGTGAGAATTTGGGGTTCATTCAGGTGCTAGTCCCACCAATCAAAGTAGCATTCAGTAACTATTATAGAGGGACTGAGGTGCAACGTAGCAGCGCTGTGTATTTGATAGACAGAAAAGGCCTTTTCCCACTCCACCATCAGCAACATTTAAACCAACCAGAACTGCCATCTTGACTCTGTTCATTTACCACAGGCCAATCATTATAAGGACTCCTCTGTCTAGCTCCACTGCGAGGTCCTGCCCATTCCCAGTGCTAAGCTACAGTGCTAATGCTAACAGTACCTGCTGCCATGCCATTGGAAATCGCAGTGGAGACACCAGCGCCATGCAAACCAATCACAGAAGTCATTCATCTGTTGTCATAGCTACCAGGACACTCAGGAAAGAAAAGGGCTAATTTGCCATGTGCCATGGAGCCATTTTGGGTCATGTTGGGGAACTGCTGCTCATCTTTTTGTCGCACATTCAATATGATTTCTGTCAACTGCACTGCAAAGAACTCTGGGGGCATACTGTAGAGCAGTGCATTGCATCCAAGGCTCAGTCTTTGTGCCATGCGTGCACGCGAGACAGATAGGGGGAAATAGAGAGAGGGCAGAGTGGGAAGCAAAGGGGTGTGGGTAAAGGGACAGTGCAACATTCAGTGCCCGTCTCCACTGTTTATAAATCAGGAGAGGGCTGAAGGTCAGGCAGTGAAAGACTCACCCACACCAGGCTCGTTCAATGCACTGTAGCGTTCCCTCAGGGCGAGGGGGGTTAAAGTTCGCCTGCGCTCCTCACTCCCGACAACCTAAAAAATAAAAACAACAAAACTACATTAGAATTACATTATAATTATTGTCTGAAGTGTCATTATTGTAGCACATTTTAACTTGTGAACAACCACTGTTTGGCCTGCAGGACATTATCACTATGTAGAGCTGCTACAGTGACACATTACATGAATATGAACATGTAATATTTGTATTAATAGTCATTGTGATAATTTTCAAAATAATTTCTTCAAGTTGAATTTAAATTCAGTGCATAGAAGTCATGTGCAAACACTTCATTTATGTTTTTGTAAATGAAAATGTGCTGCATATATGCATTAGGGGCATTTATTTAGCGTGGAGAAAAACTTCTCATTCCAAGAATGTCACGTACCCAGACCCCTGTGTCATCATGCACATGGACGGCTGAGGTAACACAAAGGTTTGTGTATGTGTACTTGCTGGGGGGTGTTTGCAAGCAAGTCCTTACCTTGACACATGGTGGCATGGTTATGTTAAGGTTACACAGTACATGCTGTGTGTCCTCGTACTTGGTGCATTTCCGCAGAAAGGACAAAAACCCAGCAGCTTCCTTGTTACTATCTCTGACCTAACACAGAGAGTTGACAGACAGAGAAAAGAAGAGAAAGAGAGAGAGAAGAAGAAGATATGGAGAGAGAAAATGGTGGAAAAAGAAACCAGATAGAGGAATGGAAGAGAGAGTGGTGAACAAAAGGAGTAAGTAAAGAGGAAATGAAGGAAGTGAAAAAAAATACAGAACACAGAAAAGAAGAGAATGAAACAGAGCAGGAGAGAGAGAGAGAGAGAGAGAGAGAAAGAGAGAGAGAGAGGAGGAAGAAAAACAGATCAAAACGGGTATTAGATCCCTCCACAATGTCTAGAGCATGTGGCGCAGTAACATGGGACGAGAAGCAGGGGGAAACAGGGATGGAAGCAGTCCACAGGCAGGCGAGAGGGAGAGATTTACCTGCACATTTTACCTGGACGTCTGTCAGACCAGACAGTTACAGAGTGACCGCGAGAGAGAGAAAGAGAGACAGTGAGACAGACACGTACAGACAGGCAAGGCCGCAAGATTGGAAGGCAGGCAAAGAAAGTGAGGGAGTCACAGGACATGCAAACAATTACCCAAGAGAGTCGACAGGTAGACAGGTAAGTTGTTTGTTGCTTGGTTACACCATAATGAAAAGATATTTATCAAAGTATTTATCTAGCTGATACCGAACACGAGTGTGTGTCTAACAGACAAATAGATGGATAACAAAAAAATGAACAGAAGACAATAAAAGAATTACATGAATATGATAGACAGACATGAAAAAGGCACACACAGTATGAAGTCTGTGCAAGAGAGGAGGTTTAAACATCAGTAGAATGCAGAAGGGCAAGAAGAGACAAGAAATGACTGATAATTATGATCAGAAAGAAGGACTGATTTTACAGTGATGCATCTGTGACCAAAGGGACATACTTAAAGAACTGTGTGACATTATTACATATTAGGGAGGTGTTTCTTATTACACATACACAAAAGGAAAAAAAAAAAGAAAAAGAACCAAATAAATCTGGGACAAATTTGGACAATGTTTAACTTGTCATTTGTTTAGAAAGAGTGAACACATTTTGACAATCACAAACATGAATGGACTGACTGACAGACATACACAGATAAGAGAGAAATTCATCAATATATCTAAAATGATTAATAACAATCATCCTTATTAACATACCTTCATTAATATATAGTGAAATTCATATTATTTCTTAACCTCAAAGGCCCAGTGTGTAACATTTCTATTGGCAGAAGTGGAATTCCAAATCATATGTATGTTATCATTAGTAATCACCTGAAAACAAGAATCATTGTGTTTTTGTTACCTAGAATGAGAATTTGTTTTATATACAGAACCTGCCATGTTGAACCGCCATGTTTCTACAATAACCCAGGATGGACAAACCAAACACTGGTTCAAGATAGGGTTTTGTAGCCACTAGTTTCTACTACATGCTTGTTACAAGGTGAGGAAGTTGCAGTCAGCTGCTTCACTAAATCCTACACACTGGACCTTTAAAATTACACTTAAAGTGAAATGATGTTATTAGTCTTTTCAAATTCCACAGTTTTTCAGGTGTAACTTTCTTGGTGTGGTGTTGCTGTGGTCCTGAATGAGTGCTGCACTGTTACCTTAACTTTTATATGCTAATGGTGAGACAAAGTGAGAGACTGCCTGACAGATATGACAGTGAAAAGCAAACACACAAAAACCACTGTATGAACAGGTTGTTTGGGTGATCAGCAGGTGGAGGCTTAGGATGGAAACTGACTAACTGGCGAGGAGGATCCTTGACACACTGAATCCAACAACTGTGCGAACAATACCACAGTACAGTATGAATACGTAGCGAGTGATAGAAAAGCAAGCATATGAATAGTCAAATGGAGACAGACCTTGACAGAGACAGGCAGCCTGTTATCTCTGAAGGCCTGGAAGCTGAAGCTGCGAGGCTGCTGAGTGGCCTTCCTGATGGGTACAAGGTTCCCAGAACACTCAAGATGCAGCGGCATGCCCTCCATCAGCTGTGGAGAGTTTCACAAAATGTTAAGGGTGACAAGATAAATAGTAACTGTGAGAGAATTTGAGAGGGATTTGACCTTTGTACAACAGCCACAGTGTGGATCGATATAAGACACAAGCAAGTACTCCTCTGTGCTGCAGAAAACACTTGGAGGATTAAGCCTCCCGTAATGGGGAGATTTTGGGAGCAAAGCCAGGAAAAAATGCATCTTTCTTAAATTCCCTCTTCTAATTCATATACTACAGATGACTTTTGACTAGCCACAATTGCATTTGTATTATATAAATTGGTATTTTGGTAATTGGTAATTATGTGAAAATGATTTGCACTGTCTGGGAGCTACGTTTGAGGTTGCCATGACCCCTACTGCTCTCTGTAACAGCTTTCCCTTTTTGTGAACCTGGCAGCATTTTCCTTTCCCCTGTGCTGACCTCAATGTCTCGACTGCGGGCCACTTCAGTGAAGTTTTCATGCAGCTCCAGTGTTTTGTCCATCTTGTCGTCTGTCATGCAGTAACAACGCAAGCGTCCCTCGCGCGCCTCATTCATCTTGGCAAAAATAACAAACTTGGCCATATATGGAACAGACATCAGCTCCCGGTACAGCAAATTGGCAAAGGTCACTGCCTCTGCCGTGCGTGGACAGTCCGCCAGCCAGAATCTGGATAAGAGAAAAGGGAAGGTTGAAAGTGGAAAGATGCAAACTTGATTCAGAAGTGTGCAAGAGAGCAGGGAAGGAACGCTAACTGGTAATCAATTGTTCTGATTAATGCTGAAGCGCTCACCTTGCAGAAACATTGGTGGTAAAGTTGGCACAGTTCTTGGCGTACATCAGCTTAGTGGTTCCAGTGATATCCTCCCACTGAGCTGGTGCTGTGCCACCTTACGCACAATAACAACACTGTGTCATTCATGTCCTGATAACCAAGGTTTTACAGTAAACATGTTGTATGTTACATCTAAATTTAATTAAGTGGAAACCTACCAATGACACTGCAGAGGAGGCGCAGGCTGGTGGTATCACCCTCCCCAGCATCCCGAGGACTCTCCCTCCAGGATGGTGGCAAAGGGATGCGCAACCCGATTGGACGGTGAAATTTGCGTCGGCGTGGCTCGATGGTAACCACTGGGCTGAAGGTCGCCTGGTTACCAAGATGCCGAGTCAGCAGTTCATCAGGGATTGGCTGCGCCTGAGGTGGAAGTGGTGGGGGGAAAAAGGTAATTAAAAAGGAGGGTGTGAGAACAGACACTTATGACTATGGAGTTTAAAAAGCTGGATACACAAAATATGTGAAAGACAAACTCAAGCACAAACAGAAGGATAGTGAAAAGCAGGAAATAGAAATAAGGGTAAGGGGGGTGGGGGCAAAAACAAAACAGAGCAACACATGTGCAATAGACTGAAACATCAAACTCACAGCCATACTCACACATGCAACCAATTCATATTTCACACCTGACCCAAATCAGACCAGTGCATCAGCTCAGTCAGTGTGGCTCACAACTTAAATCAGGGAACTGAGGAGTGATGAATGGCTGGATAAAAGGAAAACATAAACAGAGCAGCATAAGGCAAAGCAAAACTCATGCAATTTCCTTAAATAGCATCAGTGCAGTGACAGATCTGTGCTGTGACAGACAATGTAAACAATAAACACTGAAGTGACCAAAATGAAATGTAGAACCCATAATCCGTCGTAATCGTTCTGTCGTGAAAAATAAAACCAAGCGGAGGTGTTGTGTGAAAAGAGATAGTCAGCATGAGTGTTTGCCAAGTCCCCATATGTGTGTCTGTGGAGGTCTGGATGTGCGACAGTCAGCCACCCATTTGCCAAAAGCTCCGGTTTGGGAGGACAGACACCACGTGTTACAAATGCTAATTTAGAAACAGTGCCGTGGTGTGACAGGGAGGTCATGTCGCCTAGTTCTTGGCAGCAGTTTATGCAGGGCGATGTAAACTTTATATCATATACTATCTTAAATACCCTGAAAACATATTTTCTCACTCACAGTGTTTTATCTGTCAGTGATGGGCTCCAACATGACCGCACAGTTTGTGTTGCCAAAGTTAGAACAGTTTTGGTTCAGTGATAATTATGCATTTCGGTTCTTGTCCTTGCTTTTCTCACTGGCTTGAAGTGCGCGGGGATCCACTTGAAAGAGGTGATGTGATATAATACTTCCCTGCACCAATCAGAGTTTAGAATCTGAATGTGTTGTGTGTTTGTTTGTTTGTTTTTAGGTGTGTTTTTGAATATCTTACTTACAACCATGCACATTTTACATTATTGCTGAACAGTTTCTAGGTCATAATGCTTTAGATTCTTAATATTTTCTTCATATCTTTAAGGTAGCTGTTCAGTTTCAGTAAAAGCAGATTTGGTGTTAACTGTAATTAAACAAATGGAAACCAATGACTACCAGAGATATACAGTAGGTGAATTATATCTGAAAAAATTAAACACATACACAGTTTGCAGTAAATGGGAAACAACGAGCAAAAAATGGCAATGGTTCATGAACTTCCTTCAAACATCAAGATTCACAATAGTAAGAGAATAAAGTCTCTGTTCGCAGTCAAGCAGTACAGCATGCACTTTCACTCTCAATGACTGATGCACAACTCTTACATATTCACGCTCATTTGTCAAACAGACAGAACATCAACTTCAGGATGTGAAATCTGTCAAAACTCAACTCAAAGAGGCTGAATGCAGCACAAACAGAAATGCCACAGGTAAACACGTTGGCATAGACCATTTAGTCACAGAGTCAGCAGTTTTGTAATTCAAACATCTGTCCTCAGTAATTTCTGAAAAACACCAGATTGTCTCTGTTGGACAAGCAAAATAAACTCAGATCAATTATGAAAGATCTGCATAAGATCTATTCTCATGTTTCTCATATGTGCAAATCACTTTCCTCTTCATCAGTCCTGCTCACTTTAAGCTCTCTCCCTCTACTGTATTTCAGCTCAAATTCCCTCTCCTTACCTGCAGTCCCAGTCTCACTCTCTTGGTGACAGCCGTCTCTGGGAAGATGGCCTCGACGTGGGGCACAAGCTTACTGGTCAGCCGGCCGCCTTCTGGGCCGATCAGATCGCTCTCTTGCTGAATGCGGGAGACCACAGCGAAGTAGAGGGGGAAGTCTGTCGAGATGATCCGACGGATTCTCTTCTTCTCCAGCTCATCCTGACTCTCCAAGTCTACACACAGGATGGAGTGAAGAGAGAGTATTTTACATCTGTCCAGGTGACAGAGATTATTATGAAGATTAAGATTAAGACTTATCTGCAACCGTAAAAGGACTCACGAACACGCATTCATTACCATCACACTGACCTTCATCCATGCCATTCAGAATGGTTTCCAGCACTTCGTCACCATAGCGATTGCGATGTTCCTTCCAGACCGAGCCATTTTCACTGCGGAGGACCACGAGCTCCCGGTCCCCTCGGCCTAGTGACGCAAAGTGGGGGATTTCCACTATTACAGGCCTGTAAAAGAAATAAAAAAGCTGTGTTAAAATCTGGTTTTCAGATTTCAGGCTTTTACTTTTATCCAATGTACAGAACATCATGAAATCACAGAATAAATAACAAAATTTGAAAAAGCAATAATATCTAATTCTGTTGTCTAGCATTACTGTTGCTAAGATTATACCAGAGTTATGCAGACCTACTGATGTCCACTAGATGGCATAATAATCATTGGCTTGTCTGAACATGCTACAAACATAAATGCACAGATGGGCACACAGAAAAAGCTCGACAAGTTATTTTTACATGAACCTTTTTAAAGCTGGATGAATACAATAAAAAAGCAAGTACAAAACTGACTCACCCAAGGAACTGCATACTGGACGGCCCTAGGGAAATGATACGGCTAGCAAGGCCCTCCCCCTCCACCAGCGGAGGAGGCGTGGTCAGTTTCTGAGGTTTGACCAGGCGGCAGGTGATGCGTGTTGGGGCAGTGCAGGTTCGAGGAGGAATGATAACTCGCAGGCCGTGGTGTCTGCTACCTCGCATGGAGCCTCCCCGAGCGTCCACCATGAAACTCACCAGAAAGCTGAGTCAAACAGTAATATGACGACTAAATGAAAAGGTTCAGATGACCACTTAATCATCTTTAAACTTTATGTGATTATGATCAAGTTGCATTTAGCAGTAAATGACAAACTACGGGAACATAAAATTTACCAGTCAATACTGGACTTTTTGTATTCTGCCCACGAAATCAGACAAAAAACCATCTGTGTTTCATTCAGCAGCAAAATCTGCTTTGTGCATAGTGATTCATAAAGGAGACACCAATCTGCTACGTGTGTGCCCTTTTCATTCATTTTTGCCTCAATATGGCAGGGGAGGACAGGCCATCTGGAGTGGATACTAAGTGCAGCAAAGAACGACATAAAAAGATTAAAAAAGAGCCCCATGTTTGATCCTACACTCAGCAGGCAGCTTCATACAGGTGTGTGTGTGTTTGGGAGAAAGAAAGAGACAGGGTGACTCTTTCCCCCAAACACCCTCACTCTATATTCTGCTTTGCAAAGCTGACTCATTGTGCTGTGCATAAATTAAGACTTAGCAGACTTAATGAATTAACCTTTTCTAACATTATGAAACTTAAATATTTTGATTACATGTGTTTTATGCGTTAACAGTTAAAATGGATTATGATCCTCAAGTAACCAACATGTATAATTGATTTATGTCATATACTATATCATCCCATTTACGGTATAAATCCTAGGTTATATTGAATAGAACACAGTGCTATACATGTAATTATTTTTAGATATTTTTCAGTGCAATAGGAAGTGGGGTGGTGGGTGGAGTATCTGTAGTTCAATCTTGGTCACTCATCATCATCACTGATGTTTTGGCATCATTCATGCTTTGATGTGAGGGACGCCATAACACCAGTGATCATAACAAATGAGGTATGATTGAAGCGCAGCATTCTTAGTTGTGGAGTTTGTGAACATGCCTTCCCCCTTTGTCATACTAACATGGCAATTAGTATTTAATCAAAACAAGACCCTTCATGATTGCCTAATGCCCTGCCTTTCACACTATACATGTGAGTCTATATTCAGAGAATCCTTTCACATATGTTCCCTTTTAATCCATCTCTGTTGTCCTTGTGTACTTTCTGTACTTCCAAAATACATTTGTAAGACTAGTAATCTCATGGGGTCTTCCAAAATCCCTCCTTTACCATAAGCCTGATAAGCAACATCAATCAATAACATAATTTAACATAAATTGAATTTGAAAAATGAGGATTAACATGCAGCACAATGTATCATTAGCTAACCCAGTGTGAATGGGGCTGGCCACAGGGCTGACGTTGTCTGAAGTCTCTGTAGCCGGACTGCTTGGGATAAGAGAGTCTTCGTCATACTCCTTTGGCAAGGGGATGGGGGTGTGCTGAGGTCAGAGAGGGAGAAAAGAGACTGGCAGTGAAAAATTGAGAGGCAGTAAAATAACCATGGCTGAAAAGATTAAGATTATGAGAGAGACAAAGGCGGGCGGGAATGACAGAGAAAAGGGAGAGAGAGAGAGAGAGAGAGAGAGAGAGAGAGAGAGAGAGAGAGAGAGAGAGAGAGAGAGACAGGAGAAGGTGATAACAAAAATACAGCAGAATAAAAGCAGTGAGAAAAGAGAGAAAATGATGGACAGAAACAGGCAGCAGGTACACCAGAAAAAGAGGAGACAATCTATTAGAAGCGATGGAGAGAAAACCAGAAACCAAAATAAGACATAAAAATAAACAATAATAATCATAATCAAAATGATTTTTAATACTGTAGGTATTTAACTTTTACAAATGAATGTGCCTTTAATTGGATGAAGAAACAAACGCTTATAAAATGTAATGTACTCTAAACCGCATGAGTTTAAGCCTACCTGATCCAGTAATACAGTCTCTGGGGACACACAAGGGATCCTGGGAATAGCAGGAGAATATGGCCTGTGGGAGAGGAAGTGAGAATAATATACGACAGGAAAACTGACAATTATACTATACTATATAATAGGACAGAGATACTGTAAATTATCTATGCCAGACATTCAATTACTTACTCAATCCCATTTAACATCTAACTTGAGTGCACAATGACTTACGTGGTACCCATGCCACCCTCAAAGTCTCTAAGTGTTTTCTTTGGGGAGAGGAAGTCATCGTCCTGGTCCTTGAAGTCATCAAGCTTCAAATAGCGTGCTCCATCCATCCCGAGCAACTCGTCTCCTGTGGGCAAAATGAAGAGGTAAGAAAGATGGAAACGGAGCAAAGAGGAAAAAAACTGGCAAGGAACAGGATTGCACATAAAGAATTAAGAGAGAAAAAGACGAGACCAGGGGAAAACAGGGCAAAATGATGCTGATCTCAACTCTCAAGTTCTTCCACTCAGTCGTAAAATGTATGTTTTTTCAAATCAAGTACAAAAATCTGCCAATGCAATTCACCTTTATTCACCAATGCTATTTTGACTAGATTTTTCTTTTTTTTTTATGAGTGACATTATCTTGAATTGTGGTCGACATCTCCACTTGAATCAAAATAATGTCACTTGATTTAGTTCTCCATAGATGATAGCAGTAATTGTTAGACCACCATCCTTCCCATCCCTTCACCTTCATGAAACCACAGAAAAAAATGGCCACAAAGCAATCTCAAATATTTGAGTCTAAGCAATGGAGTCAAACCAACAATAACCAGAGCCAATGGAAACCAAAGGAGTGAAAGAAGAGGATTGGTAAGACAGTGAATATTAACACAGTTTAGGACACTGCATGGACGGCAAACTGCAAGGCACCTGGTGACAGCTTTTTTAGTGAGCATGCCCATTAAAGATGAAATCACATGTGGTGATGGTTGTTTCTGTGTAGGAGAAAATACCTCAATTATTAAGGAGGAATGATTCCGAAATAATGATCATAACAACAATAGTAAACCATAAACCACTTCACAAAACAGAGCTGTTTACAGACAATTAAACATTCATTAGTACAAGCTGTACAGACAAAAAATGTTAAAGAAGGAAAAAGCAATACAATTAAATAAGTACAACAAGAACAAAATGGCTTAAAAATGGAGCTTGCATGTAAATGTTTCTTCAAAATGTTAAATCGTCTAAATGTTAAAAAACTACATTTGATTTAATTCTGAATTTCTTTAAGGCATAAAGACGACTGCATAAACAGCAACTGTGCGTGCCGTTTGCTGAGTGTCACAGCTGGGGCACAGCATGTGTGTAATCAGCTTATTGATCAATTAGGCAGTAAATGGTAGGAGCACTCATTTTCAAAATGGCTAGATTGGAAGGGAGCTGTTTGCCTTTTAAAAGGCAGAAATACTGGAGTTCTGTCAATAATGAGTCCACGAACAGATGCGCATTGAACGCTGGTAAAAGGAAAATGTCGTGACTACATGCTGATGAAAAACAGACAGATTTCTTTTAAATAAATCTCTAAGCAAGAGGGAGAGGAGGAGAGAATAAAGATAAGAGAAGAGCGAACAGGGCTGGAGTTGAGAGTCAGAGGAACTAATCAGGAAGACAATTAGTGACACACAGAGAAAATGAGAAAGTGCAATTGCAATGAAGGCACAAGTTCACTAGCCACCGGACCGGACAAGCCAGAGATACAGACACAATCCTACCTAAAGTTAGCTGGGCAACCCCTACAAAACAAATGGAAAAGGGTGTTATAAACAGTCATATACATAATTACATTCATGAGGGTACTTTGATGTGTCAGTGTACCTCTCATATGAGCTTCTTCTTCTTATCAAAATAATAAATCAGAGCTGAAAATGAATGATCAAAGCTGTACAGTTGATGTGTTTAACAATCAAATTGGATAACCTACCTTCATCCTCTGAAACATCCAAAATCTCATCCACTGTCTCAGGAAAACTCATCCGATGCTTCTCTGTAGTGATCTGTAAAGAGAAGAAGGAGGTTGCAAGAGAGAGAGAGATATGGCAGAGACAGAGGAAAGAATGAAATGTAAAGAAAAGAGAGGAGAACAGATGGAAAATGCTATATTATAGCAGGCAAAGGAGCTGAACCCGATTAAGACAAGACAATTGTCTGGTTGAACATCTGAGTCATGGTGTGTCAAGGCTACTTCTTTGCGTATTGGATGTAACCATGTGAACCGTGTATGATGTGTTGCTCACCGCAGAGACCGACTCCTCGGTAACCAGTTTCAGCACATCAATGACAGAGATGTAACCAAGCCGCTTAGCAATACCCAGGGGAGAAGTCCCGTTCTACACAGAGAAAGACGAGAAACATCACGTAAAATATGAATTTTTTAGGTAAAACAAAATGCACTAAATTCTAACAATAGAAGTTATTCTATAAGGAAGTCTCTTATTTTGACAGATAATTTCATAGAGTGATACATCTTTTAATCGTTGGTCAGAATACAGACACAAAACATTAAATCAAAATGCAATTGAACGTAGGTAGGTTGTACAGTAGGTTTTTCAGAAGAAACATTGAACTTATACACACACACACACACAAAGTAATTGCAACTCGAAAGTTGGCAAATAAATACATATCTGGTACCTTAATAATGTTAATGTTATTTGGTGTTATTACAACTATTGTATGTAATGCTATAAGTTACTTACTTTAAATACATCTAATATCAACAGTGGAAAATTACAAAAATATTATACAGTATCATCAGCATATAGGGATGAATAGTGACGGTAGACAAGGGGGTACTCATTGTATTGTACTCCTTGTACATCATATCCATGTACCATATAATAGAAACTGAGCAGTTCATACTGCTACGATCACCACAGATGGGTAAAGTATCTTAATTCTACAAAAAAGAACATATTCAAATTCCATAGGATCCACCATAGGTGAGGAACTTGAAGGCAGTATTACAGTAGAGTAATAATACAGTACAGTGTATTGCCCAGCTCCCTTTTGAATATATAGGATGTCTTCAAACAGTGCTTTGCTTATTTTTTTCCACATCATCAATAGGACACACCAATAAATCAGTGTGCAGCTACAAAGATAATTCCCAGTGTTGAGAGGAAGGTCCTAACAGGACATGGTATTCCTAAAGGTGTCTCACCGAGGTAATCTCATTGGGCTGGGCTCCGTGTTTCAACAACAGGGTGACAATATCGGTATGGCCCTGCTGAGCTGCCTGGTGCAGAGGGGTGTAGCCCATCTGGAGAGAAAAGAGGGAGGATGGTGAGACAAAAGAGGAAACACAGAGAAAGCAGTATTTCCATTATGATTTTGGCACCTCATGCTAATACCCGTGGTGCCGCAGCCAATCTTCTCAGACCGGTTAACTAATTGCTAGTTGTTAAACAGTGTTTTGATAAAGCTTCACACTACTGACAGTAAGCATCAAACAAGTAAACAAAAACACACAGCTAGTCATTAGGCGCACATGCAGTACAAGCAGGGCTCTAGACTGCAAGCATTTTTGGAAACAGTCCATTTCTCAATTTATGTGTTGGTTTTTTCTTAATCATCATTGTATGTCATGTGAAACATCAGGAGGGAGCGGGAATTAGTTTGTAAAATACAACATGCACGCAGACATCCTCTTGCATGCATGTGAACTGCAGACTAATTGCAAAATTCAACTAGTGTGACTGGGAATATTGCTGCTGATACTTAATAATAGTGATAATGCCCTAAATCTCAAGTTGCAGTGAAGATAATAGACAAGACAGATGTGTGCTGTGTTTTACTCTGAAGTCACTGTCACATGGATTCTAAACCATGACTATGGGCATTTCCATGATATAACTGGGAAACTGTGCATGCTTTCCATCAAATAAATAGATCATAAGATTGTGTTGAATGTTTAATTGTAACTTCTGCAATATTTGCAGCTTCTCTTCTCCTTCACAGGAGCAGCTCTGTCTGTCTGGTTATCACTCCTGACATGTTACCAATCAGATAGTGGGATAGAAAGGGGGAAGAAAGAGGGGATGACACACAGCAAAGAGCCACAAGTCAGACTCAAACCCATGGCCACATTGGTACATGGGGCGCCAGCTCTACTAAGTGAGCAACCATAGTGTCCCAAGAGATGTTTTTCTCTTTAAGCAATCATTCTCTAATGTCTATTTATTAGCTAAGCATTTATCATTAATACAGTTGCATGTATACAATTGTGTTGCGTGCATGTTGCACGATTTAAGTGGTGCTCCATCAATTTTCAGTAGGGAGCACAAGTGCTACTCGTGGACGAAGTTAGTCTGTAGACTTGAATATCAGTCATATATAGTTATATATGCAGTATTATAATAATGATATTTAGTTTACCCTTGTCTTGCTATTCACATGAGCCTGCTGCTGCAGAAGGAACTTCACCATCTTGATGTTGCCATAGTGACAGGCCACATGAAGGGGTGTGTAGCCCATCTAAGACAAGGAAAGAGAGACAGTTGGTTGTTGTTCAGTAGCTTCATGAACGCCTTCTTATAGACAGCTTGAACATAAACGTGACACAAACTGAGAAAATTATTATGTATTAATTTAAAATAAACACAACTACTTTTGTAAAATAAATTTTTATATTGTATTATTAGATACTGAATAGATTTTATACAAACTCTACTTAACTCTAATGAACTAATGTGACAAGACCACATGATGTAAATTAAATATTCATAGATCATTAATTTCTTTAATTGAGGGATTAAATGACATAAAATTGTTATCCACTTCTTCATTCCCAGTTAGACTTCTATTGGTTTCAAGCTAGCCACATGGAAAACCTCAAACTCTGAGATGAATAATGTACTGATATTGTCAATAACAGAAAATCCCAATGACTTTGACAACACATTGTAGGTCTGGCCCATCAGATTCTTAAATCCTGAGACTAATATCTGACTGTCCTGTAGTTAAATTACAATTCTGTTTCCATCAGCAAAGTGCAATTATTAATTCAGTGTCATATTTTAACTGAATGTCAGCCGATAATACCTATCCTATAATTCTTTGTACCAGTGGAAGTGGGGTAACTTACCCGTGAAGCAGCATAAACGGAGGCTCCTTGTTTGACCAATGTGTCTGCGATTCCCACGTGACCTTCTTGAGCCACAAGATGCAGAGGGGTCAATCCATTCTAACAGACAGAAAGAATGGACAGCAGAGATGAACACTATATCTTCCCAAAACAGCATCTTCAAAGTATGTTGATTTTGGTGGATGTAATATAGTCTAATGACCACACTACTTTTTAAAAAAAATATACTTTTGAAGGTGAGTTAGATAAATTTCACTCCATTTTAATATTATACCTTGTTTCCCAGATTCACATTGGCCTGTTTGGAGATGAGCAAGGCCACAATGTCGGGCCGCCCTTCCTGTGCAGCCAGGTGCAGAGGCGTGATGCCTTGGAGGGACTCAACGTTGGGTGTTGCCCCATTCTGCAGCAGACAACTGGCCACCTCCATCTGGTTCTGCTTGGCCGCTATGTGCAGGGCAGTGTAGCCATTCTGAAGCGAGAAACAAGGACATACAGGCACACACAAGACTTGGTATTGCTTTTCTTAACTGTTCTGTTAATCTAATTTTAGATTAAAACTTGAATGCTGTAATGAGAGCAACACTGAAAAGTAGTCATGTAAATTACTGTATGTTTAAGTATCACAGACTGTTTTGGTATGTGTATCGGCGATGGGTTGGCATGCTGTGTCGGCCTGCCTGTGTGCACACGCATTTGTGAGCATCTTACTCGGGCAGTGCTGTGTGCAGATCCTCCCTTGCTGACCAGGAGTTTAACAACATCCAGGTTGTTGTGATGGACGGCCACATGAAGGGGTGTCAAACCGTTCTGTTGAACACACACACATACATATGTACACGTATATAAACGCATAGACATACACAAAATCACAAAGAAACACGTATATATGAAACACATACAATGATAATCTATCAATCAGCTGATATATGAAATTAATTTCTACGGGCTCAAGCTTTCAGCTAGAATTTCTCTTCACAGCCTTGTCAAGAGTCCTTTATTGTTTTTGTGTACTTGAGGGATCTGAACTACAGGAAGCACAGAATGTCTCACCTTCCCAGCTGCATTAGGGTTGGCTCCTCGCTCCAGAAGGAGCTCAGCCACGTCCACCTTCCCATATTTACAGGCCACATGGAGGGGAGTGAAGCCTTTCTGCTCAAAAGAAAACAAAATCAGGAGAGAGATATTCCATGCTTGATACTGTGGTAGATTATACCCACTGTTGTTGGAAAAAATAGAGACAGGCTAGTTTTCTCATTAATTGTAATGCAGTTGAGAAAATATGCATTTTTACAAAAACCCAACGTGAATAAACTCAGAGTGTGTGAAGGAAGGAAACCATGGATGAGGAGGAAAATTAAATAAATTAGATACAATTAAGCACAAAATCAACCAGGAAGAGCCCTTGAAGAAGGACATATACAATTGATGCATTTTCACTGGATGGTTCTCTAATACAAATATCCCAGAAATTAGAAGTAAGGGTCTCCAAGCATAATGCCTAATGTAGCACAGCTGAGACTGAATGTTTCTTGTAGTAAGTGATCATTAATGCAGATTCAAGAAGTTTACCTTTGTCATCTTGATCTGCTGTGCCCCAGCATCCAACAAGATTCGAATAGTGTGGATATGTCCTTCACGTGCAGAGATGTGTAAAGGTGTGTGGCCTGCAGTTGTAGCTGAGTCTGGGTTGGCCTTGTGCTCAAGGAGCAGCTTGACAAGCTCCTTGTGGCCCATACGAGCCGCACAGTGTAGGGGTGTCTGGTCATCCTGGACAAATGGAGAAAGAGGGAAATTTTTGCTTTAAACAGGAAAATTATTGTTTAGAAGCAGTGGGTAATGAAGTAACACTACTAGCCAGCTATCCAAATCTGTCACTCATGTGTGCTGATTTTATTATATTTTATGAAACTTTTCCTTAAGTTCAAAAGGCAGAAATACCCTCCTCAGGAAATACTGAATGGCAGCAACAGATACAAACATACAGGACAAACACAGGCCGCACAGCTCGTACCTTAGCCCTGGCGTCCACTTGTGCTGCGTTCTGCAGCAGGAACTGAGCAACTTCACAGTGTCCTGCTCTGGAGGCCATGTGGAGGGGAGTCTCCACTTTCTGGTGTAGATAAATACATGCAAGCGGTCACTCAAAGTACATAATATTACAACACTTGTACGTATGCAACTGAGCTTTTCAATTAATTAATCAATTACTACATATTGCTGAACAGTTACAGGTTCAATTTGTAAGCCAAATACCTCTAGGCATATTCTAGCCCAGTGGTTCCCAATCTTTTTTCTTTGAAGCCCCCCTTGCCTGTGTCCAAGGCAAATCAGGCCCCCCCAACCCCAACCCCAACCCCTACCCGCATACACACACTAAATAGGTAATAAATAGCTTAATGAATTTAAATATGGACCAAAAATATGTTTCAATTTGGATTACACAGAGTTTTGATTATCCAATTGGGTGTGTTATTGGGATTTTATAAATTAAATTTTTGTAAATAATAATTTTGGTAACCTCACAACCTCAGCAGACAAAGTTGTGCGCACCCAGAGGAAAAAGGTGGATAATGAACTATGGAACTAACCCTAACCCAGACCCCAGGTTGGGAACCACTGTTCTAGCCCATACAGAAAAACATGATTTGTTATTTTAATCTTTAATTTAATTATTTTTATAACTTTTTGACCAAGTTTGTTTTTCAATTTGAAACAAATCTTGTTAAAATCCACCTCGTTCGTATCAGGGTCCCCGGTTGGTTCAGACTAGCTCATTTAAAAACAATTCATGCTCATTAACCAATGTCCCTTTAAACAGCATTGGCTTTCTGTGCTTGCAAAAAATAATTAATCTGTCTATGGCTAATTGTTTAATGTTTGACCTACACACCAGCTTAATTTTGAGGTAGAAAAAGGGGTTCTCACCACATTGGAAGCATTAGGTGAAGCCCCTCTCTGAAGCAGGTTCTTCACTATGTTCAGATGGCCCATGAATGCTGCTACATGAAGAGGAGTGAGACCAGACTGCACACACAGACACAGACAGAGTCAAGGCTCAATATCAAATGCATTACAGAGAAGTCAAGAGGCATTCTAGTTCATTATCCACCTTTTTCCAAATGACCATGTCACAGACATTATACAGGGGTTGTATCTATGAAAAAAATTATGTTCCTTGTCATTTCAAAACTATATAAGCCACACAAAATACAAAAGACATGGAATGATTATAAATTCCACTTGGTGTAAACTTCAGACTCTGTCCCTGGTGGTCGCATCGTCTCACCTCTGTGACAGCTTCTAGGGAAGCGGAGTGCTTAAGCAGCAGGTCCATGGACCGCATGTGGTTCTTCTTGCAAGCAATATGGAGAGGTGTGAAGCCATTCTGGAAACACAGAGGAAAAAGTTCACAAATAGACTACAAATGTGTCGAGTCCTAAAGCCAGAATCGCTTTATGGCTTTTGAGCCTACTAGAAGTTTCAAAATTATCTTGTTTTATTACAGCATTACTTTAATTTCACAGTTGTCTCCACGCAGTAATAACTGTTGGGGCATTGCTAAATGAAAACAGACTAAAACACTTAAGTGGGCACACAAGATTGGTTTTCCTTTGAAGATTTTGTCTTCAGTTAAATAAAAAAAAAATATGCACACCCTTTATGAACTGAGCAACATGAACACTATTATCAAAAATTTCACGATAGATAAGTAAATTATACCGTTAACAGTAAATTAATAAATAAATCATTACCACATTTATTTCCTTTCAACATGAAGATCACGATAGACACAAGATAGTCACCATGACCATGTTGATGAACTCTTTAAAGTCATATAAAGGAACAACAAAACAATCAAAGAACCCACCAGAGCACGTGCATTGGCTTTGGCTCCCTTGTCCAGTAGGACTTTGGCCATCCGATGGTGACCACAGTGGGCTGCTACATGAAGAGGAGTTAAATGGTCCAGTGTTATATCATCAATCTCAGCATTGTACTGCAGTAGCTGCCTGACGCAGTCCATGTGATCCCCCTGAGCTGCCATGTGGATGGGGGACAGACCGTTCTGTAAGAGCGAAAGAAAGAGGCAGGAAAAGTTAGGGAAAGAGAAGAAAAGATGGAGGGTAGTTTGAGATTTCTCAATGTTGCCAAGAACAAAGCCCTGTGAATGTATAATGCTGTATATGTAGCACATAGTCATATTTTCTTTTGGGGGGAAGCAGAGTAGAGTCCTTAGAGGGGAGATAATCAACGTTTTGTGCTAAAAAACTTGAATGAACGTCTGTACATTTCTAGCAAGCTGGTTTATGTGCTGATTTTCTGATGGAATCTCATTCAGTAGTTAAGATTATTTCATAAGATTCAGATGGAGATTCACAAGTCTTAACAATAACAATAGGCCCTAATGATCACCGCTAAAAGACAGCAATGGCTCAAAGAGAACCACAGTGATTGCAGTATTTCATTACATTCATCTACCTTGGTCTTAGCCTGGATGGGAGCACCGTGTTCCAGCAGGATCTCAATAATGCGAACATGACCATTCCTGGCTGCACAGTGGAGAGGAGTCAGCTCATCCTATGAAGATACGAGGTTAAGAAAAGGAATTGGAAAGGTGTTAAACCATATAAGAAATAAGCAAATCAGCAGTAAAGAAAGACAGATTGGGGAAATAGACACTGGGAAGTTGTTAAACATGCATAAGTGACAAAATCCCGGAGCTGAACAATACACTACCTTAGTTTTGGCATCGATCTGTGCACCTCTGTCCAGCAGTAGTCTGACCATCATCACATTGCCCCTCCTGGAGGCTATATGAAGGGGCGTGATGCCATTCTAGAGAAGCAAGGGCAAGAAATAAGCCAGCTGTAATAATTAAAACCATTTGTAATCATTGCTTCGTATTGCAAGTACAATAAGACAATATCAAAATCTTCTTTTCTCAACACACAGCGTTTGAACGACATTCATGGTTCCTCTCAGACCCTGCAGCTGAGATAAACTGACCTTGGGGGTGAAGTTTACATTGGCTCCTCTGTTCAGCAGCAGCTGGGCTACGCTCATATTCTCATAGTGGGCTGCAATATGGAGAGGTGTGAAACCGGTCTACAGAGGAAGAGACGCAATGGGAAAGTGCAAGAATAAAAGTGTAAATAAGGATAATTACAATCTATTTATAGAACTATAAAAAACTATGTGCATGACACAGATTAAACGACAGCTCGGGACCTAGACTTAGAGAGATCAGTTACACAACAGTGTGTTTCAGAGCTCATGCAATGTGTGTTTTTTTTTTTTTCGTTTTCTTTTTGGCTGATTGTATTTTCATAGTACAGTAAACACCAGCGCATACAGTCGCAGTGAGCTTGAATACCTTGCTGAGAACATCAGCGTTGGGGTCGTTTTGCAGAAGAACTGCGGCGGTGCGTGTGTCATCGTTTCGTGCAGCGATGTGCAGTGCGGGGAGGCGGACCTTGCCCTTGGTGCCATAGTTGATGAGCAGTGCCACGACGTTTTCGTGGCCCTGCTGGAGGGCTACTGCCAGGGGAGTGAAGCCATCCTGAGAGAGGAGACAGCAAGTTAAGGAGAGATGGAGTGATGACAGGAGAAGTACAGGAGGTAGGGAGGTCAGGAAGAGGCAGGAGCAAAACAGGAGGAATGGGGAAGAGGGAAGGAAAAGGGGAAAGAGTGAATTGTAATATTATATATATATATATGTATAAATAATATATATATATATATATATATATTCTATGAGCATATACAATTAAAGAATGTATATTCTGTTAGTTAATTCAGTAATTATAGGTGACACAAAGGACAGCTATAGCATTTTCAAGTAATTTTACTAGTGGCCCTAAAATTCGATTTCAGGCCAAATTACTTGGTAAGAGGATTGGTCTTACAATGTAACACAGTCTGTGTCTCACAGTATATCATTCATGCAATGTGTGACAGCACACAGACACACTTGATGTTAGAGGAGGTAATTACTTATCATCAGTATTGCTGGTCCGGACAAATTCACAATCAAGCGGGCGGTTTGAAGAGACACGTACCTCGGTTGGGAGACTCTGATTGGCACCGTTCTCAAGCAGAAACTTGACCACCTCTAAGTGATTTTCCTGTGCTGCCATGTAGAGAGGGCTGAACCCTTTCTGTTAGGACACAAGAACATCATGTATAGTTACAATAATATGGGCACACTCGTCTGTACAGATACTGCATGAAGATATATGGACTCTTTTAGAACTCTTTAGCAGGCGTGTCACATAATGCAAGCACAGAAATACACAAATGTTTGCACACACACACACACACACACACACACACACACACACACACACACACACGCACACACACAGACTTCCACACTTGTCTCTTGCACACAGCTCGCAGTGACTCACATGTGACTGGGCATTTAAGTTGGCACCGTAGTTGACGAGCTCCGCCACCACTTTCTCCTGCCCTGCCAGTGCTGCAATATGGAGAGCTGTGTTCCCTTTCTGGAGGTCACACACACAAAGACACACACACACAAAACACAGAGTGAGAGAGAGAGAGAGAGAGAGAGAGAGAGAGAGAGAGAGAGAGAGAGAGAGAGAGAGAGAGAGAGAGAGAGAAATTAGAGTGAATGAGAGGAAAATGATTGCAACCTAATGGCCTAGATCTCTAAACTGAGAACTCAACACTGAAATACAGCTACTGTATTGTATTCATCCAGTATAAAAGATAAAAACTGTGGGGATAAAAGCGGCACAATGTTGTTAGTATTTACAATTTAGTTCATTTAGAGACAAAACGCCTACACTGCGAGCATTAAGACAACCATTATGATGAAAGAAGTATCTTGAATAATAAGTAAAGTACATGATTCTTTTAACAACTAATAATTCCTGTACTTTTTTCAGAAAGAATCAAACTCCCTTAACAAAACCCCAGCCTTTCCCATCCCCTATGACAACAAATACCCAAACTCAATAATGCTTACAAATACGGTTTTGGTAAAAATCCTGATCATCCAGTTTTGGTGGCGTAACATGATCTTAATTCTTGGTCTGTGCAGATGACCCTTAGTTATTTTTAGTGGTTACAGGTATGCTAGCATACCTAGCTAGCTAGCTCTGGGCTAAGTTAAAGCTAAGAAAGGTGGTGGGGCTTTATTCACTTCAGTTCAGTGTGAAATGCTACTTTACATTATTAAGCATACAAAGAGAACAAAGTACCTTGGTGGTGGCTTCCAGCTCAATGCCAGAGTGTAGTAGCTCCAGGACCATTTTAACATGACCTTCTTTAGAGGCCAGGTGTAACCCGTTGAGACCATTCTTAAGGAGAAAACAGAGAGATTTAGTTACATCAAAGTTAGAAGAAACATGTACAGATATTCTCTGGAAAAGGAGGATTATATATAGATAGGATCATCTGTATTCTTTTTCTTCAGTAATATAATATAATAATGCTGTTAATAACCAGGATTATTATAATCACAGTCCATTAACTGAAAAGTGATAGCACATCTCTCAGGGCAACTTAATGAGTTAAGTTGTGGGGGTGAGAGTTAGTGTAATAATATACACACAGAGATGTAAAGCATCCTACACTCGTAAATCAATTAATGGAATAGAAATCAGAAATCTCTTTACATCCATCCAATGCCACTTTTGGCCTTGTCCTCTCCTTGGCCTTGATCATTGTGGTCTTGACCACAACCTTTAACACAAAGTGTGCTTTTAGTGCAGTGGTCTGTCAGTGATGTGTTTGACTTCTGCTGCTGAACGTCGTCAGACACCCAAGTTCCTATTCCATCTGTTTGAAATGAAACCCCTTAACTGAGGGATATTTAGGAAGGATGAGAAAAACAAACACACTGTATCAATGTTGAGTTTAATGCCCTGGGAGGACTGTAGCATATGCCCATTTTCCCCAGCTGTGTAGAACATCACTCGTCTAGTTACTGTACCTCTAAAAATAACTAATAAATCCACAACAACAGCAGGACGGCTCAGTTCTGACTAAATGAGCAACCCGACGGAACTGATGAGTAAGGGAGAGAGCGGAGGACAATCCCAACACTGTCTGTCTGTCTGTCCGTCTAGTTGTCTGTCTCTTGGGCTGGCTACACATTGTACAAGAGAAGTCTGAGCTGCAACATGCCTGCTTTAACAAATCTAACCACCAGGAGTCTCTGTTTTCCACAATGTTCTCAGGCTTCCTATCATCCTGCGGTGTCACTCAATTCAAATGGATAACACAGTCTCTCTGTGAGCATGCGCACAGTGCTGGGAAGCAAACTGTGTGTCGTGGCAATTACACACACTGTTAAATATAGTGTGCAATGCTGTGTGCATATATATATATAACACACAGAGAGATTCAGTTTTGTTTTTTAACACAAAAATAACACCTTTAATGTCTGTTAACACCCCTTCTGCACACACCTACATTTGTGAATTATGTTCATTTATGCATTCACAGTCAGCAACAATGGATGGTAGTTAGATACCTCAAGAGTCAGAGTGAGAGAGCACCAACAGGAGCCTGCAGGGTTGTTATAGCTATAGCAAGGACAGGCTGTTGCTACAGAATCACATAAATCACATATAAAAATACCATCTCTGCCCTTGCCTCAGACCTCAGTAGAAAGCCATCAATATAATAAACAATAAACCAAAAAAAAAAAACATAAGAAAGAACAAACAAAGTGCATAAGGAAATGAAGGGAAATGATTAATATAAGAGCATCACATTATGGCCTTTAGGATAATTGATCACATGGTTATAGGTATGAAATGCAATTACTGTAGCTCATATCAAGAGTAATTATTTAGTTGATTCAAACTTAATACAAAGATGTTAACAACCCTTGATAATTGTGTGAAATGTACATTTGATTCAATTATCATCTATCTTCCTATGTCTCTCTCTCTGGTACCTGGGTAGGTGTGTGTGTGTGTGTGTGTGTGTGTGTGTGTGTGTGTGTGTGTGTGTGTGTGTGCTGCTCGCATCAACACAGATCGAGGGAGCTTGGTGTTCATTCTTAATGCCCATCTCACCGGCAGTGTTTTGTCTAAAAGCACTTGTCCGTTAATTCACCAAACATCACTCCCACTCCACAGCTGTCCTTAACATGACAACACACTGGCAAGCTAGTGTGTGTGTCCTAACCACACACATTCACATTTACACATTCACATTTATAACTTGTAACATTCAATTGCCTGAATTTGTTGTGTTATGGTCATGATGCAACAAGGTGTAAGCAAGCAGACAGTAGGGATGAAGATTGAGGGAACTATAATCTACTATGCTTAATTATTTATACGCACCACTTTACACAAAGATAGAGAATCAGGAGGTCTAGCAGTCGTACATTTTTAATTTTCTTTTTGGTCTTTTGTTTTACAACCTCTGCTGACACTGCAGAATGGCATTCTATTGAGAATATACTGACATCATGTGGTGCATTCAATCCCTCTTCAAGTTACTTTAAACAAAAACAAAATTTTGTACAGTTTGTTCTTTCTCAAAGGAATAAAATGAAGTTGTTACATCCCATTCTCCATTCAATGTTTCATAATCATGACCTCCTTACTGCAGGGAAAGCCTTTTACTTTCCCACAGTTGGCAAAGAAAGGGCTGCATACTCGGAATTTTGAAGATAGTTTGGAATGTTCTTTAATTTTTAAATTTGTCACCAACAACACTCTATCAAGCATCTTCACTAAGAATATCAGACCGTGTGCTCATCGTGGTTCGACCCACATATACAACCCAAAGCCAGCTGTGTTTCTCAGCGTATAATATTTTATGCTCAGACCAAAAGAGTGCCAGAAGGCACTGAGCAAAGGGGCCAGTGCAACCAAACAACCTCTTTGCTTTTTCCAATATGCCGCCCCAGGGCATGACAGAATCAACTAGAGGGTGGTTCCAAGAAAAATTACTTATAAAGTATAATGAATTTCTGCCCTCCTGTAGTATATAAAAAATATCATCTAGACCCGCACCTGTGGACATTTCTCCTGAGGAACATTAAGAACTCAAGCAATAAAGTTCTCTTGCCTTGGTCTGCTTCTCGTGAGTGCATGGCCTCATCATAACTCTTTCATTTCTTACTCTACAATACTAGACAAATTACTGCCTCAATGTTTAACTTGGCTAACAGTATAATGCAGTAAGAGTTAATCTACTTGTATCTAATATTATTAATGCAGAGTAATATTCCTCTGTAAATGTTTAAGATTATTGTATTTCACAGTTTTTGCTTTTTTCAGAGTGTAAATAAAACACAAATAGCAAGATCCAAATGACCAAAAAAAACACATGATTGGCATGTTTTATATTTTAAAAAGGAAGTAATTTTGGATTTAGTGTGATGCCTAGAGCAGGTACTCCTGTGTAGGCTGCTATTTTTTGTCAGGTACTGTGAATACTAAATAAATGCTGTAATTGTTTTTATTGATTCTTTATTTAATTTGCTGTTTTGTTAATTGAAATCTGTGGGTGGCATCACACACACACACACAAACAGCTTTTTGGTGACGAGTTCTTGAGAGCTGAGAGTGAAACTTACTTGATTAGCTGTGTTGATGTTGATTCCATTCTTGATGTGGTCCAGAGCCTTGTCCAGGTTCCCTGAACGAGCTGCACGCAGAAAGCTGGTGGCTGCATCGGCCTGCAATGAACAAAACGGAGGACTGTCAAAAAGGAGCGAATACAGCTCAGAATTATTCTGAGGACATCAAAACTCAACATCTAATACAGAGATACCAGCAAGAGTGACAAGCTAAAGACAACAGAACACAAACTGCACATCTACACCAACACCAACAGGTCTAAAATACACACAAATGCTGTAAATACACAAAAGCTTGGTCAACATCAACTGTTCCTCCAAGATTATCAACAAGTCCACCATATCAGGATGCAGTTGCACTAAAAGTCCCAGTCAGGTTACATATCTATATCCATTACAATAATATAACAATCGCTTTCAGGCCAGACACAAGGCTATATTCAGGAAATACGATACTACGTTCATCGGCTCTGCTGCCCTCTATAAGAGGCTAAAAATGTCAGACTCCTTACAGTTGAGCTTCTCCCACACTACGAATTTGGCAGGCGTTCATAGCCAAGCACACTCTGCCACGAGTTCCGCTGTCTGCCCGTCTGATCTCAGAGGAAAGCTCCTGTGGTTTGTGTCTCAGTGTGTGTCGGTGTTTGTACGCCCACCACTGAATCCATTCATCAGCCAATAGTGTAATACGGCTGACCTACACAATGAGATGTTTCCAATGCCCAGAGGAGAAAAATACTGCGTATTGTACGGCACTCTTGACCCTCTCTCCACCCCCTGTCAGCGGCAAAATGATGTATCTGTTCGAGCTGTTATTCCAAAGTGGTTTAATTATACTGGATGGCTGAAAGATACGCCTGTCCTTTAACAAGAGACAGGCTTTTTTTCCTTCTCTCCTCATGTCACTTATCTGTGCCGATGCATCAGGAGCCAATGTTCTGTTTGTGTGAACCATGCACTGTATTAGATTTTATCATCATATAATTGACATGAATTGATAATTTGGTCTTTGACATCATCCTCCCTATCCACTCACACTCCTCCACTCCTTTCCCTCCTCTTTTTTCTATATCAGCACCCTGTTATACTTCCGATTTATTACCATTATTTTCTCTAAACATTTGGGATGACCTCCTCAACATATGTTGTAAATATTCCATGAACGTAGTTGAAATCCAATAGTATCCTTTAATTTTGTTTTCTCTGTGCCTCTGTTTTCTTCTCTTCTCGCAGCTCACGACAAAGTGTCTGGGTAGCAATATGAGCTATGAACATGAGAGCTAGACGTTACTCAGCCTGAGAGCACTGCGAGACCGGACTTCAAACAGTCACTGACAAGAGTCTCTTCAACATAACGCCCCCAAGTTGCTGGTACTGTATGTCATATTATGCAGAGTTCCTTATATTATTTATGCATGTTATGACTTTCATTCTACAGCCTAAAGCCATTTCAAATTTTGCAGTGGACTCCTTTTTATGGTTCTCTTTTTGTGTGCTATGTTGTGTTATATGTGCTGTTATATTGATCATATTCTCCACCTGCAGCCATCCTCCTTTTCCCTCATGACTCCACCACCGCTGCTTCATGAACCAGCTGCTTCATGAACCTATTTGCATTTATCATCTGCAGTATGTGTTTGTTAATCAGTGCTGGTCATTTTGTGTGTGTGTGTGTGTGTGTGTGTGTGTGTGTGTGTGTGTGTGTGTGTGTGTGTTTTTGTATGGAGGCGACAACAGCATGAGCCATGAGCTGACCACATTTAGTAGAAAATGAAAAATGTTGCCGCAACTTCCACTCATTCTCTACCAGTTTATGTTATTGTCAGGCCTGGAATCCATTTTCCTTCTCCCTCATCTTTTTACCACACCCTCCTTTCATTCTCCTCTCTGTCCCAGAGATTAGAGCTGGTCATCTAATCCTTACAGTTCACTTCTACTTCATTTTCTAATCATGGTGCCAGTTACACCAAATAAACAGATTGCAGAAATCTCTGACTATGCATCACTCAATACTGTACTTGTAATATTTTATTATTTATTTATGGATTTGTCAGCGAGAAGCAACCTCCCCTTCATAGGCAGCATTTTTATTGGCCATGAACAAAAAATAACCAAGGTCAAATCTGCAGTTTGTGACAAAAGTCAAGCGTCATGTCAAGAACAAAACAATCTTGAAACATCTTGACACACTTGCATGAGTAAAACAGAAAAACACAACTTTAGAGTGAACACACACAGTAGCTTTTCTAGAAAATCATAAAAATGCTAATAGTCTGAATTGTAAATATACAGTAACATGTATAAACACAGCTTTATTACAGAGAACAGCACATACAACACGTCTAAACTACAAGACACAGAAGAAATAAAGTTGAGAGGAGCCACAACAGCACTGGAAAAGCACAGACGACTAGAAACTTGCCGGCAAGGCCACAACGACACAGCAGTTTCCCCGAACACAATGACCACAAGGACGTGAAAAGAAGAAACAGCAACACACAACCACCACCACAGTGCAAAAAAAGTCAACTAACAAGTTATATAATTGTGTCCTAAACTTTTAAATCTGCCAGTGGGGTCAGCTCCTTCAATTTATCCAAATTTAGCTAAACTATTCAAGAATTCTGCTGATTCACTAACGGTTAGCTAGAAATATTCATCAGTTATGTAACTTAAGGCTTAGGAAGGTCACATTGTTTGCAATGTCTTAAGAAACCCCACTGCGGCTGATGAGGACGCACAAACAAAGTGTTGAGGAAATAAGCAAAGTGTACACAAGAATGTATACAAGCATCATATTTACTCTGTTATTAAAGAGCCATATTCCTCAGGCTTCAGAGCCCACAATACTGACCTGACGGACAAGTCAGCGCTGAGTCACATGAGCCTAGAAGACAACACACACCAGCCACAACAACACCAAGACAAGACCAGACAGTTAATGGCAGAAACAGAAAAAAACATGTAAACCGGCTGAAGAGAGGAAACAGGTGTTGGGTGTCACTGATTCAGAATTTATTTAGCACCACCAAGATTTTGACTGCGCTGGTGTTACAGGTGTGTTGCTAAATTTTGAAGATTCATAAGCATGAAAACAAAGATGTCTTATAAACAAATGGTTAATGACTGATTAATGCGGAACACATTATTCATTATTTATTCAATATACACACTGCTGCTCTACTACATGTAATGAATAATGAAAATATAACCTTCCGTACATAGGGACAATATGTGTCTAATGTAGAATCACTGGCAGCATACACATGTGGACATTAAAGGTAAGAAGGTTAAAGTAGCTGATTTCAGGTTTGCTATTTAATCTGATTTATCTCACACACAAACATACGGTATGAAAGAGACCCATATGTGCACACATACAAATGCTGAAACACAAAAAATGGTCTAGTACTGTACAAGTTAAAGAAACTCAGGTTGATAGAAACCACTCTTGCAGGATGAGTAACACCTCATGGCATTAAAAAAAAACAGACGGTACTGAGTCACACTGAAAACAGGGTGATTAGATCAAAATATAAGCTGTTATATGAGTTGTTGGTATCATTTTACTTCTATGTGACTGGTTTAATGATCTGAGAAAGTGGTAAATAAACATCCGTATTAGAATATTACAGGACTGATTTTACTGTCTTCATTGCAGGATACTTGCCTTTGCCCGATACACTACTGTTCTATGATGTTTTCTATGAAAAGCACAGGGCTTTGGGAGAGGCGAATGTACAGATAATCACAAACTATCTGTCCTGGAAGCATTTTAGGGTTTTATGTTCTGTGGGTCTGCTCTGGCTGGAGCCATTGGCAGAACACTGAATATGTGTACTTATTGTAGTGACAGCTCCTGTCACTTCTGATTTTGAAACGAGTCCTTGTGTCACTTCAAGTTGAGACTTCTTCTCACAGTTCAACATGCGTCTTATCCCCTGCGCACTGTAACATGGTAGGCGCTTATAGAAACACCTACTACTACACTACATGTGCTACTACTGTTAGCGCAGACAGAGGACACGTTCCAGCCTATGTTTATTAAGCAAAACCTTAAATTATTAATTTCTTCATTGTCAAATCAGCAGAAAAGGAAGATGTACAGTAACAAGGTTTATTATATCACCAGTATTTACTGTATATTGTGTGAGAACCTCTTATGTTTCTTTATTATTGTCATTGTTTACAAAAGAGTTTTGAAGGATTTTTAAAAATGCAGCAACATTTTGACAACAGAGCATGCCTCTCACCTGCACTGATAATTATTTGTAAAATACACTTTCACAAAAAAAGGTAACTCACTACTGCTGTGCGTCTAACAAGAGACAAAGACAATGGATATCTTTACCCCATAATATTTGAGGTCTTTACTTTAGACACGGTTATAAGGTTAGGTTTATCGTTTGGCTGTTTACATTGTTAAGTGTGGATTCCAGCATTGTATGTCTGTTTTCTGTCACATTTTCTGCTTCAACACGTGTGTCATGATTTTTAGTATGTGTAGGAAACTGTTTGACATCATTAATTAGAAAGTTGTAGAAAGATGGAGAGGGGAAGGCAGAAAAGAGGAGCGAGATACAAACAGGAGGGGAGAGAAAAAAACAAAGAAATGAGCTAGCTTTCTAGAGATATACAGAAAAAAATATTTTTATCCTGACAAACATATTTCTGTCAGACACCAGTCCGTCTCTCCAGAGAGATCCAGCTAGTGGAGTAGGTAGTGGTCTGTCTCATGAAGTGAACTGACACAGCATATTTTGTATTATGATGAATACCGGTGGACAGTCACAGATTACGAGTATAGATGAAAAAATGGTGGCTATTTGTCATCGTGAGCATGAACAGAAACTCATTCACATAATGCTAAAAAACAATGCATATGAAGACAAATTGCCTACAAACACACACACGCACACCAACCGACACTAAAAATAGCTGCATAGATGCCACAGTATGTTAGTGTTGGCACCAACAGGGAGGGAGATGGATCACAGTAATGAACCCTCATGGGTTTAAACAAAGACCCACTTCTACCACAAAAGACAGATAGATTCTCGAGCGAGCTCATATACACACATGGAGTAGGGGCACACGCA